TAATTATAGTTATAATATCAGTGTCTATTACGAAACTTAGATATCAGACATCGATAACTAGTTAGTATAAGTCTAGATAAACGAAATCAAAGACTTATATAAAGAACTAAGTAGCGAGTTTCAGTTTATTGTAGAAAAAAGCGCTTTATACTACAATTCGAAGTATAGTCAAGAGCTAACGTTACAGGAAGAGGACAGAGTTTATTTACTCAGAAAAAATATCAAAACTAAACAACTAAGCGATAAACTAGACTATAAGAAATTAGGACTATTCAAAATTAAGAAGTTTAAAAGACGTCTGAATTATAAGTTTACTCTACTAAAGACAATGAATATCTTTCTAGTTTTCTATATTTCTCTTTTTGAACTAGTACTATTAAGTATACTACTAGTACTAATAACCGAAATAGAACTAGTCAACTTAAATACTAAGTACGAAGTCGAATAGATATTAGACTATAGACGAGTTAAAAGTATAATCAAATATTTAATTAAATAGTTAGATTATTTATATTCGGAAAATATATAAGAACTTAAGATTTATCTTAATTACTACTAGATATTTGAGAAATTCTACTACTAAAATCAAAAGTTACTTAGATCGGGTTATTAGGACCCAGTAAAAGACTAAAGTCGAAAGAAAGGTCGTTACTAAAACTACTAGTTGTAGTAGCTAGCTACTTCGATTCTACTTTACAACAAGCTTCTGTTTCCTTTTCCTCCTTTTCTCTTTCTTCTACTTTATCTAGCTCGTCTAAATTACGGAGCTTTTAGGCGACTATATCAGAAATCCGACGTTTAAGAAACTCTTGCTACTTCTTCAGACGTTCGGCACGAGCAAAGCTTTCTATCGCTACTACTAGAACTACTTCACGTTCAAAGTGAAACTTCTCCTAAGTATACTGAAAAGATTCGAAACTGTTGATTATAATACTTTTGATATCGTATTTCGAATTTCGACGAATATATTTACTATACTTCTTCGACTTTTCATTCAAGACTACGTAAGTCCGACTATATTTTTCACAACTTGAGTAGAGTATTATTTCGTCACTTTTAGAATTTATAAAATTAGTAAATAGTTTATAGTTCTTAAATTTATTGTAATTTGAAGTTATATTGAAAAAAGAAGAAAGTTATATTTAATGTCCGACATTTTCGATATAACTTTTAAGCTAAAAGACTACGCTAAACTATATAGGGGATAGTATTACGAACGCCAACTTTATAGCCTGAAGTTCGGGTAATGTGTTATATTATTACAGAGAATTATGAAAGTATATGACGAGGTCATATAACAGCAGAAAATCATATGACGAGATTACGTGAAGAGGATCTGGGAAGATCTAGATCTATTTAGACTTTAGATCTAAATAGATCTAGATCTAGCTAGATCTAGGAGCAAGAAAGTTCTATATAAATAATATAATTTCTTTACTAGATAAGAGTTTCGTACTCAACTTGATTCTTGAATATCAATTATAACATTTTACTTTGATTATATTTGATTCTCTCTATGATTTACTTACTTTGATATTATTTATAGATTATTAAAAAAGATCACTACATTATTTCGTTATATAAACGAAACAGAACACTTCTAATACAACTCCCTGCTGGAGGAACTATTAGAACTGTTACAACTAATTACGTAAATCTCAGAACTTTTATAACTACTAAAGTTCTAAATAATCGACGAATAATACGATAGATAGAAGAACTCTCTTAGTTTAATTTGAAGATTAAATATATCAAAGGAATTAATAACCCCAAAGCTGATATATTAAACAAATAGTTTAGATATAAAAGAAACAAAGTCTACAAAAAAGTAGTAATCTTTCAGGAAAATAAAAATAGGAACTTCGTTCCTAATACGAAGGAGATCGCTACTTTCAATAGAACTAAAAGACTATAAAATAATGAAATTATCTAAACTCAAAAGAAAAGTTTAGAACACGTAAACTATACTAATAAGAAACTGTAAGTTCTAGATATATTCGCAAAGGAATTCGTCCTCAAGTACTATATAGTACTAGCTTATAGACATCAAAGAATCAGTAAAACCTTTTAGTAAATCAGATAATATTATTATATTAACAAAATTAACACTTTAGTCAAATAAATAGTAAAGGAATACAATATATATATTCGCAACAAAAGTATACAATATATATTATATAGAAAAATAAGAACTACTTTTATTCTAGAATAATTATAGAAGTCGATTTAATAGGACTTTATTGTTAAACTCTCGCTTTCTAGAAATCTAATAATAAGAGTAATATATAATTTAATCTTAGTTATTATCGAATAATTTACAAAGTATATAATCGTTATTCTATATCTAGAATCTAGTATAACCGAGGAATTTATATTCGCTTTTTTACGAGAAGTTGTAATAAGATATAAAATACTAGAAGAAATTATATCCGATTAAAATAAACTTTTTATATCTAAGTTTTAGACTACTTTAACTACTTATTTAAAAGTTAAAAGAAAACTATCGACTACTTTCTATATATAAATAAATAGTAGAATAGAAAGAATAAATTAGATAATCGAAGTATATTTACACTATTATATCAACTATAAGTAAGATAACTGAGTATCGTTACTTTTACTTACTATATTTATATATAATAATACAATTACAAATATAACGAAAATATTGCTATTCTTTACTAATTACAGTTATAATATCAGTGTTTATTATAAAACTCAGATATTAGACATCGATAACTAATTAATATAAGTCTAAATAAACGAAATCAAAGATCTATATAAAGAACTAAATAACGAACTTCGGTTTATTATAGAAAAAAGTACTTTATACTATAATTCGAAATATAGTCAAGAGCTAATATTATAAAAGAAAGACAAAGTTTATTTATTCAGGAAAAATATTAAAACTAAATAATTAAACGATAAACTAGATTACAAGAAATTAGGACTATTTAAAATTAAGAAGTTCAAAAAACGTTTGAATTATAAATTTACTCTACTAAAGTCAATGAATATTTTTCCGGTTTTCTATATTTCTCTTTTTGAACTAGTACTACTAAGTATACTACTAATATTAGTAATTGAAATAGAACTAGTTAACTTAAACGCTAAATACGAAGTCGAACAAATATTAGACTATAGATAAGTTAGAAATATAGTTAAATATTTGATCAAATAGTTGGACTATTTATATTCGGAAAATATATAAGAACTTAGGACTTATCTCAACTACTACTAGATACTTGAGAAATTCTACTACTAAAATCAAAAGTTATTTAAATCGGGTTATCGGGACTTAGTAAAGGACCAAAGTCGAAAGAAAAGTCGCTGTTTAGGCTGTCGGTCGTAGTAGCTAGCTATTTCGACTCCGTTTTACGACAAACTTCTATTTCCTTTTCCTCCTTTTCTTTCTCTTCTACTTCTTCTAGCTCGTCGAATAAGCGAAAACTTAGTTCAATCATCTTTCGACACTGCTCGACTAATAAACGTTTCTGTTTACGAAAGTAGAGGATCTTAGCTATAGCTGCTTCTTGTTTCGCTATCGCCGCTTCCTCTTCCTCATCGAGCTTCTTAGCTAGATAGTCGACAGAAGTTTAGTCTGAGAGTGAAGGTATCTGCGCCCTCACGTCGCAACTACTCCGCCTTTAGCGAGCGTATTCAGAACATCTGTTGGATATCTCAGGGTCTGCAACGATACAAAGACGACGGGACTGTATATAAGTCGAACAAGGAGCTATTTTTTCAGCGAAAGGAGAATCTTCTATAGTTTCTGCTAAAGTAATTTGCTCTAATCTTTTCTTTGAGTATAGAAAGTTATATAAGAGTAGCATAATAAAGAAGGAAGAAGGCTATACCTGACGTTCGATATTTTCGATATGACTTTTAAGCTAAAGGACTACGCTAAACTATATAGGGGATAGTGTTACGAACGCTAACTTTATAGCCTGAGACTCGGGTAATGTGTAGTATTACTACAGAGAACTATAAAGGTATATGACGAGGTCACGTAACAGTAAGAATCACGAGACTAGTGTCACGTGATAGATAGTATAGATAGTATAGATAACGAGGATAGCTCTGACCTATCTACTTTATCTAAGAGCAGGAAGGTTCTATATAAGTAATATAATTTCCTTACTAAATAAGAGTTTCGTATTCAACTTGATTCTTGAATATCAATTATAACAGCTTACTTTGATTGACACTTGACTCTTTCCGTGATTCACTCACCCTGATATTACTTACAGATCATTAAAAGAGATCACTGTATTACTTCGCTACGTAAACGAAACAGAACACTTCTGTTAGGATTCCCCGTGGGAAGAATAACAGAACTGTTACACCAAGGGCTCTCAAAATACATTTCCCACTCCTATCAGGCATTCGCCCCCCCTGATCCCCGCTGCACCGCTGACTCTTCATCGTCCTGATCACCATCACATCACCCTGCATGCCCTGCGCATCATCCTGAGGAAGAACACCAAGCTCCGTCCTGCAGAGAAAGGACCCCCCGTTTTCCACTCGCCATCTTGCATGCAAAGAAGTCTTTGTGACCGAGATGGAGAGATAGCCGGTACCCATCCCACATCTGCTTGTACCTCATGCACGCTCCCCCGCCGTTCTGGACGGTGGTCTTGTTCAGACAGGGGCCTATTTCTACATTCCCCTCCCTCACCGTTCCTCACATTTTCTTCTTCCCTATTTCACACCGCCTATCTCGCTGCTCTCTGGTTTTACGAGTTCCTACGAGCACTTGCTTTTGCCAAGCGAGATTTTCTTGTTGGCCCAGCGCCCCAGCTACGCGGCCAGTGGTCAACCTTTGCGCCGGGCGAGCGAGATACCTCAACGTATTGATCATTGCAGTAACCCTAATCCTGCTTGACTCCTCTGGCTCTCTCCCATTAATTTCCTTGAGAAGGGTCTTAAATCTGGCTATCTCCCCTCACCAGAATCTCCCCGCCTCGTTCAATCTGGCAAGCCTTCGCAAGACTCAAAAAATGACAAACGATACTGCCATTGTCCGCCTGCTCTATTCCATTCTGAGCCAGAAATGTCTCAAGGACGTAAGTATCTACTTCCTCCAGTTTTTCCTTGCTCGTCTTCTTTCGTCTGTCCTTCCTCTCCGCTTTGGGTGTTCCCAATTCGTCTTCGTTTAGTTCGTCTCCTCCAAATACTCTCCTAAAGTTGCTTTAAAACTCCACCTATGCCCTCCAGTTCTGCCCGATATTCTACCCGTCAATCGTATTTCCCATCACATCTAACTAACTACCCGCCACCCACAGATTGACTGGAACAAAGTGGCCCAGCACCCGATCCTGAACCAAGAAGTCACCAATGGTCACGCCGCGCGAATGCGGTATTCCCGCTTCAAAAAGCAAATGGACGGAACCACTGGCGTGGTCCGCCGTCCTCGCAACACCAATTCCCCGCGAAAGAGCAAGGTCGAAAAGAACAAGGCCATTAGCAAGGAGAAAGGCCGGAAACTTTTCAAGAATGAAGATGACGACGGCGAGGATGATATGCGGAGGGTGAAAGTGGAGCACCCAGATATGGGTCCTAGCGGCGCTGAAGGGGAAGAAGAAGTTGGAATGGGACAGGTCAGAATTAAGACTGAGCTGCGAGACCGAGAGCGCGAACGCGAATCAAGTTATATGCCGAGCACGCCCTTCATGTCTCATTCGCAAATCTCGACTCCAGGTTCAAGCCATAGCTACACTAGGCCGGGCTTTGGCGAAATTCCCAGCATGCATGATAATATGACGCATAGCTTTGAGGTGCCTCCCTCGTCAATGGAGAGCATCTATCAGCCCATGATGAGCGGCCCTTATGGCATGACGCCTATGGAGATGAGCGAACACTTCGGTAATAGTTGGACAGCAAGCCCATCAACTCCGATTACTCCGAATACCATGCCATTCCAGGGTCAGGTGATCGGTGAGGGTCAGGATGAGGTGTTGGTCAAGACTGAACCAAGATGGGAGGAGGCATATCGACATTTGTGAATTGGTTTTCGGAGGTGTTTACAACAGGGAATGGCGGTCGGGTCTTCTGGAGAGTTAGGCGTCTGCGGAGATAAATTGCTACATAACGCATCTGGAGTTGGAATTTGGTTTTGGTAACCTGCACGAGTTATTCTTTTTGATCCAATACCAATTATCAGTACACGCCATTACTCTGCGATATGCATATGTTTTGTATCAGTTATATCACCCTATCAATGTACTCAATATCGAATTATCTGACTAGATATATATAAATACCTCTCCCCTCTTAATTATTCTTGGGGCCCTCAAACTGTTCAATCTATCCACAAATATACAGCCCCAACCGATCCTTTAAACCTCAACATCCTACGAAATTTGCTCAGGCCAAAGCGGCAGAGCAGTGACAAACGCCGGTTTTATACTTAGGGAGTTCAATAGCTAAGAGCCTCAAGCCCCGGAGTTGGCCACAATCGACGGAATGCTTAAAAGTTAATCTCTCTATTTTGAGCTCTCAACTTTTTCCGAGACAAGATGCTTTTGGATTTTGGATCTTTATTTTCACTTCCTAATAAGTGCCCGATCATTTTTACAATTTATCTCAACTCCCAGAAGCGTAAGCAAAGAGAAGGTAGGAAATATGTTGTATAGATGTACTTATTTCGGTACCTAAAGACAACGATATACTTTCGCCAGAACAGAGGTTTAAACATTTTACAGTTACTATCTTCTTCTCAGATGTTGGGGAAGGGAAGAAGGCTACAAAGCAGGATAGAATTTGGAATAATGGACGAACGTGGAGATCCTAGCCTCGAAAGTACCTGTGGATAGACAAATTCATATTTTTGAACTTGCATTCATACGGGCATAAAAGTTGTACTGATATATTCTACATTCAAAGTGGTGTAAGAGCGCCACATCGCAACCCATGGTGTTGTCAAAATCAGAAGAGCCCTGACCAACCCCGAAAGTTCCATTGCCACGTTCATTCTTTAGGGCATACAATTTGAATCTGCAACTGCTGCAACTGCTGCATCCATAAGTATGTTGTCATCCGTTGCTTGCGTGCTAACAGGGCATATCGTCCATGATACCATTAAATTATAGCAAGAGATGTATCCAAATAGGTACAAACAACACTTTCATTCCCCACGGGTAAAGAGCATTTTAACAGCTATTTAAAATAGAATTGAACGTTTTACCAGATCACAAAGCAACAGCCAGACCAGACCAGAATACTTCCCAAACCCGTCCCCCAAGTAACCACAATGTTTGCTATAATGCAAGTCATGTGGCGTTAATAGAACTGTTAGTGGCCGTTGCTTGTGGCAAGTAAGTAGGCGGAGAGATTATGCCCGATTGAGCAGTGGCTTTGTGTCCTGGCGTGTTATGCAACTCTTTGACAGCCCTCCCAGTGTCTCAATCTGTCACGCCCTCTGAAACATTTTAAGGGCTCGTATTGCTATCTTTCTTCGGTTTGTTAAAAGGCATTACAGCTGTCGAGTTATACATTGCTGCCAATATGTCCTGCCGCATTCGGAGGCCAGAGTGCACTTTGCAACATAGCGGGTATATGTACTACTTAGCAAGTAATTGTGAGTGAAGTGAATGCATTCGCCGAACCGGCGGTATGAGGATGAAGAGGGTAACACTAAGCACACGGGCATGCAAAGGTAGTTTTGTATCGCACAGCTTGCAGCTTCAAATGTGGGCAAGGTGTAAGAGAAATATAAGGGAGGTACAAGGATAGTTGATATAAGTCAGTTCTAAAGGCAAGGATCTGGGGACCTGCATCTGATCATTCGTAAGTATTATGTATACTTGAAAGCTTTCACAGGTATATCTTCCGCCCGTACTTGGAGCTTCAATCTCAAGGTCTTCGGGAATTCGGTAAATGTTGAAACATAGCTAGTTGGGTTTGTAGGTGTTTATTAGATAGTGGCTTCCTGTTAAGTAGAGTAGCATAGCCACTCAACCAAGAATTGTTAAATATGTAAAGATCGGCATCTCCAAAGTAAAGGACTAGCGGGTTAGTGTTAACCTTGGCAATGCTAGACTCTACACGAAAACAATTGGGTCTTACTAGGGGAGCTAATCATGGCTGGCATAGTGTGTTCGGTGCGCTTGACACAGATCGGTTGTTCGTATGTCGTTGCTTGCCCTCTTTGATTTTCTGAATCTCAAAACGATTATGGCTTCCCGCTGCCGAATTCATCTTATCAGGTTGATTATGCTAAATCTCAAATTTAGATACTGTAAAGTTGTAGGTGTTAGAGATGGCATACTCAGTAGGTTTTTTTGCCTGTGGCACCACTCATATTGAGAAACTGGTTAGGTAGAGTTTATAATACGTGCCGCCACTTGACAGATGCACGATGCAGATAATGCTTACAATGCTATTGTCGTTATGACGTTGTTATTGATGATAAGCCGAGAGGTCTCGAGAGTGAGGAAGCGAGCGACTTCGCCCCCCTTTCTGAACCTTGCACCTCCATCCGTAACACGTGACAAACGATACCATATATGTTTAGTACGTGATTATCGACAGGAACCTGGGATAGAATCCCCTGTGGTGAATTACACACTCTGCAAATAGCATACAGCCCACGGGAGTCTACAGGGACAGAAAAAGAGTAAAGCGTCCATTATATGTCACAGAGAAGTCATTTGTGTAACGACTTCTTTATCTTGCATTTGAGTGCGACGGTGACTGTTTGAAGCACTCGTCCTCGATGGACAGGCGGAATAAATTCCCCGCTAGCTTAGAAGCATAAAAGGACAAAAGCATTTCTAACCTTCTCCCAAGAAAGTATTCCTTGGCAGTATCAAAAACCGGACAATATTTCCCATCATACGATCGACCTCGGCACTTGCTGTCCGGTTGATGAGCAGTGGTAAATTGAAACGATGTTGAACACTTATAAGAGCACCCCAGCTTCTATCTCAATAGCCCTGAATGGGTTTCCCTTAATCTCCAAAGACTCCTAATTCCAAAATGATCATGCTATCCATGATGAAAACCTGGGCCACGGTTCTTAGCATGCAAGTGTCCCTTGTATTCGCCGGGATACGTAATCCACTTCTGTCACAACCTTCTGTTGTAGCCATAAGCAGTGCTCCAACACCAGTATGTCAGTACTAGCATCGACGACACGGCCACTTACCTTTGTAGCTCCAACCGAACCTTTGACTCGACAATCATCATCGATATACTCGTCACTAACGGTTCATCTTCTGCGGCCACATTCCAATTGTCCCAGGTCCTGGGCCATACTGCTCTTGAGATCGCAAACAGTGCTCGGAGCTCTAGTCCAGGCATGGATGCGACCCCTAAATTCATAAGCTTTAATGACCCACAGACAATCGCGCGGTATATGGCAATATGTATTTATTTTGATATTGGTCCCGATTTGGCGCTCAGGGCACAGAATCCCAAATCGCTGGAGACGGGCTTGTTTAATCGCACGGAAACATTGTATTTAGTAGTAGTAGACTTTCTAAGGACTGGCCGTCCAGCAGTTAGGTTGTCTGTACAGTACATCGAATGATCACAATGGGCTATACCTGACACATCGCAGGGTTGTTTTGGTGGAGGAGTTTCTTTTAATCCTTTCGATATCGTTTCAATATAATTCTAGTCACGTGACAATGCATTTTTGCTGCGCTTTGGATTGGAAATAAGGGAAAACAAGGCTTGGGATGAGCATTTCATTGCTGATATAGCTCGTTCCTCTGCAAATCTGCCGATGGTCAGAGTTATTTAAACCCTAGTAGCAGTTGGAACGTATAAGCATTCAATACGATATTCAGTTTTAGATGTAGCAGCCGGCGGTAAGTTGCGCAGTCAACGAGCAAAAAAGCTCTCCTTTGCATCCATTCCAGCGCCCAGAAGTTGTGCTCTAGAGCACATGATAGAGGAAGACTCGACAGTAGCAACAGAAGCACCGAAGTGCAACTGCGCCCAAGTTCACCCACAATAAAACGTGCCCAATACAATTTAAATGAAGAAGAAAAGGAAAGGGAATTCTCGCGGTCGAAATTTGCCTTTTGTAGCAGCCCGCTAAGCCCGGCCAATCACTGCGCAAGATTACTAAACTCACTTGTTAGCGCAACCCGCAGCCGAACATCCTCGACAGCTTCACGGTCAAGATCACGATATCAACACCCAATTGCCTGTCCCCGCCACCTGTACAGAGTCGTTCCTTTCTTTTGTGTCTAGAGGACAAGAGGATACGATGCTGAGGCAAACTCTGGCCCGCTCTGCTCTGCGGACAGGCAGGCAGAGCTACAATGCCTCGAGAACCTTTGCAACATCGGGCAGAAAACATGCGGAGGTCCAGCTTACCATCGGTAAGGCGCATTGAGCCCCGAGGGTTCGAAGATCATGAGATAACTAACTAACTGGGTTGTAGATGGCAAGCAAGTTTCAATTGAAGGTATGTCCGGACACTGGAAGGGTTGTTAGGAACGTATTGACCAAGGCCACAGCTGGCTCTGCTTTGATTCAAGCGTGCGAGAAGGCTGGAGTGACGATACCCAGGTAAGATATTGGATTTCATGGGCCAAGAAACCTCTGCTAACTGTTTACAGATACTGCTACCATGAGTGAGTCTAACCCCACCCGGCAGCGTACACTCGACTAATCCATACGAAGGAAACTTATGATTGCGGGAAATTGCCGAATGTGTTTAGTGGAGGTCGAGAGAGCACCAAAGCCTGTGGCATCATGTGCATGGCCAGTACAACCCGGAATGGTCGTCAAGACCAACTCGCCACTTACACACAAGGCTCGTGAAGGGGTTATGGAATTCCTCCTCTCTAACCATCCCCTCGATTGCCCTATCTGCGACCAAGCAGGAGAGTGCGATTTACAAGATCAGTCAATGAGATATGGAGCTGATAGAGGTCGATTCCACGAAGTTAGCGGCAAGAGAGCTGTCGAAGACAAGAACATTGGACCTCTCATCAAGACGTCGATGAACCGATGTATTCACTGCACGCGATGCATTCGTTTTGCCAACGATATTGCCGGAGCTCCGGAGTTGGGGTCAACAGGACGAGGGAATGACATGCAAATTGGCACGTATCTTGAGAAGAACCTTGACTCGGAGATGTCTGCCAACGTCATCGACTTATGCCCGGTCGGAGCACTTACATCAAAACCATACGCATTCAAGGCACGGCCGTGGGAGCTGAAACATACTGAGTCTATTGATGTTCTCGACGGGCTGGGATCGAATATTCGAGTTGATTCCAGAGGGTTGGAAGTTATGCGGGTCCTTCCCAGACTCAATGACGATGTCAATGAGGAATGGATCAATGACAAATCCCGCTTCGCAATCGACGGCTTGAAAACGCAACGACTTACCATCCCACTTATCCGAAACAAAGACAAATTCCTGCCGGCCACATGGGAGCAGGCCCTAACTGAGATTGCTGTTGCCTACAAAGATTTCGCTCCAAAGGGAAATGAGTTTAAGGCTATTGCTGGACAGCTCACCGAAGTAGAATCCCTGGTTGCCATGAAGGATCTTGCTAATAAACTTGGTTCGGACAACTTGGCCCTTGATCAACCTGGAGGCAGTGAGCCGGTTGCCCACGGAGTTGATGTTCGCTCTAATTACCTCTTCAACTCGAGGATTTGGGGCATAGAGGAGGCTGATGCTATTCTCATCGTGGGAAGCAATACTCGTTGGGAAGCTGCTGGTCTAAACGCCCGTATTCGCAAGCAATGGCTTCGATCAGACCTTGAGATTGGTGTTGTGGGCGAGACTTGGAAATCTATCTTCGAGTTCGAGCACCTTGGTACCGATGCTGCTGCTCTGAAGAAAGCGCTTGCTGGTCCGTTCGGCAAGAAGCTACAAGCTGCAAAACGACCAATGATCATCGTTGGGTCCGGTGTTACAGAACATCCAGACGCAAAGGCCATGTATGAAATGGTTGGTGCATTTGTTGAGAAGAATGCTGCCAATTTCATGACGGAGGAATGGAACGGTTATAACGTCCTTCAACGTTCTGCGTCAAGAGCAGGTGCTTACGAAGTTGGCTTCACACCTCCATCCACTACCGTTGGCCAGACGAAGCCCAAATTCATCTGGCTCCTAGGTGCTGATGAGTTTGATGCCGCAGAAATTCCTAAAGACGCGTTTGTAGTCTACCAGGGACACCATGGTGACCGTGGTGCTCAAATAGCCGATGTCGTTCTTCCTGGTGCAGCTTATACCGAGAAGTCAGGAACTTATGTCAACACCGAAGGCAGGGTTCAGATGACCCGCGCTGCCGTAAACCTGCCTGGCGCCTCAAGAACAGATTGGAAGATTATCCGAGCGATCAGCGAATTTCTCGGTGCACCACTACCGTATGATGACGTTGCAGCTCTCCGGGATCGAATGGTCGAGATTAGTCCGGCTTTGGCAAGCTACGACGTCGTGGAACCAGTCACACTTGAGAGGTTGAGCAAGGTACAGTTAGTAGACCAAAACAAGGGAAGCAAAGTGAGCGGCGAGCCGCTGAAGAAGGTTATCGAGAATTTCTATTTCACAGATGTGATTTCGAGAAGGTAAGCGGAAGCCCTTCCTCCTACGCCATGATTTTGCTAACTCAGTACTAGCTCGGTAACAATGGCTAGATGTTCGGCGGCAAAGGAGACGGGTAACCCAGACATCAACTTTATGGATCCAGCCATAGCTCCTGCCTATACAAACGATTCCCCATACGGCCAGGCGGCTTTAGGCGGGTCGTGATAATGTATTTTAAGTATTCCTGCATTTCTGCATCGGGTGTTGGCTGTAAATATTGGTAGTTGCAAAAGAGGAAATTTGAAATACAAACCAAAATCGAGCAAATATGTCACTTATGCAGAATCTTGCATGAAATGTATTGATTTTTGGAACAAATTTTAAATATTCTACAAGGTCAAAAGACCGTTGGATCGAGGTCCAACCCACCGCAACGCCAGCCATGCACTTCGTGCTCCACCCAAGGTCTTGTTTGCTTTAAAAGGGACTTCTGCTTTCCACAGCACGTTATTCATCCCATCTCATCTCACACACCGTTGATTTCCTAAACGCCCTTCTTATTGCCTCAAGTCATTTCATCCTGTTTCCCAAGAAACTCACACGGGCAAGGCAAACTTCTTCCCCTTCATAACCTTGGTATAGTAAATCCAGAAGAAATCCGAATACAACACGGTCTGTACAAGCCCTGCCGCAACAGCAATCCCATCCCAATGGCCCTCGGCGAAATATCTCCAGAGCCAATTCGGGATATATAAGGCGCGGTACAGTCCCAGCGCAGCCAGGTAATGTGTGGTGATGGTTTCTGCCTCGCCAGTTCGCTGTAGCAAGAAGAGCTGCGGGAGGATGGCAACGGATTCGAGCCAGATACTGAAAGCCCAGAGAATCTCGTACGGTGTGTATTTGTAGGGGTAGATTAGGGCCAGGACCATCGAGCCAGCGAGGAGGTACTGCACACGGAAGGTATCGATGTTGGGGTCGTGGGTGGGTTTGTAGGCTGTTGTCATGAGGTAGATGGTGTAACCTGAGGAGGCGATGAAGAGGAGCTTCATAATTGTGTTGTAGGCATAATCGGTGTTGGTGAGGGTCCAGAAGAGGTCTAGGTAGCGTGTCACATAGACTATAAGGTATAAGGCTTGAGATTTAAAGGAGATGCCGGAACATGACTAGAGAGGGGAATGGTGTTAGCTTGTTTGCATGGAAGGTAGCAAGCATCATTTGTGTGAGTTGGGTGTAGGACAAGCGGGGAAGTATACATTTGTCTGTGTCATTTTGTGCAATAATATCAAGATCGATATTAAATGGGAGAGATCTCCTACAGCGCACAAACACATTAGCTTAGCTTTTCAATGCTTTGTCTCTTAAGGAGAGACTTTGGGAAGCTTTACCTGCTAGCCGGAAAAGATTCATGTTTGCGACGGGTGGCAGCACGCCTAGGTGATTCCGGGGAGGTTGCAACTAGAGAAATAACAGGTCGCCGCTAAATTGAAGCAGCTTTCGGGTCGTCGATGAGTTTCAATGGCAATTTGTTAACTGGTCGCAATGGACAGGAGACATGTGTTGAGGACACGCAACGGGCTGCGGAACGACGCGATCATGAAAACAGCGCTTGCTGGGATTCTGCATTGCGGGACGAGGCGAACAGCCGCGATAGCCGCCGAGTTATACATGCCGGTGGCGAAGCTGGATTACGAAGCAACACTGCCTGGAAACTTCCATAGATTCACCACCATCCGTTTTGCCCTGTACACGTAGAAACCTTACTCTTCAGATAAATACAAAGACAAAGACAGTCGTTTTATCACCTCCAACTCTCGTTATCATTTCCCCGTGCATACAACACCAAACAGGAACAAAACATATGGCGACCTCTGACCATTACCAAGGCGCAGCCATGTCTACTGACAACCAAGATCTAGTCACAATATCCCTTACCCACCATGGCAAGCCTCATACCTTCTCCCACCCTAGAGATGCAACGATATCCGACCTGTCCGATTCCATCTCCTCTACGCTCTCCGTCCCGGCCTCCAACCAAAAACTATTAGTCTCCCAGCTCGGTCTGTTAAAACCGCCCTTCAAGGACCCGACACTCGCTCTATCCAACATCTCCGGAAAGAAGATAACCCTCATGGGCAGCACGGCCGACGAAGCAACCGCCATTGCGACAGCAGCAGAGCATGCCTCCCGGCGCGCAACCCGGCGAGGCCTCCCCAATCAGAGGGTCTCGGCCTACAAAACGCGTGACTGGAAGAAGGAGCAGGAGGAAAGCCAATACACATTCACAACCTTGCGACCACTCCCCTATCTACCAAATCCCCAGCGTTCCTTAGCATTTCTACAACGGCTGAAGGATGACGCGGGAATCAAAACCGCAATGCGGAAACATAAATTTACCGTCCCTCTGCTGACGGAGATGAACCCAATCGAACACACACAATCGAATCACGAAGGCACCTCACGGACGCTAGGATTAAACAGGAACCAGGGAGAGGTGATCGAGTTGCGACTTAGGACTGATGCGTATGATGGATACAGGGATTATAAGACAATCCGGAATACTCTCTGCCATGAGTTGGCGCATAATGTGCATGGGCCTCATGACCGCAATTTTTGGGATTTGTGTAAATTGATTGAGAAGGAGGTGGAGGCTGCGGATTGGAAAAGTGGTGGTAGGGCTGTCGGGCAGGAGGAGTTCTATGAGGGGGGTAAGGATGAGGACGAGGTTGATGACCATGGCGGATGGTCAGGGGGCGAGTTTGTGCTTGGTGCTAGTCGTGAGGGAGGGGCGGAGAGTACAGGGACGAAAGTGACGCAGGGGTTTAGTAGGAGGGAGATTCTAGCCAAGGCAGCGGAGGAGAGGATAAAGAGATTGAGGGAGCAGCAAGGGGGCGAGAATACAGGAAGTGGTTCGAGTTAAGATGACTTTTGGTTATGGTAAATATGGCGAGGTGTTCCGGTACTTTTACAGACCAAATGATCTAGGACGAGGAGTTAAATCGACCAACAATAACGGCAATGTTTCCAACAGATCCTTCGCAGAAAACGCATATACCATATGCAGGGCCTAGGCAAGCCAGCAGGTATATATGAATACCGAGTCATAGCTATTCATGGGAAGGACCAAGGAGGTATAAAGGTTGGCGCGGGGATTCTCGGATACAGCAAGCCAGCTAAGCTGACACTAATAGCACCCTCTATATAATATCAAGTGATACCTCGATTCTCATCCTTATGACTCGTCTCTCGCTCGCTTTGAACTCTGCAATTTTGGCCGTTGCTTAGCTTTTCTGCCTATGGTAAAAGTGCCACCAGATTCCTAAAAACCAACACATGTTTACAGATCTCGGTAGGTAAGGAACAAGTTGGGCGTATGCGTCCCCTCCAAATAAGCTCAGAGAGTATACCGCCTCAGATTCCCTTCCCAGCAGAGGCGGTTACTGCAAGACCTACATACGAAAGAAAGGGAGTTTTATCTTCTATCAATGTCTCGGGTTCGCTGAACCATTCATTCTTAGCTTAATATTTCTCGGGTTGTCCCCCAATTCATCAAGTAACAGGAAATCCGATGCCTCAGAAACATGTGTTTCATTTGGGACATAGCTCTACTTAAAGTATTTACGTCAACTTCAAAACCAATATATTATCTTTCAACAGGCTATCTATTGACTGCAGGCTGCGCATGCTGCACAGCACCAGACCACACTGCCGGTCCCGGGATAATATAGGTAGCATTTCCAAACTGCCATATATCAATCAGAATCCCCGGGTCCGTCTCCTTATACAACGTCTCCGCGCTCTGCCCCACCGGATTATCGCTCCCCGTCCCGGCCACATTCAGATTAATACACTGCGGATACGCCTGGGCACCCCCTAGATCCTCTGCCACATGCAGCGCAATGATTTCATGTCTCAGCACATAATTCCCGCTCTTCAGCGTCGGTGGGATCCACACCGTCCAGGAACTATTGTGATCTCTCAGCTCATCCGCAGCGTAGTACGCTGGAAACGGAGTCCTTTCAATAATTCCGGCGTCTTCGATTTTGAAGAATTTCAACGCGGTCTTGTCCGGGAGGGAGGAGCAAGAGCCGTTACAATTTGCGAGGTAACTCATGACGGGGCCGTGGTGTCCACCTACCCAGGGAGCGCTCCATTGCAGTGTTAGGCTTTCGCCGGATTTTACGGAAATGGAGTTTTGGCCTGGTGTCGCGCCTGCATGGCAGATGATGTCTGGAGTGGTGAAGTTGGAGGAGGGAACAAAGCCGTGCTCGAGGTTTAAGGGGGTGGACCAGCTGGCTATGTTGGGAACTGGGGATAAGGGCTCGTAGCCTGTGTAGCTAGAACAGTTTGTGTTAGTTCCTAACTACCCAATAATATATATCGCTTCGAAGCCATACTATGTACCGCCAGCTACAATGCCTGTTACTACCCCATGGCCGGCAGCTAGACTGATCGAACCAAGAGCAACAGCGAGCCTGAGGGTGGCTATTTGATAATTCATCTTTATATAGGACGGTGTACCGTTGTGATGGGCCAAGGGAGTCGTATAACAAAATTAACGTCCTTAGATCCGAATATATATTTCGGTCATAGTAGATGGTCCAGCATATCGAGAAATTTAAAGCTGTAGGAGGGAGGGATGTGAAAGACAACGTTCCTGTGTAACTTATAGCACCAAAGTTGGGGTATGAAAATCAAGATAATAAGCCTGAATTCTAGATATTCTTGCAAATTGGGCATGTAATTCGTACGTTACACGTTGTCTAAAATATTGTGATTAGTCTACTTGGTAGGTCATAGACAAGTAGATCGGTTAAGTTGTGCCTGATATCAAAATGGTACTAAACCACTTACCCGCACATTAATTAGCTGGGTAGATTCTGATTTACAAACTAATTACAAATTAGATCTTCATATATCTATACAATATCTGTATTTGGTGCGATCTGATGATCTTTGGTGGAATGCCGAGACCCATTAGGCAAGGGGTATTGTAGATCAATCCTGATTAGCCTATTAATTCCCCCGGATTCCGAGTATTTGAGGGCATTCTTTTCATTTACTTCAAACGACAACCGTTTAGCCAAGCCTTTTGTTTTACTATATAATGATGCTTGGAATTCAAGTACCGGCATGTCGGAGGGTGGACGAGGTGGTGAAGCAATCCTTGCCAGAGATCACCCAGGTGTTTAACCATCACGACATCCATTTTCTAGAACCGAGCTTTCAAGCAGTTTATTATTGTCCATCATAAACATCTATAATACAATGAACTGATCCTTAACTCAGACATATCTAAGATTTTGATGGCTAGTGTCCCTTTCTACCCGCTGTAAAATGACCCTTCGACGACGTCGACTTGGAGCACATCAAGAGAGTATCGTGAATCCGCACCAGGTCAACAGAGCCAAGACGAGGGCATTACCGTAGTGCTAATTCCATAATAGCGAGTTCATTAGCTTCATAACATTCATGTCAAGTATCCATCGATACAAATCCCAAATCGAACGCCCTGAGAGGAATATCCGTAATGGCGCCAAAACGCGCATTCATGCAGTCAACCCCTTTTTTTTAAACGCCCAAACTCAATATCCGAATGTACAGCTGCAGCACCCAGAAGCTGGCATTCGTATATACCAAAGCGATGCAAGTACCTATCAAGGCAGGTATTACTGTTGGTTCACAACGTTCCGAATACTCCACCTCCAGAGGTCGTCACCCCCTCGGTCTTTATTAGTTCCAACCCACTTCTCGCACTTTCTACGCCACCTCTCCTCCTCCTCCCTCTGGCGCCTTATGAACTCTGGACCGACGTCGAATTCCTCGCCGACAAGCCAGTCATCTTTCAATCCACTGGCGCCTTCGCTCTTCCGACCACCTACTTCGTCCAACTCTTTAGCTGGGGAATCTTGCAAGTCAGGAACATCCTTGAAGACATCTTCATCATCATCTAGGGCATCGAATCCGTCCATAGTGTCTACATCGCTCTTATCCTGCCCCTGGCCAGGCATCTTGAGCCAGCACATACGTATGGGATCGAATACCATGCCACCAACGACTTGGACATTTTGAGCTGAATTGACATTCTGAATAAGAGCTGGCCGAGGGGTGGTGTTTTCTTTCTCGCGATAGATGTTTGGTGGCTCCTTAAAGGCATGCGATGGTACCGAGGCCGTTGATGGCGACGAGGCAGGGGCATCGAAGGGGCTAAGTTCGTTCTCGTTCCCTTCCCAGCGGAAAGTGTGCGGGTTGTAATACATGCCTTTAAGCGCTATATACTTGTTAGTCAAAAAGCCGAAGCATAATTTAATTTACACTTACATTTTGGGTTATTCTGATTCCCCAGTGGCTTGATCAGGTGGGGTTTCTGTGGCAGTCCTTTGGGCTTTTTCGACCTTATGGAATGGGCGTTTGGCGTGCTCAGGCCTGTCGATGCGGATACTTTGGCTTTCCATTGGTTGGTGAGAGTAGAGAGAGGACCACCTTGAGCAGATGGAGCACGTTGTGCCAAGGCATGCTCTCTCGCCATTCGACTTGCAGCAGTATCACGTGCAAATCGAGGGCCTTCGTCTCTTGTCCTGGCAGGAGAGTAGGGTGTTAGGGGCGTCGGGGTATTTGTTCGCAATGGCACCACTTCCTGGTGGACCTTGTTCCTCAGGGAGGATAGCTTGGGAGGGCCGCGACCGATAGGTTCCTTGACGAACTTTTGCTCAGAGTCCCGAGAAGTCGGCAGGTCATCAAATCCGTCAAGCTCGCAACCGTCACCGAAATGCCTTCTGCGCACCGGCTTGGTTACTTGCCGTTTCGCAGCTGCATCGCGGGCCAGTGTCTCGGCACCGCGAGCGTTCCGTCGCGGGCTTGGGGACCTCATTGTCGACCTCGACATAGCTCGTGATGTTGGACGAAGCTCGAAGCTATTAGTTGACGATTCCGAGTCGTGGCGACGGAAATGACGAGAGGTCTTAATAGCCACATGGTGGGACTGAGAATTAGAACCACCTGCTGGCAGGAACGGCAGGGGGTTCTTGCGGGCATGAGACAGGCTTGATTCAGCTCCGGAGCGGTCTCGTTCGACTGGTGTCTTGGGTCGAGACGGTTGAGTTGATCTACTGCTGCTATCCGTACGAGACGGAGGACGTTCATAGCGAGATCCTATTGGTTTAGCTGGTGATTGGGGATATGGGCGCATCGTTGGCATGGATCGCTTAAGTTTTAGCAACTGAGCATGGGTCGTCGTCGGTTCATTGCGAAGACCTGGATTAGACTGCTTGGAGCCTAGGTCCCGTCGGCGAGGGGTTGATGGTGGTAGGGAGTGTATAGAGGATGGTGTTGTAGGTGTTGGAATACTAGTAACGGAGGAATGCGCTGAATGGCCTCCAAGTCTGGATTGAGATCTGCGGTTACGGTTCGTGATAGGTCCTCCACTCTCAGAGACGGGTTCCAGATTCGAAGCTGCCCGCTCATGGCCAAGCGGCCTCGGAAGGCGCGAACCAGCGGTAGTGGAAGGTTTATTAGTGAAAGTTAAGGAGACTGCCGTTTTTGGGCGAGTTGGGCTTGTTTGCCGAGTCGTCTTCATCTTAACATTGCGATTGAGGGTAAGTTTTCTTGAATCGAACACATCTCCATCGCCAATTTCAAGGCCGGACAGGAAATCTTCTTTGACCTCAGCACGCTTGATTGCCTGCTTTTGGGGAGACTGATGATCAGGTGAGCGATCCTGCTGCCTTCTCTTGAGAATGTCGTCAAAAGCAATGGGGCCGGTCGGAAGCACAAGGCCGTCGAGGCCTTCGTCTTCGCTCTCAACAGTTAATGAGCTTGCAACACTCGGACTCAAGGCGGACGCTGAAGAGCTTCGATTAGACCGTGCATCCCGTTTCGTTCCCCCAAATCTCGTTCCTAGGCTGCCTTCTCCCCATTCATCAAACTCATCCTGCATGCTGGCCGGTGTTTTGGGGATATCTTTACGAGCAGATAACCTCAACGGCTCGCCATTTGAAGGGAGCTGGAAATCCCGCTCGAAATCGTCGTCAGCATCTGCGCTCTTCTCGTCCTTCTGTGGCGTGGGCGGGGTAATAAGGGGCAACAGCTTCGGGACTTGACGGCTTTTGGCAACTTTGATTGTGTCCCCGCCATCTCCAAAGAAATCGTCATCGTCTTGATCTCGGAAGCGTTCCAGGAGGTTAGAGGAGGCGGGTTTGGGCCGTAACTCTGCCCGTGGGCTGATGTCAAATTTTGGCGGTGGCCGAAGGGCCTTTACGGGACTGCTTTGGACAGAGCCGGGACCACTGACTTGTCGTAACGCATCTGGGAAGTTTGATCCATCTGGTCGCTTGATCTGGAGGCCGCCATCTCGAGGTAGTTCAAGATCGCCGTCATCCCAGTCATCCTGTATGATCCTCTTGATCTTTCTCCCACCCAGCCTCTTGATGGTCCCTCCCAATAGTGCTGAGGACGGAACATTCTGCGGGATGGGTATTCCAGCTCGCTTTGCGGTTGCAATCGCGTCAATTGTTGAGCTCTCGTCGTCCCCCGGTAGATGCACCTGCTTCTCTTCGTCGCCTTGATTTGAGTCGAAGTCGGAGCGGATAGACAGGCGCGACGAGAGCGACTCCCTGTGATTTGATGTCGTAGTAGTTGCCAGCGACGCCAGCGACGCGCTCCGGAAGGTGAAATCGTCCCCGCCAATATCCAGGTCGTCGTCGTCCCAGCTCTCAATTGGTTCCTCCACAGCCGCCTTGCGCGGCTTTAACGTCAGCTGATCCATTATAAAGGCGTATTGGTATTGGTGAACAATAGAACGAGCGCCGTTCAAAGATTGTGTCGTGTTGAGCGAGCTCCAATGCCAGGTGTAGCACAGATCGATCTGCCGGTCAACGTCGCAGGTTCATCGTGCAAAGTCGCAGCAACGGTCAATAGCAGTGTAGCAATGCGATTTATTGTAGCGCAAGTAAATGTGTAGTAGTGCGGCGGTGCGGTGGTGCTATTGTGTGTGGTATGTGTTGTAGAGCGTGGAGTGTAGTATATTGTGGTGCGGAGTGGAGTGGTGGAGTATGCTGGTGTCGCAGGATGTCAAGATTCTTTCGTAGTTGTTATCGGAGTGGCTGGTAGCGGATCTTTCGCTACTCCAGGGCACTGACCGCCGCTGCTGGTGCTGGTGCTGGTGGCGGAGTGCCAGCACGTGACACAACGCGTCTGCCTCATCCCTCTTCTCGCGTTCCTTTCGCGTTCTCTCCCCTCTACATATCCAACTCCAGCTCCATTCCACCCCCAGAATCCCAGATAGTTGACGATAACGGCCTGAAATCCTGGAGATGTGCTACCCTTGTGCGGATCCACGGCATGGTTTGCAGGCCGGAGATCAAATCTAATCTTGAATCTGACGGCCTATCTGCCTCCGTCCTTCAATCTCGTGTTGTTTCATCCAACATTTGTTCTGGAATTATTCCTGTCAGCGAATAATACTTACCTCGCCCTCCCTTACCTATAGGTGGGTAACCATGGATCCGGATTGCGAAGCGTTGCTCCGGCTCCCCCGCCTCGACCACGCCGCTGATGAGGCCAGCTTTGTCCTGGTCCATGTCTCCTCCGCCGGGCGCCGCCAGCTTGATCTGAAGCTGATTGGGACAGAGCAGGAGACCGTCTTCTCAGTCGCATGTAAGGCAGCCCTAGATCGCCCCCGGTGGCCATATCCTGGGCCCTCAATTTCATGCGTTAATCCACTGGGCTAATCATCGCGCGTCATGTTAGTAAAACATACTCAAATCTCATCGCTGGTAGTAAAAAATTCCCCGTGCAATCAGGAAGAATGGGAGGCAATATTACTCTTCGTTCTACGTGGTTCATTGCCGGAAACTACCAACGAGGGGCCCGATGTTTGCAAAGGCGTTGAGGCCGTTGCCAAAGTGGAAAAGAATGCCACGTCGCTGACAATCACTATCCAGAAGCGCATCCAAGGAATTACCGTACGTTCTTTATTATATCAGGCCCCCTCTTATGATATCTCCCAAGTTAATCATCAATCAGCAACGGCTCGGCACTCTCTCCCTCCCTGCGACCGAGGACGAGGAGGTTTTTCTCTACGAGTGGTGCGGTTCCGCTATTGTAGCAAAAGACAGCGCAAGTGAAGAGCTACAAATAGCGCGCTCAAATCTCCGGGAGAAAGACGCGCAAGTAAAGAAGCTCGAGGAAAGCTTCAACGAACTAGTCAATCTCAAAAATAGCCATGAAAAGGCACTACTTGAGAAGTTCTCCCTGTTACTCAACGAGAAGAAACTTAAAATAAGGGATCAACAGCGTCTACTTTCAAGTTCGAATATAGATCTAGCCAAACATGAAACGGGGCCACGCATCAAAAATACTAGCGCACGAGCCGGGCCGTCAAGAGCTGGCAAACGCAAAATGGGCGAAGATACTCAGGCTCTAAAAGATGATGAGTCAGATGATGAACAAATGGATATTGACAATGAGGCTGCACAATCCCCTGCCAATGACTCCGAACAAGAAGAGGCGCATACACCAGATCCAGAATCTACTGCATCTGAAGCCGAGTCGGAGAGTGATGGTCCGCTGGTTTTACAGCGCCCAAGGAGAACTGCTGATACTTCCAAAGGCATTGCGAAGGGATCAACGGCGCATACCAAGGAGGCAGGCTCAAGTCATGCATCTCAAGATGTTTCGCCGCCGCCTCCAAAAAGAGACTTGCCGTTTCAGCAAAAGAAGGCAACTAAACCTGAACCTGTTGACGGGTCAGAAACCGAATCGGATGATGAGTTATGATACATTGTCTCATAGTAATGAAATGATATTTTTCTAAATCAGCCTTGAATGTGCGCTTCACTCGAATTTGCTCTGTTAACGTCATGACTTTCCTTATAACCCGTATTCTAAACATCCTTCCCTGCTCAGGCATATGTGATTCACAGTATAATATGATTTGATGTCCTGCGATTAAGATGTCTCTCTACATACTGCAGCGCATTCTATACTGACCTCGAGTGGGCGTCAAGAGTCCTTGGGGAACCAGCTAGCCACGGGGAATCGAGATCATTCAAATCATTTCTATGCCCCAGACACATTGTCATTTCCTTGAAAGTGCTAAGGGTGATGGCATCCAGCCATAAGTTTAGTTGCACTACCAGCAAATACTGTCAGACATGCTTTTTACGACCTCAACCTCAAGAGAGGTCCCATTTTAGCCGGTTGTAAAGTACGAAGAACGATTTACAAGATGCTCCTGTATGAAGTATAACATTCGTTGCGCGAAGCTGAGAACTGTGCAGCCAAGGAACTTCATTATCACTTACCAAGATAACAATAGCCCCTAAGAATACCGCAATGATCTAGCACAATGAGGCTCTACCCCAAAGGCACTCCTGAACGGAAGCACGAAGCCTCAGCGGGAACGCCCTCAATAAGCCTCAGAGATAGAGTTCCCTCGACTCGTCAACCCTTCAGCGTCAGGTATGAGTGCAAATCTTGACGCGAAAGCTATAAGCGGATTGGCGGAGACCAGGTGGGTATCAGGTCGCTAGGCGAATTCGGTAGGAAACAACCCCCAAAAAGAGTCAAAAATAAATACGACCTCAAAAAATAGTTAACTCCTAATTGAACCTTAAAATGGCAAAAGAGTTCAGCCCGGTGTCGAGTGCCTACATCTCTTGTCGCTTTTTCGTTTTTGTCGTTTTGTTGTTTTGTCGTTTTGTCGTTTTGTTGTTTTGTCGTTTTGTTGTTTTGTCGCTTTTGTTATTATTTTGTTGTCCTTTTTTGTTGATCCAATACACCCGTACAATTTGACCCGAACCACTTCCCAGTGGTCGCCCTTGTACGGCGATAATGGAAATTTCTGCTATTTGGTCTTATATACCTAGGTAGATATGGTTGGTCATCCAGGCCAATTAACAGCCATACTCCACCCCTATATTGCGAGTACCGTACCACTTACGGTTCATTAGCTCCAACCAAAAAAGATATATATTTAGGTAGTCTACGGCTCTCCTCTTGATCTCGAACAAATGCCCTGATCGGTTGTTAAGCTATCCATTCTACTCTACGCCAGACACCGTTAGAGTAACGAGGCGACCTTAAATTTGGAGGCATTCACTTAGCACCACCAGCTCCCCCGTCCCAAGGTAATTGAATGGCGTCAGTGTACCACTCCCAGCACTATGGCAAGCTCAACAAAGGTATCCCTACACTATGTGCCGTAAAAGGTGCTCCTATTATAAAATCGCATCTGTTGTTGAAGTATGCTGCCAGAGAAACTACTAACTCGACAATTTCCTAGTAGTATACATTCACAGTACGGCCCACGTTGGTCCTTTCAATATGAAAACAGCTTAGAATGTAATTCCAATTTACGCCCTCTCTCCAGCTCAGCTCGTTGGCCACCGGATAAATGGTACTCGAATATCGCCTTCCAAGTTTACATTGCTCTCTATAATCACTAATTCCAAGCTCGGAGTCAACAAGTGTTACCCGCAAACCTTATATTTCTTGTTTACCTAGGAAGATGCAACATATGGGAGATGGGGTAACCACACATGAATAACAAACCACCACATTAGCTTTAGAGTATGACCATAGGACTTAATACCTAGATTTCAGTACTCAGAACTTTAGAACTCTTCAACTACCAATCGGGCATCGTAGCTTCAAGTTGGAGAGCACGCGCTCGCAAAGACAAATAAGCCATTAAGAGACCTCCAGTAGACCAGTAGTGCTATCATTGATCAAAAGAATAAAGTAGCTATTCAATGCTATCCATAGCATAATCTTTCCCTCGCTCCGAAAACACCTGAACACCAACATAGCAGATACTTGAGATTGCTCGTTTCTCACCATAGTTCCATTCTCGTAGACGAAACCAACCAAACCTTAATTACTTGCTCCCCCTTCCTACCACATCCCCGTTTATATGTCCTCCCTGGAGGATCCCCTCAAGGTAGTGCAAATTTAATCCCAGACGCTTTCCTCTCATTCCTGCTAACCGAACCCCCGTCACCAGCATTTTTCAATATGCCTCTTGGAGGCACGGTAGCACCCGTAGGTCCAGTTAGAGGTGGCGCAGGTCTCCCCGTTCTCCTCTCCAGGGACTGCCGGTAGTGGTTAAGGATTCCTTGTGCGTGCCTATCGTAGCCCTCTAGCTCTTGCGTGCCTCTATCGACCAGCTCTCTCATGTTTCGGCTCAATTCATCTCGGACTGCTTTTGCAGTCCTCGGTTTGGGCGCGTTGTCCATACCGCCCATCTCTACATTCCCATCGCCTGCGGGAGGATGGATTGCTGGGTGTTGTTTGTTTGGATTAAAGGTGTCAGGCTTAGCCTCGTAGTCCTCACTCTTAGCATCCCTTTTCGCTAGGACCTTGAGCCGCCGGAACATATTGTCTATCTCCTTGTTCTGGCGCTCGTTCACTTCTTTGTCCTCCCCGTGCAGCGGTGATATTTCATCACCTTTGCACCGCTCCAATACTTCCAGTTCTTCCCTTGCTTTCGAAGCTAAATTATCTGCACGTTGCTGTATCAAGAACAGCATATTTTTTCTGACGACATCTTGCTGCGCTTGCAGGTTCTCGATAATCTTCTGGAGCTGCTGGGGTTGATCGAGAATTGGCGCTTGGCCTGGTGGTCCTTGAAAGGGGACAAAGATTGCTGGGGATAGAGAGAACGGTGGCTATTGCTTGATTAGTTTCCATTTTTCTCAAAAGATCGGTTATTTCCCGTCGCTCTGTTGGATATTTGCGAGAGGGTTGGAAAGAAAAGTTGAAAATGCAGCCTTGCACGGTACGTGGATATCACGTGTGAGAGGAAGTAGAATTCAAATATTTGGCAACGATAGCGATAGAGTTAAGAAGGCTGAAGGCAAGCTTACCTCGATGTCTTGCTTCCATTCTTGTGGCTGATCTTGCCTTTGCGCTTGCGGTTCCCTTGATGCCATTTGATTGATGTTTGCTGTGGCAAAAGCTCCTGAAAGGTCGATTGAGACTTCGTATAGTAAAGGTATTTGAAACAAAGGTCTAGAATTCTCTTCCTGCTAGGTTGTTTCAGATGATTATCTAAAGGCTCCCCATGGATTCTGTATACCTTGGTTGCGGCTGTGGTTGTGGATGCGGTTGGAGCTGCGATGTCGATGTGAATGTTGAGTCTGGACTGCAGGAGGTGGCGGGCAACCAACAAGCGAGAAATAGTGCCCAACCCCTTTCCAATGTTACAATGTTATTTTGCGGATCGTGCCGAACCCATATAGACAAACCTTCAAGATAATGACACCGACTTACTATAATAGTTATATGATGACTTGAATTATTCGAATCTGCAACCGTGGTGAGGGGTGTAAGCATCTAGTGGAGGATCTGACACTCATCCTATGAAGTACTCGATTGCTAAATAATGCAAAGAATAGGTAATCAACTCAACCAACCCTTAATATCTTCAAATAAGCTCCAGGCTTCTAGAGATTAATATCGATTTGGGGCTTAGAAGAGGCTTGTATCTCTCAAATCCTAATATAAACCTTACGCTCATAAGCTTACTCGCCTAAACTAAAAAGGCTACACCTCACCTTTTGTATCGTTGTATAAATAGCCGAATAAGGAATTCTGGGTAACAAGTAGTGACAGGGTGTTAGGAGCAATGGTCTAGTGGTACAACAACCATCGAATACTACCTCTAACAGCAAAGCTGGCTTAGCCCCCCTGGATGCACTGCCAGAGATAACCAAGGTCAAAGCCTCTGTTTCCCGACCTGAGTTTCTCGGTACCTAACCTTAACAGGTTGGGGTATTTCTTTTGCACTTTCCCCTTAATGTAAGGTTATTTTTATTCTATTTTTATTCTATTTATTATACTACATAGTTACAATAGTTACAATTCTTTTAGCTTGGAGAGGGTGTGACTTCGCGACCTTTAAAAGTCGCGTATGCGGCTATAATCAGAATACGTGGTATATCAAGGCTGAAAGAAGTAGGGTGGATTGGGTAAAATGCGACGTCACATTAATGTTGATTGAACTAAAATTGGCAAGCCTAATAAGGCAAATGCCCTATGTCTCTTTCTCCGCCGCACGAAGAACACCGACAGCAATCTTGAACAAGACAACCGCAAGCGTGACAATCTCCAGTCTCCGGCCCCTCAGCTCTCCATAGGTCGTCTGATTGAACAATGCACACTCATACCGAGGTACATTACTAGGATTGCCGTGCAAGGAGCGAGATCGGGCCTCGTTCCTGCGGTGATAGCGGCACCGTATATCGTACTTGGTATTCCGTTCCGAAACGCCGATCGTATCGTGGTCGAGATGGTTGATATCAGTCGGCGGCTCAACAAGAATCTCCCGAAGAGATACTTGTTCCGGGACAGCAAATGTCAACTGACTGGCATGTCGTGACTCAGATGTGAGTTCACCAAGTGCTGGGTTTTTGGTGGTGGTGTCCTTGAGTTATAGTGTAATGGTTCTTGCCGAACGGTCATCGAGGGGGAAGTATCTTTCTTGCATACTCCCTTCCGATCTTCAAAGCCTCTCGGACCAAATCTTCAACCCTCCTATCCTTCCGTTTCCTCATCCATAACAGAACTATCCCGAGGACAACAACATCCACAAAGAAGTGTCTCACAACTAGCCATAGAAGCCACGCAAACCATCTTCCCAGTGACCTTTGCCTTCTACCTTGGTATTCTCTCCCCGTGGTAATCTGCTCCCTCAGCGCAGCGATCTCAGCAGTCATCTTGACCAACGCCTGTTCAACAGTCTTCCTCCACTTCTTGGGCGTTTGGTCATTGTCCTCACCGTCGTTAAAGTCGTCGTTATCACCGTGTTCACCATTGTACCCTATCCTCCTTTCCGAATGTCTCTCCGCCTCATCATCTTCGCTCATTGGGCTAAGTACTCGCATCGCACCGTCGGTCCCTGACCGAGGCTGTTGGAACGATCGCGGCTGTGCGGAATATGCAGGTGGCTCGCGTCTGGGCGAGGAGTCAGGTGAAGATGCGCTGTTATTTTTTATTTGATCCCAGACAAATTCGAGTTCCGCCACCAATTCCCTTGCGTCACTAAAAGTCCTTCGTGTCAGCCTTATGCCTCATATATTCACCAGGCAAGGCAAAAGAGGAAAACTCACGCAGTAGTGCTGGCATATCGATGCATAGTTTCAATCAATGCCTCGATATATCTTCTTTTCGCCTCTGTCCGGCTTAAGCCTCGCTGCGAGTCCCATGCATCGTATTTATCTCTTTCCCGCTTTAACTCCTCTCCTCTAGGTCCCTCCTCGCTACTACCTACGCTCAAAGGCCTCTCCATCACCCCATCCACATCACCTTCCATCGCTTGTTTGTAGAGGCCATAGAGGCGTAATCGGTCAGAAGGCGGTGGACGCGAGGCTCCGGTTTTTGGTATCTTTTTGACAGTGTTAAGAGCATGTACGAATACGCGATCTATAGATTCCTCGATATGGTTAGCTGAGGTATTCACACAAAGCATTAACCATCCTTCTTGACGTTTGTGAGACTAGGGAGACTCACCAACCGAGTCCGCCATACTATGGTTTCTTCCGCCAATTCAGCTTGTGATGAAGCCAGACGGTGCGTGGCGCCAGAAAATTAAATCGACACCAAGAGAGTAACAAAAGCCCGATTATAAGAATATCATTTGTGCACGAGTAAATACACGATTTGAACTGCGGATGTTCGATGAGGTTGGGATTTGCGGCGGAAGAGATATCCCACTGCATCGACACTCGTGAGCCAGCGCGTGTTGTCCGATGCCTCGGTTTGGGGGAAGCGAAACAGGGGTGTGGGGCCGATGGCGTAGTGACAACGGTGCAAATTCGGAGTTAGTTGGGGATGTTGAAGCTTGAGCCGGATTAGATACCGAAAAACGAAATTGATTCATGCAAAGAATGCTCTATTTCTGTTTGGCTATATTATTATCTCAAGACTAGCTCAATTCCCAAAGGCCCATCTAGTGTTCTTACGCTCCATTCGAGCTGGTTAGGTTTAGCGGTTGTCTGGAGATTACACAGCAGCATTGCGGAGTACCCCACAACCGGCTCTATATTACCTTCCTGGGTAATACTAGGGTAGATAATCCTTCGTGAAGCTCGGCGGTCCACGTGAAAATGATGTTGGATTTCAAAGCGGTCAAAATCTTTGCAATTACGAGAACTGCTGCAACATATCTGTACAGGTACCTGGCTTTAAACTACGTAGAAATGCTTCCGGCTGCTTGTGCCACTTCTAATGCTTGTCTCTCCAACTCCACTTGTGCATCGAATAGCTTCTTCTTCTCCACATACGGTGCTAGCAGCTTCTTGTTTTTCATAGCCATCTCTGCAGCTTTCATGCCAGCCTCTTTCTTCGACCGAGCACTTCCGCGCCCAAGAGACAAGCCCTTCGCACCCCATCCTTCTAGAAAAATGCCAACAGTATAAATCGGAACATCTGTGTGCCGGTCCTTGGACGGGGGTGCAACCTCTCGATATTCTAATCTGATCCCTTTGCCCCCCAGTGCCTGCTGTAGCTGATCCTTGGAATTGTAAGAAGTCGATAGCACCAAAGCCTGCCTTGCACTCCCTACCAAATTCCACATGGGGTTTAGATGCATCTTTTCTCTCCTCTCTTCGGCAGCAATTTCCTTTTTCAGAGTCACACCCCAAAGATTCTTCAGCCAGTCCGCAGCTCTGCTAAAGCCATTCACAGGATCTGAAAGGATAACCGCAGCGACGTAAGCTTCAAATACATCGCCCATGATCTTTACCATAACATCTTTTCCCATCGAGTCAGGATTTATGTTAAGAGTTAAACGCTTATCGAAGCCGTAATGCCGAGAATATTTTTCAAGTTGGGCGTTTTTAATTAGGCGTTCGCGGAGTTCTGTTAATTTGCCTGGATTGAGATTTTGAAATGATTGAGAGATTAAAAGCGTGGTAAGCATTTCAATATATGCGTCACCAACCCATTCGAGATGTTCATAGTTCATAAACATAAACTTGGCCGTCGAAGCACTCGGATGGCAGAAGGTGGCTTCCTCGAGGGTGCTGTCCAAGATTGCGGGCAGCGGAGGGAAAGAGTTGCGTATTTCCGAAGCTTTCCAAGGTGTGATATGAGCTGACAAGGTCGATGCTATTCCGCGATCATGTGAGCGGGGACCTGATGGAGGATCAATGTTGGATATGCTCTGTATGGTGGTTTGAAGGTCCCGACATTTGTTCCGGACTTCATCTCCAATTAGGTTCAGAGTATCATCTGCATCATTCTCATCTAAAACCTCATCCAGAGCTCTCAGGAGGCTGGAAATCTTTTCAGAACGAGATGGTACAGCCTTAGCTGAAGAATGAGAAGCTGGTGGTATTGATTTGGAGCTTGCCACATCCACCATGTTAACTCGCTCATCCCCACGCTCATGGCTGACCTGGTAGCAAATGAGTACGTGATTGGATACATTGCATTGCAGGGAGACACTTACATTGCGTTTTTTTTGTTTCAGTTGTTGCAAGTCTTCCCTGCTACGTCTATCGTGAGAGCGCTTCCGCTTGTGAGTCTTCAAGGCGGGGTCCATATCTCTCTACGCTTTCCCGGGCGTGAGCAGCCCTCAGAAGCTTCTCGAGCTCGAGACTTGGACAACCGGAGCAAGTAGGAGGCTATCAGGTGAAAGAAGTAGTAGATAATAGCCAAATATTTACCTTCTCCAGGAACTATTCATAAATATTTTAAATCCACAGATTTGAAGTTGAAGAATATTTATTCTCATGGTGAAATAGAACAGCGATAAGGATCTTGTTCCATCGCGGTAAATAGACGATCGACGTGGAGCTCAAGGATGTTTCGCGACAAATTTCTTCGACCCCTGCGCGCGGCTCGGATCAATAGTGGCCCCGAAAAGCCGCTAAATTTTACATTCAACGTCGATGTACGGAGAGTCCTACGTATGAAGCTCTGAATGAAAGACTGGCAGCATCAAAAATGGCTGTGCCACGCTCAAGGATATTGGACCTGATGAAGGTACAGCTTCACATCGTTTAACCCAACCACTGCATGCAGTATGCTGATCATTTTAGGCCCAATGCCGGATCTTCTCGCATACCTTCAATCCCGAGGGACTTCGACTCGGGAACAAAGTTCTACGTCAACGATTAAAGGGCCCTGCCTTGGCCTCATATTATCCGCGGAAGATGGCAACGTTCAAGGACCTGCAGAAAGTTTACGGGCCTGAGTTTGAGACATACGATGAAGCGGAAGAGGACCGATTGGAAAAGATCAAGATGTACATCAAATATAGAGATGCGGCTTATGGTGCATTTGCTAACTTCTATTTAGTCTTAAGGCAAGAGGGAAGGGTGCGCCAAAAAAGAAGAGGACAGCGGCGGGTATGTATTGTGGTCCAGGGTTCAAGTCGAGTCATTTACTAACAACATTTGGCAGACTCGAAGAAGTTCAAGCACAAGAAGAACTAGTTATGACTGCATCGGTGGGAGGCATTACGATGGAGCGATTGCTATTTGTATCGAATATGCGATTTGTAAAATATTCGGCGTTCTGGGAAGGTCATGGATGCGAGTCCCAGTTAACATGTGTGTCGAATATGATAGTGTTGGGTCCAAGCACCTTAACAGTAGAATGCAGCGGATTCAAACGTCATTTTACGAGTTTATGTCTATGCTCTCCGCGCTGACTGTAATTCCAGGGCGCCATGATCATCATTAGGATAGCCGTCGCACTCGGGCATCGTCCTGCAGGTGGCGGAACTACAGCAATTACGCTAAACCCCAACTTCCCATTGGACTCAGTACGTAAGCTAGCTTTGATATAGGTTGCCGTTGGTCTATCCAGCAAGCTAGTAATCGTATTATTTCGTTTCATAAAGAACTTCTACGTGTTACGCCCGGATGTGGCATATCTTGACTTATAGGTGTGGGTTGCAGCCGCTAGGGAATGTGGGAAAGTCGCCCCCGAAAAAAGAGCCACACCAGCTCAATTGGAGATCTCTTTCAACCTTATAGTTGGCTTGAATAACTTTGCTTTTGCTATTGCTAGTTTCTAAACATTGTATTAGGCAGTTATGGTTGCAGCTAAGTGCGGCGCCTCGGATCTATTCAGTGGTGAAAATTTGAAGAAAGCGATAGTTTCGCCCTGTCGTCCCCCTGAATAGAGTAAAATACAACACGTTCGTCCAGAGGCTTCCATAATTGAAGGCCTCGCTTCCATTGTCTGTCCACACCCACACAAACCGTCTCTTGAATTCACTTCGCTGGTGGAATCGGTTAAACCATCTGCTTCCGAATGGTCAGCCGTCTCCTGCGCACCTTCTACGCGACCTTCTTTCCTAACCCTCCCCCCTTTCCCACATCAACCTTAATTGCATCAAAACAGCCTCTCAAATTTCAACACAACGCAGCGGCGCCCTGTGGAGGATCGTACAGTACTTTCAGGTGCTCCTTCTCCATTTAATCACCCGAGCTACGACTCTTATTTGTTTTGTTGATCTCTTCTTCCCTTTCTCATTCTCTCTCACCATCTACCTCGACCTCGACCACCTACTCATCTTGACATCTAACATCATCTCTTGGATTCAAGCACAGTATAGCTGACAAGAATCTGCTCGAAGCCTACGTACCAGGCACATCAAGATGTCTGCGTCGACTTCCGCGGGCTCTCCCACCTTTTGCCGTGGAGCAGCAACCGGCGGAGCCTCCACCCAGGAGAACTCTGGGGCCTCCGATGAGAAGCTGATGGATCGTCCTGTAAGTTTCTATCCTCACTTTGTCATATGGATATGCCCATCGTACCAAACAGCTGGGGCCACACGTACGCAAACCTCGCGTCCATCACTTTTTACGCTTGTTTCCACATATTGCCCCGGGCTACACTCCGCCTTTCCATCATTTTCTACCGCACTACCATCTGGGTATCGATGCCACGTAGTTGGTGCTTACTGATACTTCTGTTACAGGATCCCTCGATGTTCCTCAAGAAGTCTGCTACTGTGTTGTCCACAAGCAAGTTTGTAAACCAGGCTGCACCAAAGGCTAGTTACCATCTCTTGAAGTACTGGGATCCTTGGGGGCGACTTCTGACATGATAGCAGGCGGAGATGAATCGTGATTCTATCTCATCGATCGAATTGAACCCAATGGACAAACTCCTCGCGAAGCTATCTGAACAATCGGCCGTCATCAACAAGCAGCACGAGGCTCTCAAGGCTTCCGATGATGGCTCCGCCTTCTCACGCACTCTCGAGTTCGTATCAACTACCGGCCGCGCGGTGTCTACCACACCAATGCCAGAGACAATCAATGCAAGCACTGCTCCGGACAGCAGTCCAGTTAGCGTTGCTCGCGAGGTGCGTCCTGTTGCAAATACTGACGAAGTACTTCGCTTGAAGCTTGAACTCGAAGCCGCCAAAGGCAAGATTGCTCGCATGGATCAGGAGCTCGCCCTGAACAAAATCACAAAGCACACCATTGACCAAGCCATCGGCGGAGCATCCGAAGCTGACTTCACCCTAAACTCTGATATCCCCAATCAGCATTTGAACCACCTCCAACAGTCCATCAACACGAGCAATCGTCTTCAGGTTCCTAGAGATAACTCGTGGGCCGCCCAAGATGATACTCGTTCTGATACTAGCGATGCACTCTCTGCTGGTGGTTTCAACCGTGCTCGTGCTATCTGGGCCAACGGTTCCAAGCCAGGCTTCACTGGTGCCCAAAGCCCGGTTCCTGCCTTTCAAGCATCCGAACCACTTCAGTCCGATCACTGGATGAGTCGTGGTTTTCGTCAGCCCTTCGAGCCAACGATGGCATATCCTGCTCCGCCAATGAATGTATTTCGTGGTGATCGCCTGCACCCCGACTCCGAGCTTTTGATGACCGCTCCAGCAATTCGACGTAATCAAGTTGGTGGCCGCTTTGGACGTGGAGCGTTTCCTTACGCCAGTAGCAACAGCTCTTACGATGGCTACCCTCCTGCTTCTGCCCATTATGGCTCTGTTGGAGGTATGGCAGGTGGAGTTGCTCCTATGGCAGGCCCTATCGGTATGGGCGCAGGAATGAATATGGGAGGTAATATGTATGCTGGATATCAGCCTCAACCAATTGGCACTCCACTTTCCCCTCACGCCCCAGAGTTTACTTCAGGTACTGCTGCATGGAAGAACGATGCAAGTGATCCAACAGCTTTTGATTTGAACTATGCTAACGAGTATTCAGGCTGTTGCTACGGAGGGCCAGACCTATCTTCCAACCACCGAACCTCTTAACTATCGTCGTCTTCTTGACCGTACTGTCAATTGCAACTGGAAATACATCGTGGACAAGATTGTGTGCAACAACGACCAACAAGCTTCGATTTTCCTTCAGCAGAAGCTTAAAGTCGGAACTACTGAGCAAAAGTATGACATCGTGGAGGCAATTGTCGCCCAAGCCTACCCGCTTATGGTCAACCGCTTTGGAAACTTCCTGGTCCAGCGATGCTTCGAGCATGGAACTCCGGAACAAGTCATCAAGATTGCTGAGGCTATTCGTGGTAACACCTTGAGCCTCTCCATGGATGCCTTCGGCTGCCATGTTGTTCAGAAGGCTTTTGACTCGGTTCCTGAGGATTACAAGGCTATTATGGTCCACGAGCTGCTTCGTCGCATTCCGGAGACTGTGATTCACCGTTACGCATGCCATGTCTGGCAGAAGCTCTTTGAGCTCCGCTGGACTGAATCCCCTCCACAGATCATGAAATACGTCAATGAAGCTCTGCGTGGAATGTGGCATGAGGTTGCTCTTGGTGAGACCGGCAGTTTGGTTGTTCAGAATATCTTTGAGAATTGCCTCGAAGAAGATAAGGTACACATTAGTGGATTTCCCTCTGAAGCGACCCGTTTTAACTTTATAACAGCGTCCATGTATCGAAGAAGTTCTTGCCAGCATCGACATTGTTGCTCACGGCCAATTCGGAAATTGGTGCATTCAGCATATCTGTGAGCATGGTGCCCCAGCTGATCGCAGTCGAGCAATTGATCATGTCATTCGCTATGCGTCAGAGTACAGTATGGACCAGTTCGCATCGAAGGTTGTCGAAAAATGTCTCAAGATCGGTGGCGTTGACTTCCTCAGCCGTTATCTCGACCGTGTCTGCGAAGGCCGGCTCGACCGCCCACGCATTCCCTTGATTGATATTGCTAGCGACCAGTACGGAAACTACCTTATCCAGTACATCCTGACCCACTCCAACCTCCAGCATCGCGAGATTGTGGCTCAGCATATCCGCAAGCATATGGTCTCTCTTCGTGGCTCCAAGTTTGGCTCTCGAGTTGGTATGCTTTGCACCAATCCCGCCATTCAGACTCGTCCTGGCCCAGGAGCTGGTCCCACCATCGGCGCTGCCACTTCCCGCATGCCTCAGCAAGTCGCGCGTTATGGCGGTGCTTACCGCTAAACGCATACTTCGGCACCTGGATTCTTCCACCTCAATGGCTTGGCTCATGCCCGATCTTACCCTTGAAAAACAATATCGAGGATCGAACCTTAAGAATACAACATATTCGAACCGGCTCTGTCTCTTTGTCTGCTTTTGGTCTTTCATATCTATGGATGCCTTCAGTTGGGTCTGTTTACATCCTGCGAAAGTCGACTTAGGCCTTGTGTGTCCCCTGTGTTGGCCATAAACGTTTCCTTGAAAGGCCAAACTGTGATATCTCTTTGTTTTATCAACATTTTCTCGCGCAACCTATTTTACCGATACTGGTCATCCTATGCTGAGGAGTACTTCTCTTTAGTCATTTGGACACATGGTTAGGAGTGCTACAACAGGCCTTTCTGATACAGTCTTAGCTACCTTCATTGGCGGCTCTCCTGCTCACACCGGCTTGCTCCATGCCAATTTTGCGTGGATGTATAATTCCTCGGGTGCTTTTTTTCTGAACTCAACTGCGGATGTTCAGAGGAGGGTATCTGCCTTTATTATGCGATGGGCAAGCGTTCATGTGGCAGGAGAAAGGAGGTTTCTATGCTGTCTTATTCCCGTTCTACCCCAATTGTATTACAGAATGCCAAACACATGAGCTTTGTTACCAACCTTAGTCAGTCCTTACCAAATACAAATGGCTTCTAAAAGTTCGTGGGCACTTGTAACTGTATGTGATGAAATAATGTGAGGAAGCTAGAAAGTGGCCAACACGGTCATGAGATGATGACGCATCCTCAAAGAAAGTCGCGACTCCAAGTATAGCATTGGCTTGAGTAATGATGAGTCTTATTGCACCCATAATATACTGCAACACAAGGTTAACTATTGCTAAAGCTATGCTCTGCCCTTGCCATCATGAAATTTATGCATCGATAGTCTCCAATACCAGCGCCACGGGTAAAATTATTAAACGCTGTGCAATGAAATGTTGTCCATCCCTTCGTATTACCCCAACTCCACCCATGCCCCGAAATTTCACCCCCAACCGGATATCTCTGCTGTGTTCCATTTCATCATTTCATCATCCATTCATTCACTGACCACCCTCGGGCAACTCCTGCTCAATTGGGTTATCGCGTCTGGCATCACCAAACGTTCCCTCTCCAATGCCACCCGCAATGACTCCATCTGGTACATCCTTCTCCCACGGCTTTCTTCTGCGCGGGGCTTGGGGGTCGGTGATTTGCGACGTTAACAATGTGGGCGGGATGTCCTTGATGCCTGGGATGGGAGCACCGGTTGTAATAAGCTCGACGATTTGGGCGAAAGTAGGAGGGTAGGGGGCAGTCTTCTCGGAGCCTGACGTGTCTGTAGACATTGTGGCGGGTGGGAGGTCGGATTCGTGGTGTGGGTGTGGTTGGGGTTGCATGGTGCCGGCTAGTTGAGGGACTTCAGCTTTGGACGAAGATGCTACGTCCGGGTGGGGTTCTTGGGGAACGGTTGAGGGGGCCGTGGATGGGTTGCCGGATTTGTTGGCTAGATAAGACTTGTAGGCGTCAAAGTCAATTGGAATTGACTTTTTGCGAGAGAGGTAGAAGCACTGAGCCCGGATAGTGAGATCCTCGACTTGTGAGGGGGAAGGGGAAGGTCCGAGGATTGCTGACAGACCACCCTAGAAGACATTAAGTCAGTTCTGTCAAATAGTGATAATATGTTTTCAGGGAGCGCGTAAGAGCTTGAGGGGTTCATTACGACTACACTTGTTTCGTATCTTGAGGAAGGGGATGGAGTTTGAGTTTGTTTGGTGCTGTTCCAGGGCACATGGCTATCTCAATGCCGAGGCTGATATCAGATCAAGTTGCACTTTCACTTACCTGGAACTCTTTGTCTTTGCTCCAAGGATAATGCTCGAGCTGTCTGAAGATCTCGGTATCATCCGGGATTGAGGATGGTTCCGTAGCCATGGTACGGTTGGCGTTGCGTAGGAGTCAAACGCGACGTTATTGATGGAGAGATAGAGATAGAAATATAATAGAGGGGAGAGAGCAACTCGGTGCAGGTCCAATGTGCAAGTAAGGCTGAGCTTGGGCGGTGCGACAGAGGGCGGTGGGCGAGCTCGGCTCTGGTGCAAAGGGCAGTAAAAATGGCAAAGGCAGCATTTCTTAATCTCCTTATACGGACTAGTATTTACCTCTGTCTACTACTTAGCTCTGTCGCCGCCCTTACTCACCGCTAGCTGCACCGCCAGCTGCTTGTGGTTAGGCGAGCCAGGGTCAAACTCAACCTCTCCCAGCCTTTTTCCATCGATCTGCGAAAGCGAAATAATCACTTCACACAAACTCCCTTCCTCCATAAACATCCTCCCTCACCACCACCTTCACCTTCACATTCACCTCCCACTCCACCGCGTCACCACAGCCCCATTACGCGCGCAAATAGCGAAGCTTTCCTTTCAAATTCCTCTTCTTCAATCTCTTGAATTCGCTGTGATCTGCTCGCTGCGCCACATGCACCATGTCCGAATTCTTAGGGTGAGCTCTGAGGTTATGCGACTGCTTTCCAGAGCGGGATGCTAACACGTTGACGCGTCCAGAGCAAGAATATCGCTGGTATCAAGGAGTGATATTAGGTATGTATTGCGCTCGCTGAAAGCTCACCGCCGCCAAGCTGACACGAAGCTAGATACGTCGGTACCCTCCACGAGATTGACTCGGAGAAGTCCACCGTCGCGCTTGAGAATGTCACCTCCTTCGGCACAGAAGGCCGAAAGGGCAATCCTGATGAAGAGATTCCGGCCTCTGATAGCGTCTACGAGTACATTGTCTTCCGCGGTAGCGACGTCAAGGACTTGAGGATCGAGCAGCCCCCAGCCCCCACAGAGACCAAACCCCCGCAAGTCCCCAATGACCCTGCCATACTTGGTGTAAGTGCCGGTTTTTATTTTACTTGTTCCTTTTGTCAACCGTTGCCCTAGACAGGCACAAGGCTTTTTATGTGATGAAAAATTCCGGATGTTAACTCAGTATTACCTCCGAGAGCGCAAAACCGTGTGGAGATTTCCGTTGCCTTCCTTCTGATTACAAGCTATATCCTCTTCAATCTATTCATCTCAGATTTCTTGCGAAGCAGCTTACTGACCCTTCTGCCTACAGAGCGGATCTCGTCCTACCCCACAAGCCCAAGGTCCTGCCCGTCAGACCCAACAAGGCCCGCCTCAGGGTCCTCCTCAAGGCGCTCCTCAAGGCCCTCCCCAGCAGCAAGGTCCACCACCTCCAGGTGTTCCCCCCTTCCCTCAACACCAATATCCACCACCATTCTATCCTCCTCCACCTGCTGGCTGGGGGCGTGCTGGCCCTCCTGGTCCTGGTGGCTTCCCTGGTATGCCCCCTTATGGTGCGCCGCCCGGCTGGTATCCTCCCCCTGGACAGGGATTTCCTCAGCCTCCCGCTTTCCCTTATGGCTACCCACAAGGACCACCTGGACAGCAATTCCAGCAAGGCCAGCCCCCTAAGCCAGCTCCAATTGGTCCAGGCGCCAACAAACATCCCGCCCAAGGCCATGCGGCTCAAGCTGGTGATAAGCAAGTTGAGCCAAAGGCCTCGGTTAAACCAGCTGAAATGGCTGGCACCGCGGTCCAAAAACCTTCCACCCCTCTCGTTGCTGCGAAACCACTCCAAGGTGAGGTCCAGGCTGCTGTTTCGCAAGCAGCGACTGCGCAAAACGTGGCTACTGCGGCTGCCACAAAGTCAGCCCCAAGCGGACCCAAGAACAATAATCGCATCCAACCAGCCGTACCTCTCCAAAGCCCAGCTGCAGTCAAGCAGCCACTTGCGAATACTGGTAGTGCCTCTGCCGCAGCCGCCAACACGAGCTTGAAAGATGCAACTGAGGCTGCTACGGCAGCTGTTGCAGCAGCAATGGCAAAGCTTCCTCCGGCCGGACAGACGAATGGAAGCGCTGTTGATAACTTGACGAGAAAGGTTAATGAAATGAGAGTTGACCATGCTGTCCGCGCACCACGCAACCCCACCGGTGCTGGAGGCTTTAATACGGGCAGAGCACCTCGCGGTGCACGAGGCGGGGCACGGAACGCTGGGCAGAAAGTTGAAGTCCCGACTACGGATTTCGACTTTGAATCTTCCAATGCCAAATTCAACAAGCAGGATCTTGTGAAGGAAGCCATTGCCGGCTCGGAATTGACGGAGACTGAGGCCGTTGCTTCCCCTGAGGCAGAGGTCCCAACTGGCGGTTATAATAAATCTTCGTCATTCTTCGATAATATCTCATCTGAGAGCAAGGACCGTGCTGAGGCGGGTAATGCTAGACCAGGTGGGCGGGAATGGCGCGGTGAAGAGCAGAAGAAGAATGTTGAAACATTTGGCCAGGGAAGTGTCGATAATGGTTATCGGGGCGGTTTCCGGGGACGAGGCCGCGGACGTGGTTACCGAGGCCGTGGCTATAATGCAGGACAGCCCGGTCGTGGACGTGGAGGATACCGAGGTGGTCGCGGGGACGCACAAACCACCGTGCAATAATTATGACCTCGACTTCCCAGGAAGCCAAACGATGAGATCGAAATTTTCTTGCGCTGTACCAAAAGCTACTTGAGACGAATTTACTATTTCGGAACCGGGCCAAATCCGCATCATCTTGAGTTTTCCAGACTATGTTTAAGGATGGCTAGGGATTTCAAGGCTTCATTGTGTGTTACTGTTTATTTTTTTGTACTATCTGGGGTCGATCGTACAATAACGAGGAGTAAATCACGGATATGAAAACACGTTTGCAGTATGGGTTGGATGGCGCTTGCGAATCCAGTGGAGTCTGATATTGAATCACAATGAACCGGAGGTCATGGGTCTGCATTACTAGGAGAAGCGGCACCTTACGCTCTCTTGTCCCCTTTGCGTCGTGGGTGGAAGTGTAATTACTTGCTGGTTCCTGAAGGATGGGCTTGAAATGGAAATGAAATTAGGACTGCTGAGTTACCCTAGCTTGTACAGTGGAGTACTGGAGTGGATGGAATGATCCAATGGTGCGCTGTGTTTGTTACTCATAGGGAACCTTCCAGGAAGAAATGACAGGCGGCTATAGAAACGAACGAGAAGAAGTTTAGGCTACTTGGTAAATGGGCAGACTAGATACTGCAGTGCTCATTACCAGCATGGAAAATAAAAGCCTTCAAACCATTTTGCATTTGGCCTAACTCGAGGTCTATCTGAAGCTGCAATACGAGTGTGATCATTACTCCTATTCTTTCATATCCTTTGCCTAGTTCTGGATCCTACCCATTCATAAATTCCCAAGCTCTGATCAAGAACTACACGAACATTGCATAGCCCTACTTTCCCTCGGCACATCCCCACAGAACCTCTCCTCCTCCGCCTCATCCCACCCCCACCTCTCCTCAAAAGGCCTGAGCGCCATATCCATAACCCTATCCAAAATCTCCCTCTCGCCATCCTTCTCCACCCTCTTAATCAACTCATCCAAAACCCAACTTCGCGGGATGAATTTCGGATTAACACTCTTCATAGCCTCCTGCCTCGCGGTATCATTACCATCAGGTCCCCAGTCTTCATACACACGAGTACGCCAGCGGTCGAGCCATTCAGCGACGCGTTTACGCGCTGCCTCGTCCGTGTTCTGGAGACCAGTCACGCCTTCGCGGTGGAAGAAGACCCCAGCCTTTTCGAGGCGCTGCTCGGATGTTTCGAGATCGAGGACACTCAAGTGAGAAAGTCTGCGGAAGAAATGGTTGAAGTCTAGCTCTAAAGCTTCCATCGTGTCGAGCATCTCGCTGAATAGCGACTCGAAGTCTGATTCTTGGAATACTTTCAGACCCAGGCGGGAGATCATAAGTCGTTTGTACTCTTCAAGGAAGACGGCTTTGAATTCTTCTCCTACCCGCGTGATAAGTTCTTCGGCGCGGGAGACTAATTCATCGGCTGCTTCTTGTCGGACTCCCTTCTCCACGAATTCTTCAACGTCGACTCCGGGTCCTGCGCCTATTAATTCGCCTAGGGATTCGCCCAGCCGTACGAGATTCCACCATATGATTGTAGGCTGCTTCTGATAGCAATAACGTAGCATGGCATCGTCGTGGTTGGGTGTGTATTGTGGGTCGAAGTTATCGAGGAAGGCAAAGGGGCCGAAATCGATAGAGAGGCCGTAGATGGATGTGTTGTCTGTGTTTAGCACGCCGTTGGTGAAGGCATATGCCTGCCAAGCAGCGACTGTTTTTGCGTTGCGCCGGACGATTTCGCGGTAGAGACGAGTAAAGCGGTTTTCTTCAAAACCAGGTGGTCCTTGGATTGTATCTTTGTCTACGCCTGTGGGGAGTGGGCTTGGGGTTCTCCCATCATCGGCTGGGTTGCGCGCTGGGAGGGATTCCCAGCCGTCAAAGACATCCTCTGCTATATATGTGCATAGTTTCCGAATCAGATCCCGATCCCCGCGCGCGCGGAGGATGTCGAATGTGCCTATTCGAAGCCAGGACTCTGCGAATCGCGCAACTATAGCCCCGGGCTCGATCGTTTCTCTCCGGACCTTCTCGTGCGGTAGTAAAGTCAACGATAGTGCTCTCGTGGTAGGTATCCTCAGCGCATTAAGAGCCTCTGAAACGACGAATTCCCTTATACTCGATCTCAATACCGCCTTTCCATCTGCGAACCTCGAATAAGGCGTTAGACCAGCGCCTTTCAACTGTAGCTCGTATCTCTTCCGGGTGCTCGGGTTCGTCGTCTCGAAGAGTGATATGGCTCGCCCATCTCCTAATTGTCCCGCCCACGACCCAAACTGCCATCCCCCATAACATTGCGCCCAGGGATACCCACCTTCTCCCTTTTCAGCATCCCATCCTAACAGTCTATTGCCTGCAACAGTCTGCCTGAACTCCTCCGTCTTCTCCTCTCCCTCTTTTATACCCAGATCCCTCATCGACGTAGGGCTAACGCCTAGTAACTCAAGATCTTTCGCCCCCTCAGGCCTAACCCAGGTGAATAACGCGCCTTTGACTTGCCATGGCCGTATTTCATCTCGAGGCGTCTTATGTGAATCTGCGGGCGTCGGGAATTTAGGATCTGCCGGGAGCCTGGATGTAAAGGTCCATGATTTTGGGAGGTCGGCAAGCGTGCTTCCCGGATGGGACGAAGTATCACTTGGTGCTGATGCTGATGATGATGGCTGCTGGGCGTTGCTAGATGTAGCGACGTGGGAAACCATTTGAGCAACTCGGACGCGGGGTATCTGCGGTCTGAAAAGGAGTCTCGAAATCATGAAAATAAGAATGGAAAGTAGGAATACGCTTATGCCTTGTTGATTTTGGTTGAGTCGGGATACGCAAAACATACATTAATTTATTAGAGAAAGGATGTAACTGTGCTTGTAATTGTAACGCCACTACAGATTATTTTCTTGGATGTTGTGTCGTCGGAGTTTAGGATCGACTGGGGCCGAGGTGCTAAATCAAGTAATTCGCGAATGACAGATGTGGGGGACTTGTTTTGGGTACAGCGTGGGCAACGATCAGGCTCGATGAAAATTGACGTAAACGTAGATTAATAACGCTTAGTTCATGAATATAATATGTTTTGCTTAATTAAGGCTTAGAATTGCTATTGTTATTTTGACTATTTTTGACTATGTGTCTGCTGCTTCTGGAGAAATCATTGGCCCCACCTGCCCTATTTGGGGAAGAACAACAGCATATAATAAGAGATATAGACGATTTAGATGTTAATACAGGCAATTTCTTGCAAAGTCTTCGTAAGAAACACATTCGTCAGTCCTAGATGTGTGGTGATGACCAGTATTTTTGCTGAGTCACTACTTCGTACCTAGTGAAATTAGGTAGAAAACGCTATAACAAGACCGGAAGACGTTATCCCGGCACTACTTATAAACAAAGATGGGATGAGTAATTATGGGGTGGGGTAGCATTAACATATAAACACCAAAACCACCCCGACTTTATTAGATAAAGCTCTTTCCATGCGTCTACGACCACTATTTACATCGACTCAAGTGCAATTACCTCACTTACGGCAGTCTCGTCACTGGCATCATCCGATTACCACAACACAGAAATCTCGTAATTACCGGTTTAACAGAGGGCTTGCCACAAGAAATATGTCTCCAATCGCCGAACTCGGGAGTCTGAAGCTCAATAATGGAAATGAAATACCATTCGTAAGCTGAAGCTTCCTTCCACCGATCTATGTGATTGATAGTCCGACACTGACTTTCAAACAGCTTGGTTATGGCTTGGGAACAGCTCATTATAAGGCTGATTCCAACGCACCAGTAGACCAAAAACTGGTAAACACTGTTATCATGGCCATCAACCTTGGTTACCACCACCTTGACGGCGCAGAAGGTGCATAAATCTAAATCCTGCTGCCTTTTTCTCATCCTCATTCCTTTTAACTAATCCCATCTTATCACAGTCTACGGTAATGAAGTAGAGCTCGGCCTCGCAATCAAAGAATCGGGTCTCCCCCGGTCCAAGTTCTACGTCACCACCAAGATCTCCGGTGTAACACCAAAGAACACCGCCGAAGCATTCGAGCTCTCTCTCAAAAAATTGCAGCTCGATTACGTAGATCAATACCTCATCCACGCACCTTTTTTCGCCAAAACTCCTGAGGAACTACAAGCCAAATGGGCAGACTTGGAAGCTATTCACGCATCCGGAAAGGCGAAGTCTATAGGAGTATCTAATATGCTACAAGAGGATTTAGAAGCGATCCTTAAGACGGCAAAAATCAACCCTGCCATTAACCAGATTGAATACCATCCATATCTGCAACATGGAGATCTTGTCAGCTTTTGCAAGAAAAATGGGATTGCGCTTTCTGCATTTGGCCCATTGACAGCTGCGGTAAAAGCGAAGCCTGGTCCGCTGGACGGAACGTATGAGAAACTCGCCAAGAAATATGGTGTTAGTCCCGGAGAGATTGCGTTGAGATGGGTAATTGATCAAGGGATTGTGGCATTGACTACGAGCTCAAGTGCCGAGCGACTGAAGCAGTATCAGAAGGTTGCTGGGTTTAAGTTGACTGCTGAAGAAATCAAAGAAATTGCGGAGCTCGGGAAGGAGAAGCACTTCAGGGGGTTTTGGCAGGATAAGTTCAAGGCTGATGATAGGCGGTAATTAAGGAGGAATCGTATTCAGACACAGTCGTTTTACATCAAGTAATAACGTCCCCAAGTCGGGAACCCCTCTTACTATTCTGCGCTGGCTTAAGTCAGATATGAGCTTCCCTATTAGATCACATTCATCAATTATACGCTCATTCGCTCATCAATCAGACATACCTCTCAACGACACTCAGTATATCGCGCTCCATTTATGGAATAAACCTCACGCCGCAAACTAGTGTTTCCTTAATCTCAGAAGCCCCAAACCGCCATAAATCTGGAGCACTTCATGGTCTCCCCTTATTGTTCTGTTACTGCAGGCTTATAAAAGGTACACTATAACTTACGAAGGCGTGCAATACTTGAGACATAGACGAATGTAAGATGAGTCATAAAAGTTGGATTCTCTCTCTGTATTCCAAACATTTTGTGGGATTGTTTGGGAACGAATTTCTCCATTGAGAGCAGTTTGTGGCAGAATTCGATATATTGGTCACTTTTAACCGCCCTCGGCGATCTGTTTATGTTGAACTTTTAAGCAACATGCTGTAATCTTCAACAACCCTATTGTCCACAAAAAATAGTACAATTTCCTTTGTCGTTGTTAGGTTCTTAGACAACGGCATTATCCGAGTCTCTCGGCCCTTCTTTGTTTGCTATTCTCTCTTTGTCGTGGGACCATGATCAGCTTTATAAGTTCACCGATCTCCATAGCTCAATATAACCCTTACCTTGGCCCAAAGATAATTTTCCACATACAACGCCGGTCAGTTGACGAATATAATGAAAGCTATGGCCTATTTTGACAGACCCGCCGCCAAGATCATACCAGCGGACCGGAAGCACAAGGTGGAAAACGACTAAGCTACATTAACCTTACCCTAGGCTCCTAGAGGGCTCCAATTATACATACCTGCTCTTGTTAAATAAAATGTCTTATTACCAGAAGGAGACAAACCTCTTGTCAATTATGGGATTGCTGCCGGTTGTGAGATTACTGTCAGTTGTATAATTATTTTCAATTACGGGGTGATATGCGAGGACTCTTCCTCTAAGCTAAAGATCAGTCCGGCATTTATCCATGCGTCCGTTACAACAAGCAATGTTTTGAACCTAGCACAGTTCAGGGGTATCTATCTTCCGGTACGAACATCCCAAAGCGCGTACGCCTTGAATAAATTCGATAAACGACCCTACCCATGATAGCTGCGAAGGTTGCGATGGCAATTCTTTGCCGCCGATAAATCAAAAATCCGCTCTTCGAGCATTGTCGAGGTCGGTGTTAAGCTCTTGTCCTCCACGAGTTTGATAAGCCGCCGGCTAATTTGCCATGCCTTCGATTGAGGCATAGTAAACCTTCATATACCTTACAAAGGACGCCCCCGAGAGTTTTTAGGCCTCCTAGAATAATAATATTTAGTGACGGTTAACAGAAATCCATGAAGACGGAAAATTTGGGGTACGAGGTTGGGCACCAGAAGAATCAACTCTTAATCCGATACTTTGTGCATTTCGCCGTTGATAGGCCACCAGTAGGGCTGTGCCTCGTTAGATTCAGCGTCAAGCTATCGCGCCATCTTTTCTGTAAGGAGATCAATACATGGAACAATGCGCTTTTGTGTCAAGTAAAAGTCGTTGGGTGAAGCTAACTGTAGACTCGAGGAATTTTGACTTCTCAAAGGTCGCTATACGGGCCTGCGCCTTTGTCGGTCACTTGGAATGGATGCGCCAGCATAGCAAAAATCTAGTATTATAAGGATGTAGAACAAATAATGAAGGGAGTGGTGAGCCTGAAGGGTTCTGGCAAGATCAATAACGTCAGGGGGATGCTTGCTTTCAAGGTTGGGAACAAGAGACTCTACCTTGTATAGACCATATAATTCCAGTTGCGTGTCTGTCCCCGTTCTCATGGTCCCTATCCTCTATAGATAAAAATATGCCTTTTTGGTATTTGAGGAAGACAACAGGCGGCCACTTGGCTAAGTGGTTCAGGTCAAATTGTCTTCTGGAGGGATCGATAGGCCCAAAAAAACGACAAACACGACAACGGCAAAATTCGGCAAGAGATGTAGCCATTCGACACCGGGCCGAACTGTTTTTGCTTCCACAGTATAATAATATATAATAAAATTCTTGCCTCATTTTCCTACTACCCTATACCTTGGTAACGGATATTGAGATATTTTTTCAACTTCGCATGATTAGGGGCAGTTAGCGAGGAAGCCTGCGTACTTGAAGTGAAAACCTCAGCTTGCCCGTGTCCCTAATCCGTTTTGATTTTCCCATTCTCATTACTTCTATTTTACTCGCCGCTGTTACAACGCCCTTGATATTCAACGTAGATGGTAGCGGCACAACTAAAAGATGACCGAAATTGTATTGTATACGACCTCTTGGGGTTCGAGCTGAGATTTGGCTCCGCAAAGAGACAATTTGTCTGTTATTCCGCTGGACCTTCTCGATGCCATGTTGTATTTTAGATGTCACAGGAGGTGCTCGCTAAGGCTAGACGCACCCCACTAAACCAGTACCTCTTATCTTATACCGTTTGCAAAGGGTCAAAACAGGGGTATCGAGTATATCAGCTTGCAATAACAAAGCGCGATGCATGACGGGTACTGAATCGATATGGGATTAGCCGTCCAAGGAGAGAAGCGAGGGATAGTGGTAGGCGCGTACCCGATAAGGTGTATTGTGAGGTTATTCGTGATTAGCGAAAGGGATAGAGTACGATGTTACGCTTGGGCTCGGCTAACGAGCGATTCTTGATGATAAGTGATTAGTAAAAGAAGGAAAAAGAAACGGGGCGTTCAAAGAGAAAAAATAGCAAAAGAAATATCTTCACGGAGCGTTGGATACCGAGAAACATCAGTTATCCTACCCACTAAGCCTCTGTTATCTCTAGCGGAGCGTCCAGGGTCATTCTAGGTATGTTAGCGGTGGCTTTTAACCACTACACCAACGCTTCCCAGTCGCCTGGCTACAATATATATTGATACCCAGGTAGAGGCGGTGAATATTCGACCGAGGGTTAGCCGAAAGCTGGCTCCCTTTTCGAATAGAAGCCGCTGGGGCCAGCGCGATTAGGTGGACGATCAATAAAGGCCAGCACATCACTCTTACTACAATGCTTTGTGATACCATAAGAAAATAAAGAAGCTACTTGCCCAGGCAAGCAGGACTTGCAAGTTTAAGGTTGTGGAGTACTACCTAAAATGAGAGATGTTGTTCCTTTTGACAACGATAAAACAGCGACAAGGAAGCAGGGATGAGGAGGATTATTTTTGCACAATAACTCTGTTGTTTTGAATAAACTAAGGATGGAAAGCTAGAATAGCCACGCATGAAAACAACGAATTCTTCACCAGCATATATGACTACTCTCGTCTGTTTATGTTTTTATTTCACCTGCCCTTTTCTTCTACAATTCTGCAGAACCGTCAATCAACTATAAGCCACCAGTTGCCAGAAAGACTCTTTTACGGATCCCCAGTTTAAGATGGAGGGAGTTGTGTATGATGGACAGGTGCCCCAAGGAGGGGATGATACGACAGCCATTGATGCTCTTGCAACCGTGTGTGTTCAGGAGGCATATAGGCTTCGAGAGAGTGAGGATACTACTAAGTTGAATGTCCTCGCATCCATGTGTGCGGATGCCCCACGAGCGGAGCCTGCTGCGCAACCCCAAGAGGATGATGTGGTGATGACGGACCTCCCTGACGACACAACGGCCAAAGTTGAGTACTTCGGCAAGGAAGCCAAAGAGGATGCGGATGGATCCAGTTCGGACGGGTACAACTCTGATGACACTTTTGTGGTTCAGCGTCCCTCAGAAGAAGTTCAACTTGCCCAACAGCAAGTTCACTATGCCCAAAATAGGGTCGTCTATACCAACGCGGAAGTGGACGGTTTCCAACAATTAGTTAATGCTGGCCAAGCGATACTTGTCCGTGCCGAAAAGCGCCTTGAATTTGACCAAGGTTCACTCGAAATTGCCAAAGCGGGACATAAAGTTGCCCAAGAGCAGCTTGAAAATGCCCAAGAAAAAGCCGACATGGTCATAACCGGAGCCGACGACGACGAGGACGAGGACAACACGCCAGATGAGGTCAAGGACCCTTGCCCCAGGTGTAATAAGCTAGTCAAGGACCTGGAAGCCCATATGGCGCTCGTCCACGGCAACTCACGGAAACTGAGACTGGAGGCGATGAGCCGTGCCACACGTGCAGTATTATCAGGCACTGCAGTCGATTACCCCTGCCCTTGGTGCAAGAATGTCTACAAGAACTCAACCAGTCTAGGGAAACATATGGCTTCCAAACATAGTTCCGGACCCCAGCAGCACCCCAATCAGGAAGCTCAGGGTCGGGCCCGTGGACATCAGCAGGATCTGAGCCGTGGCTGATCGATCAACTTGAGCATCATTATTAAGGGTACATATATACCCCCCAAGCACGCGAACTAGCTGGAGAATCAGACTGGATTCGCATTCTCTAGAATAATTAAGCGCAGCTTGGGAACAGAACTTGTACAATAGCGGGACATAAATAAGCCTGCATTAATTATCAATTTTTAATTAGTCAAAACGAAAACGATAGTCTTTTCCATAACACTAAACTAATGAGCCTAGCTCAACAATGATATAGACTATTTCCGTGAGACATAAAAACGTAAGCTTCAAGATCGTTTCTCTACAAACAAAAGACGACGCAAGCTTAAAACGAGTGCGGTTGCAACATGATGAATGGTACGACTAGCATTGTACAGTAATACGCGGGAGTAACGAGTTGAAGTGGACTTGAGGGAAGGATGAAACCCCCAACACTCACGACACTTGAAGGCGCCAACGAAGAAGTTGGGCTGAAATTTAAACAATGTGTATTTTAAGGTATATACTACACTATATCGTATCATTTTCCTTGCCTGGAATTTGGCCCCCCCAAGGCTCTTTATCAGGTTCCCATGGTGTGGTATCTACACCCTCCTTTCCAAAATGCAAATGCCTTAAGATACGCCATCCTAATCCCATATAGATAGTTCCTTCCAACTGTTCGCTATTATGTACAAGTATCGACTAAAGAAAACTCCGAATGGATGCAACCCGTCGCTCCGTTGGTATATATGCAGGGTATCGTGGTGTGTGATGCTGTCCTGTGTATGATGCGGTATCGTCTCATGTCGTATGCGATTTCCCTTTCTCATTGCCTGAATCTTTTGCCTCTCCTTTGTTCTCCAGCACCTGGTCCAATTCTTTGAAAACGCAGATCCTAGCGTTGTATGTTCTCCCCGCTTCCCTTCAAACGTGAGACCTGAGTCCAATCACTCGGCGGTTTATCCCAAAGCTCGGAGAAGATTTCCCAATCCAGTTTTCGCCATTACATCCCCTTGGAGACTGCGGGGGATATGTGCCCGAGCGGCCTTCGGGGAGGCACTTTCTTCTTCCTTAATCCATTCTTTCAGCTGGGGGTCCCAGATGTGCCTAGGATTCGTCAGTTTATATTCCAAAGAGGTAGAAGAGAAGGGCTTACCCCAAATGCTTAGTCTTGGTCAACGCCTGTGGTGAGTATTCCTCCATAAGGATCCTATCGAAGGAATATGGCACCTGCGCGGCAACGCCCTCAAACATCGTCTCGCGCAGCGGATACAGGTCCCTCGTTCGATATTTGTGGTAATTTTTGCAACTCCATATTCCAGGGTGCAGACTGGGATTCGTCTCCGAAAGCCCAGTAATATCGATGAACAATCCATTCCGGACGTCAATCCACCGCGCATCGATAACATTATGGCCGTTACCTCGGACTCGTTCGACAGCATTCGGATTTACGTCAAGCAAATATTGTCGTACCTCTTCAGTCCCATCCTCGTTGAGCACCGTGTAGTTGTGGAAGGTCATATTCATATTTTGGCCCAGCCATGTAAGCGTCGATCCCGAAACCTGCGTGTCCAGATCCCAATCCCAAGGCATGACCTTCCCGTTCCACCACCAGCCTAGCAAGGTGCCGTGCGCGATCCATGTATTCACATTATTCTCCCGGAAGACAGTCAAGTACGAGCGGATGAGATAGAGGAGTGTGTCGCCTCGGACTTCGTAGGATACCGGCTCGCCGGTGTAATATCGAATATCGTAATGCCCCAGATCATCCGTTCCCCCTGGCTCATGGAAATATTTAGTATCAACTGGTGGTGGTGGCTCCTCCTGTTCGGGCGCAGCTGGGGCATCGCCCTCTGGGGCATCCTCGGGCGAAGCAGTGGGCGCTGCTAGTATCGCGGGAAGGAAGACCGCATTGAGGGCCACGAAAAGTGGTATGAGTCTCATGATGGTGTCCTAGGGGGTGTTGATGTTGCAATTCGGCCTCGAGTCCTCCTTTGTTCAACCATACATCCAGATTGGTGTGGATATCGCCTAGACAGTAAATATATATATACCTCATATATATATTATTCCCCAGCACAGATAAGTCGAGAGATCCAAGTCGAGGAGCGAGAATACTTGTACTACTAGGTACGAGTGTTTGATATGGATGTTGGAATACCAAGACGCCAAGCAGTAACACAAACGAATAGCTTGGACATGCGGCTATCACTGAGTAAGGGATAAAGGAGTGGCACTTGAGGGAGACAGCAAGTCCTGAGTACAAACAACAAGGTATAATTGCAAAAACGAAGCGCGGGAGGAGGAGATATGTGTAGCCTTATGGTGGAAGTGCAGTGGCGGGCACGCAAAGACTTTCAAGGCTTTCAACACATGTCCCCGGAAACCCGATGCCGATCGGATGCCCTTGAAAACGCTTCCATCCTTCCTTCCCTGGAGGAGGGACATTGCACCTTGGGCCCGAAAGGTTTGGGGGGGCTTGGTACTTGGGACTTGGGAACTTACTCGTGGAGAGCCGCCGCAGACGGGATTAGATTGTCAGGTTCAGTGGTGCACAGTGCGACAGAGGACGGAGGCGATCCTTGCTAAAGCCTAAGGGTGGCGCCAATTCCAAGCGCCAAGGGACCGGAATCCTAAGAGGGATAAGCCATGTACGAAATGCGTCGCATCCTCTGTTGAACTACTTGACTAAGATGAAGTTGACTTACGTGTAGTACGGAGGTACTTGTGGCGTACTTTTTCGCTATGTGCTACTCTGTCCGTAAGTAAAGATGAACAAAACAAGGCCAGTGTTTCCACATAAGCCCACTTCTTACTATCATTCATGCTGTTACAGAGTACAGTACAGCTGCTACAAGTACGTAGTAGAGTACGTACCTGTGAAACTTGCACGATGCCGTCTGAAGTTGTCGACTGGCAACCCTGTTCCATCCAAAACCCCTGATTATCATTGTGGATGGCATACTACGTACTGCACACGTCCCTATTCCGTACTACGTACTACGTTTGCGTCGCATGCCAACTTGCTGCTTTGAGCAAACCATCCCGTTGGCTTTGCTTGATTGTTCTCCTTGTCCCCGCATCACTACGTATTCAACGTCTTTAATCTCATGAACCGGTTGTCGGCACCAGAAGCTGTCGTGTGCTGTCCCGATTTATTGGGTTGCGCGTCGATCGCCACCATTCTTATCCGGGCTTAGGAAGTACCATTCCGTACTTCGCACGTACATTACTACGTACAGTGCACATGTGAAGAGCGATGTATTTTGGTGTATTTTGTACGTACTCTCTCGCAGTAAGTACAGGATATAAGCCTCATTGAGCGACTCAAAGCCCCATTAAGCCCTGTTTTATTCTCTTCCGCTTTATGTAAGAGGCAATAAAGCAAATAACAACAGCCCCCCTTTAGGCTTTTAGCATAAAAATGTTTTAATCTTATTGGGGAATCCGGCGACGTCACGCGAAGCCAAGATGTATGGCATACGCGTCCTCGAGGGAGCCCCTGCAGCGCTTTGCCTTCCTCTAATCTGACGCCTCTTGGCTATGCGGGACAACGTCGCAAAACTTATCCTTTTGGCTGCTGTCAGCTGTTCCCAGCTTGTTCTCAGCCTCTCTTCCCAAGTTCTCACGCGACTCGACAAGTTTGGAGCCTTGGGGATTATGCGAATCGCACCCTCGTACTTGGCACCGGATCTTGCCCCTTTTGAATCGTTTCATGTGTAAAGAGGCAGTCTTATTATCAATATACTACCTAATTGTACGACGTACCCCCGTATAATACCTTGGTGACAGCTGGCCCCGGTTCCTCAGCCCGGTGTACCTGCACAGTAATAATAAACTATTGTTATCTCAGCATCGGATTATCCTTGGCTGCGGAGAAACGCCCCGGTTACCGTCCACATTCTTTATCTACCGAGCCCTCCGTCATCGAGCTAGGACGCTATCTGATGTTTCCCCAAGACTCCTTAAGGATAACTTGCACGCAGCTTCTAATTAACGAAGCTTAATTCCAAGCAACCATGACATGACACCTGTGGCGTAGGACTCCAAAAGGATGTAAGGAGCGGCCGGAAGTCGCTTCGTCCGGGCTGTGTCATTTCCACCCAACAAGCCGCAAAGTGCTTTATCCACACGATGATGCATGAACACTGTTCAGGATACCATAAATATTTGCGGATATTTTCCCGAGTCAAAACCCTCTGATTCCCTTCGGTGCTTGCTCTTACAGCGCCGGCATACCGTGAGGTCCTATGGGTGCCTTTTATTTGCTTGCACAGAGTACAATATAGTTCCGGTTTATGGTTCCGAGTCGATGTTCGAACGGTGAGGATGAAAGGGGAATGATTGGATAATTGGTCACATGATATCGGAGGTAAACTACTCGTAGCACGTGATATAGCTCTTTTTCGATCAATAGGAGGAGCCTCGGTAACTTCTGGCGCTCAACTCGGCACAGCGCGTTTCCTACATGATTCCCCTTGAACCGTTTGAAATACCTCCCCTACATATTGCATGTAGTTGAAACCGGAATAAGGACCTCCTAATAGCTGCATCCGATATCTCTCACTTCTCCACTCTCTTATATTCTTTCAGGTCGCAAGGGGCCACCTGTGCCAAGCCCAGACAACCTGCGGTACTTTCTCGCGGTTTTTCCCATCTTATATTCAGGAAGTCATAAAAGGGAGCCGCTAGGAGAGCCGAGGACGACGATATGGCTTCTAAGTCACGTGAGGAGGCGATGATAGCCGTAGAATCAATATTCGAACGGTATGTGTTATAGGTCCTTTCTTATGTCCGTCTAGTAATTTGTACATTTATTCTCACCGTTATCAGTTCCTCTTAGTATCCGTGTTTTTGCGTCAGTTATAAATTATCCATTCCCCTATCTATCTCCTCTCTACTCATATTTAAGTCTCGTATATAATCTTTTATCATCTCTAATACCTGTTTCCTCCGTCTTTCTTTAGCCAAGTTCTTCAAAATCTAGACTCTCCTCTAACACCCTTCATTTCCCCCATGAATATTTTGAACACCTAACTAACACCCACCTTTAAGCTACCACCTCATTTCCAAAAGCCGGAACGGCAGCTACTATGACCAACACATCATGGCAGGCTTAAAGCTAGTTGACGCGAGCCCTGAAGGTACGGCCGATTTCGAGTTCCTAATCGATGAGCGCTATATGAATATCAACGACGTCATGCATGGTGGCGCGGCGGGTGTTATTTTCGATATGTGTACTACGACTGCTTTGGGGCCGCTTTCGAGGCCAGGTTTCTGGGAGTATGTCTTATAATTTTTCGGTTATGTTTGGCTTTGGGATTGGTTCGAGGATTACAATTCAGACGCATAGAGGTGACTAGTGAGTAAATATTGATTTTTCTTGTTTAGGTTCCTAGGCGGCGTAACTCGAACGTTAAATATCAGCTATCTGCGTGCAATTCCCCTCGGTTGGTCCCTTCTCTCTTCTCCCTTTCCTCCAAAGCCCCCACTCTTACCATCCTTCCCTTCCCACTTATCTCACTCTGTCTCAACCAAATTAGGAACAACCGTCCGCCTCCATAGCGTGGTAACCCAAGCTGGTCGTACCATGGCCATGATCCGCGGTACCATGAGCAGTTTAGACGGCAAGACGATATATTGCACGTGCGAGCACCACAAAGTGCATATTCCAACGCCCGCAGAGCACTTGAAGCATAGGGTTGCGTGGGACGAACTCTGGGAGAAGGACGGGAAAAGGGTGGAGGGAGAGAATGAGCGGAAAGATAAGAATGGGGAACAGAAGGCAAAATTATGATATCTGAGATGTGGGTATTCCAATAGTAAAGATAATAGAAATCATAAATCTAGAAGGTATAGATCACTCTTTGTTAAGGGCTGTATTAGGATCAAATACTGTGCTTAAGGGTCAAAGTCTTATGCTGTCTAGTACGAAGTATATAGTGCTATAACACCTCCTAGCCGGAGCCGCCAAAGAGGACAGGAGTAAACGCCCTCTATTTGGTCAATTTTCGTTGCACATCGCACTTCGAGCTGAGACATTCAAACCACCTGGTCCAGGAGAGTAGCCAAATTTTCGTTGCATATCGTAGTAAGGATTGAGACATTCAAATCACTGTTTAAGGGAGTAACCAAGTTGTCGTTGCATCTCACAGCAGAGATTGAGACATTCAAATAGCAGTTTAAGAGTGCAACCAAGATTCGTTGCATATCGCACATTGGCGACAGTCAATCGGTCATATCACGAGACTTGGTCCAGTAGCCATGTTTTGTTGCATATCGCACTTTGGCGACGGGGTTTAAGCCGGTCAAATCAATTTAAAGCTGAGCTCAGAATGATTCAGGATGATTTAGACATTCAAGTTGAGTAAGACCTTCAGATTGTCCCGATTTGTGCTAGTCACAAACAAGTACGCAAGTTTTGTTGCATGTCGCACTTGAAATTGGAATTGGGACATTCGAATTGTTTTCGAATTGTTTTCGAATTGTTTTAGAGACGTTCAACTTAGCTTGCCTAATTAGGACGGGTAAGGCATGTCGCACATCACGAGGGAGAGGGTTGAGACATTCCACTTGCGTGGTTTTGATAGCCGTTTCTTCCTAATAGCGAGGGAAATGTAGACAGTACCATACCTAAATACCTGTAGCATACTTAGGATAGCTCAGTCCTGAAATTTGAGTGCCCGGGTAAATCTGCTATATCCCGTTGCTCTCCACACCGTAATCTCTCAACCTCGCTATCACATTCGAATCAAGGGTATTCGCACAAGTATAATAGAGTATATAGAACATAGTTTATCCAATCTTGCTATGTATTGTCCTTCGTCGCCTAATCGTTACCACATAAGCTCCCAAAAAATAACTTGCATAAAATTCCACCCTCCGTTTGTCAATTTATCATGCTCTGCATTTCCCTCTTCCATCCCTCTCAACACCCTCCTCCGGGCAAGCTATCTCACCATAGCTCCCGGTACTAACACCCCAGTATCACCATCTACACAGCGACACCGTCAATAATACTAGTATGGAGGCTAGTATTCCTGCCAGAATAGAGACCAAAGCGGCGCTTGATCGCTTTCCAGGATTCGATGCCCACCAGATAGATGACAAGACATGACACCACAATACCCCATTCCCATGTGATCCCCATGTGCTTGAAGACCACCTTGTTGACAACGGGGATATAGATGACCGGGAACGTAATAACGAATCCGGCTACCACGGCCCAGAATAGGAACCGGTTGTACCAGATCGCCTGAAAGACGGCGAATTTGCCACGGTAGCGGGTCGGGTCAAGGTTGAACAATGACCGACTGAAGTGCTTGACCTCCCATGCCGTGACTAATATGAGGAACGAAAGCACTGCGAAGACCGTCGCGCGAGCACGGAACACCACATCGCACGTGTCGTTATATTCCTCGTTACAATCATCGCCAAGATCTCCGCCGTTGGCGCCATAGACAACGACGGCGAAGGAGGCCAGGCAGAGGGAGCCCATGAGGGAGCCATACACCATTTTATCTATGATGAGCTCCTTTGTAAATATACCAACACGTAGAGAGTGTGGAGGACGCAACATAACATCTGACGTCTTCTCCTCCATCCCCAAGCCAAGTGCCAGGAAAGAGCTCGTGATCATATTGACCCAGAGAATCTCCAACGGACTAAGGGGGAACACGCTATTCCCACCGTCATCCCTAAACGCAAGTGCAATCAGCAGTAGGATGACTTGCGCGATGTTACAAACCAGGAGATGTAGAAGGAATTTTTGGATGTTGTCGAATAGTCGGCGGCCCTCTTCGACAGCTTTCACTATCGAGGCGAAGTTGTCGTCCGTTAATACCATATCTGCGGCTTCTTTGGCAACGTCGGACCCATTTAGGCCCATGGCGATACCAACATCTGCCCGTTTCAGAGCTGGAGCATCATTGACACCGTCACCAGTCATGACGCAGAAGGCACTGCGGCGGTGGAGAGCGTCTACCATGCGGACCTTTGTAGCTGGACTACAACGAGTCAACACTATAGGTAGAGCGTCTAGAGAGTCGATTTCCGCGTCAGAGAGCTCGTCGAACTGGCCACCTTGCATGACCAGAGTACTTTTATTTGTGGTAGTAAAGTCGAGAGCGTGTAGAAGACCGATTTCTTCTGAGATTGCAGTGGCAGTGTCGATATGATCACCGGTAAGCATATGTATGCTTATACCTGCCTGTTTACAGGCTGCAATAGCACCGGCGGTCTCGAGACGTGGAGGGTCATATAATCCAACCAGGCCAAGAAATTCGAGGTTGCTTTCAGTCCATTCTCTGCTAGCCACCTCGGAGGCAGACGAAGAATGGATAGATTTAGTAGCAATGCAGAGGACTCGCAAGCCCTCCTTAGCAAGCTCGCTCATTCGCTTCTCGATTTCAGCTTTCTCATTGGGCGAGGAGTTAATCAAGGGAAGGACAGCTTCGACAGCACCTTTGAGAAAAATATCGATAGTATCGGTAGCCTGGTTTCGGTAGGCAACTGACATGCGCTTGATGGCGGAATTGAAAGGATGCTCGGCGAAAAAAGCCACTTCACTGTTTGCGAGGATGTCGGTTTTGCCGTGGCCAAAGCCCATTGCGAGAACTTGGAGTGCGATATCTGTTGGTTCGCCAACCGCAGTCCAGGTCGAGGTTGCTTTTTCGTTGGTGCTCTGTCCGAGAGTGTTGTAGACAGTCGACAGATTGCACAGGGCGGTAGCATCCAAGAGTTTTGACAGCATCGGATTCAGTTCATCGGATTTGTCGATAGCCTTCTCGTCTAGCATAGCATGGCCACTGGATGGATCGAAGCTGTCAGTGGTACCATGGATGCAAAGGGTGCCCATTTCTGGGACCCAAACTTTGCGAGCAATCATCTTGCCTTGGGTCAAAGTCCCAGTTTTATCAGAACAGATATGGGTGATGCCACCTATTGCCTCCAGGGCTTGCATTCTCCTAACGATCACATTACCCTTAGCCATAGCTTTGATGCCAATGGCCAATGTGATTGTCAGGACCGCAATGAGAGATTCCGGGATAACTGCAACAGCGACACAGATGCCGTAGATGACAACCTCTCCTGAGAGGTCCCATTTGTTGACAGAGAAGACAATGAGAGCGAGAAGAATGGCCAGGCCGAAGAGGAGGATGGCAAACTTGCTCAAAGTGACTTGAAGAGGTGTGCCGACAAGGCCAAGAATGTTCTTGATACCAACCCAGAGTTTTTTGAAGAAACGGGTAAAGGCACTGCCCTCCTTGCTCGACTTACGGTCTTGAAGCATTTCAGCGATGCAGCCAACCTCGGTCTGCATGCCCGTGGAGATGACTACTCCGGTACCACGACCCTTAGTCACTGTAGTGGCAGAGTAGGCACAGTTAGTACGGTCTCCCAGTGAAATATCCCGCTGCTTCAAGATGATCTTTGGCGTCTTGATCACAGGTAACGACTCTCCAGTGAGCAGAGCCTCGTTGATCTCTAGATTGACACCATCGAAGATTCGAACATCAGCTGGGACGACGTCGCCGACAGATATCTGAACGACATCTCCGACGACAAGCGTCTCGGCCTTGATAGAATCAACTTTGCCTTGGTTTCGGACAACCTTGCAAGTGGGAGCGGCCAGTCCTTGGAGAGACTTCATAGTCTTCTCGGCCTGAAAATCCTGGGCGAACCTGGAAGCACGTGGTTAGTCTCTAGGTGTGGGGGTGGGATGGGAGGTTCAAGGGTATACATAAGACGTACCCAAGGATGATATTCAGAAGAATGACTGCTGAGATGACAGCACCTTCAATAAAGTCTAGTGTGCCATATGATAATGCCATAGCAAGTAAGAGGACCTTAGTGTTATTTCAGCACCCCATCACCATTTTTGCAACGATGTTGCACGGCATGCGTGCTCATCCGTTCAAAGCAAGAGGAATCAGAGTGCATTGTGTTGCGAAAAACTCCTTACGGGTTTTCTTTGGGCTTACAATGGTTAAACTATTGGAGACCTGTCTTAAGAGGATTTTCCACGGCGATACTCCCCCAACACTCTCAAGCTTGTTAGGGCCATACCGTTCAAGTCGAGCTGCCGCCTCCTTTCCATCGAGTCCATGTCTTGGGCGATGATTAGTGAGCGTCCAAAGGGTATTCAACTCGTAGCATATCACTCACTGAAGGTCGACATTGTGTTTGCTGGCAATGTGGCTGACATCGGTGGCGTGGGCGGACCTCGCGTCGCCATCCCAGTACTTCTCTGGAGATCTGGTCTCCCAGTCGATGGTCTCCCCGTCGGTGAGGGTATTGCTGAAACTAGATCCTGAGGACTGTAAAGAGTTGCTGATAGTTCCTGCGGCAACTGTTGGTTCTTTTGGGCCTTCAGCCCGATCAGGGTGAAAGGTAGCAGGTGGTGAGGGAAGGTTGTGCCATTCCTCAAGTACGGATGTAGATTTGGTAATAACCATTCAATAAGAAGGTGTGCACTGTAGAAGGGGAAAGGACGTTGAACGGCGAGGTGTTCAACGGCAGGAATGAATAGTAATGGGAGGTATAAGATACGACTTCAAGATGAAGTTGAGTATTGAAAGAGAAAGAGAAAGGAAGGGAGAAAGAAAGAGGGGTTGAGGGGAAGGGAGGATAGCAACATATGGCACAATTCCGGTACGTACCGTGGTACATCGTGGGTACCAAGGTGCTAGGTACGACTGACGGTGCAGAAGATAAGAGTACATTGGACAGTACATTCCCCGAGTACCTGTTATTTTGTCTTATTGTACATGTAAGGACGCAGGGACGTAGTCAGCTGGCGTTAGTCGCCTTGTCGCCAATGAGACCTTCGTTTGCTTCAAGGCCAAGCAAGCCTGGAACACAGCTTACTGGTGAATTGCACAATATGTGGCACGTAGTACGCGTGTTACAGTTTAGGGTACGAGTGACACAGAGTACACAGACATGCCTAGAGGTACCAAGATAGGTACCATACCTTATCTATAATTCGCTGTAGTACTCCACTATGTACTTGCGGAGTTTCCATCAATAGGCCCTCTATGAGTATTAATATTATATACCAGAGTCCTCCAAGAGCTCTTGTGCAATTCCAGAGCTAAGAAAGAGGAGGAAGGAAGACGAAGGAGGTCCTATCATCAGTACGATCGATAATCCGTACCCCAAGCCGATGTTATCCATTCAATCATTTTCCGGGATCGGACTCTCAGAGCAAGGAACCAAGCGGCCAAGAGCACTGCCACATCATGACCGCTCGACCTTGGCTAGTCGCCGAGACTGCATTCTGCTAGTTTACCACGCCTGCGTGTTCAGAACTTGAGCTTCAATTCGCTACGAAGGTACTTGGCAGCAACACTTTGCTGTGCTGTAACCACAGTGGCACAAAGAGGGAAAATACCTGGCCACAGTCTCATTCGCTCTCCGGGTCCTCCTGGATTGGCGCCAAGCGCACGCTCGATTTACAAATATATTTAATTCCAAAAGTCTTAGAAGCCTTTGCCAATAATTACGAGCTGAAGAGTCCAAGACTGGCACGGCCTTCTTGAATCTTGAGAAATACCGCTCCAACCAAGCACGAGCATTGATTACATCATGGGCTTCACTGCAAATACATATGACGAAAAGCTGGACAAGTGGCTTTCGTAGCTTACACCCTGACACGTGGTGGTCCCTCCAAAGCCGCAATGAAATATAAATTAGGGTTTGTTAGGGGATCTGGGAAGTAGAAGACAGACATACAAAGTCTAACATGGAGAACCGATTCTTCCTCCCAAGACCTCGGTAGCATCAAAGACATGGTTTTGATCATTCTGACCATGCTAGGTAACTTCAAGCTTTGCTCTGCTCATCATCTTGGGCCAAGCATTGCAAGCTGTTGATCTTATAAATGTAACCGGGTCGGGCCGGGACTTTTGTCTCCCCACGCTTCTATCCAAACTCTGGTATCAAATAGGATCTCTTGGCCATGTTATACGATCATGGAAATGGCAGGATATACATACCGAGTTCAACGTTGGAGGAGACCATGACGTTTTCTTAAGGGATAGCCTACCTGATCTTCCAACCGATCTATCGCTTTCGAATCGGAAACACTAATGCAACTTTCTCTTGAGGGGTCGACGCCGGCCCTTCATTGGGTCCAAATCAAGGCTGGCTTCGAGATTCTTGAGAATAAATAAAGAGGCCCCCTTTCCTGTGGGGATGAAGTTCGGTGGTTTTGATGTGCTTGCGAGCTTCGTTTGAGTTATCCAATTCGGCATTCGTTTGACAAAGCTCTGTGAACGCTTGACACTGAAACAAACACACTACCCACCACAAAGAGTCCAGAAAAAGTTAATACAATAACCAAGAGGTTATAAGGCACTTACATTACCCTTGGAGACCTATTGGGTCCTCTTGAGGGCAATTGACAATATTAAATACAAAAATAGTCGACATGCGATACTCCAGAGGGATGGGTGTGTAACATGTAACTAGGTCTCATCGCCCCGAAGAACAAGACGATAATTTTTAGATAGCTTTTCATTGGGTACTTATCTCAACGCTCCAGTGCTTAAACACATGGTGTTTGCGCAGTATGGTGCCGGTCTTCAGCTTCAGACTGCACTGCTTCCCGTAACAATAGCTATGTGCTGGAACGCCACCAAGTGCAAGTACCCGGCCCATAAAGAATGCAGAAATCGCAAGACGACCAACGCTCTATGCATTCGTATGGATCCCAAAGCAGTATAGTTCCCTGCATATAACGCCCATCCGACCAAACCTTAATGCAAATGCCACAGCCCATTACTTCCTTAACGTAACCTCATGAAAGCCTCAAAGTCGAATGTACACGTCCACACATGGTAGCCTCCATTCTCTCCGGCCTAGAAGGCTTCGTAGCCATTCCACCCCGATCCCGGTCCATTCCGTCCTCATGGCAAGCTTCCGCTTCGCCTCCTCAAGCGCAGTGCCAGCTAACGCCATGGCAGTATTATTCAATGCTCCAACATATATCGCGGCTTCATCCAGAGTCTGATTCGACAACGCAGAGGAGTTGGCCATCTCATTCGAAAGGACCGAAGGTTGCCGGGGCTCAAACCAGTTACTGCTGAAGTCGAAAAAGCAGTGGTCTGACCAGTGGCACGAGGAAGCGAAGAGGATAAGGAGGAGGAAGGAGCAGTAAACGCATGGTCGGTTCAAGAAATAGGTGCAGACGAAGAAAAGGAAGATGAAGATGGGCGAGGCGTTGGTTGGGATAAAGAGGAGGGGTAGCCAGCTAAACGGATCATTAGCATTTCGTACGAATGCAAGACATCAATAAGATAGCTGGTTAGGAATAGGAACATGCCTCCTTAAACAAAACATCGTATCTGTTTACACCGCGATTCTAAAACCGGCAGATGCTGTATCAGGCGTGACGCCAGGGACAAATCGATTGAGGCGCTTCAGGAGTGCGGCAGCACACGGATAAAGGTTTGGTCGGCAGCTGTGGGTAGGCGAGATAGCCGTGGAGGAAACTTCTCATAAAGAAGAAAACTGCGAAGCGTCAAACCCAAAAAGATCTGGGAGTTGGTGTTTGTGATAAATAAACTCCAAAGGTGCTGAACGCGCTGGTGAATGTACTCGAGAAAGCTGCAGTGGCAACAGCCAATCAGACGACGCTCACCGCCCCAAGCTCCAGATACTTTTTAGCGGAGCTTCGTCGCCTCATGGTTTTCTAGTTTCCACCTCCACATCCATCTCCATCTCCATCTTCACCTCCATCCTACACCTACACCTACATCTACACCTGCACATACAATTGCAATATTACCTTCACTCTATCCTTCGTCTTTATCTTCTCTTCCCTCCTTCATAGTCAGGGCAGGGCACTCCTTCACCTTTCGCCGACACGGCGCTCCAGATAGCCTTGTAACCACGACTTCAGTTTTGATCGACCTTAATCTTCGTCGCCGCTCATTTGCGCCTTGCGTGCGCCCCCAGTCTCGCCATGTCGGGGTGTTCTAGTGGCTGCGGTGATGGCAATGGGTTGGACTCTCTATTCGCTCAGCTTCGCCAACAGCAGAACAAGCCGATCAATCTCGAACCTAGCTACAGTTATTACAACAACAACAGCAACGGCTTTGGCCAGCAGCCGACTCCACCTCAACAGCCGCATGGTTACCACCAACCTTCGGTCTCGTCTCCCATTCCTACTCCTCCAGCCCACCATCCGCAACCTGTTCATAGCTCTGCCATCATGAGTCCTGTCGAAACTCCTCAATCGCGCATTCCCGCTGCGGCAGGAGGTCCATCGAATGCCGATCGCACATCAAGCTTGCTCAACCTTCTCAAGTTCAGCCAGCCGTCTCTGGGATCCGCCACTCAACCAGTACCTATTGGCACACCATTGCCTCACTCCCGCGAGCCCTCTATCAACTTTGGTGGTCCTGATGTACAAGGCCAGGTCGGCTCTCCAGGCCATGGTCGTGGTGGGTCTGATCTATTGGCTGCCCTGATGGGTGCTCAATCCAAGCCAGCACAAGAGCCAGTACCCGAATTCGCCATCAATACACAACCGGCTCCATCCAGCTTTGGTGCTGCCCCCACCTCTCCTTCTGCCGATACCCAAGCGTATCTACTTCAACTCTTGAATCAGCCGAAGCCATCGCAAACCGACAATACTCAGTTGAAGCCAGCCAAAATTTTGACACCTCCGAGCCAGACTAACTCCCAAGATGGCGTTGCTGAACTTGCTCAGGCTTTGGAGGAGGCATCTCACCATATGAGCTCAAAAGGGGCCGCAGCACCGGACGCTATGCACGCCTTTAGAAAGGAACCGGCAAAGGAAACTGTTCCATACGCTTCACAGGGTCTTTTCACATATGTTAATCCTTTCGACCAATTAGCTGCATCATCACCACGCAATCGCACACCTAAGGCCTCAACACCTGCACAGGCTTCTTCGAATGCCCCTGCACCAGCTATACAGATCCTTAAACACCCGCGCCACGATGTTCCAGATAAGGGAAAAAAGAATGAGAGAAATACGATGTCCAACTCTGCCTACGTAAAGCGGAAGCACGAACCAGTGTCACAACAGTCCTCAGCTCCGCCCACCCCGCTTCCAGACGGCCGTACCCCAGTTGAAGCTCTAATGGGAATTGGCGCTTCTGGTGGTAAGACCACCGTCTCGGATGCCCTCAATGAAATTGGGGGTCAGGTTGAGAAGCAGGCTCAGGAAGCAATTGCTCGTGTGGAGAGACACGGAAGTCATACTTCAATCGAGCAGGACCTGCGAGATATGCTGGCAGCTAGGACTGAGGCAGAATTCAAAGAAACCGCTGAAGTTGCGGCCAGGGATATCAAGAGAGAACTTGAAAAGGATGAGAATAGTGGCGCTCTTGATTCACTGCCCGTTGCCGTCGCCGACACCGTTAAGGATATTATTGACGATGCTGCCCAGGGTCATATCGCTGATAGTTGGGAGAGCATCGATGCCGAAGACAGTCCAGCCAAGAGCGGAGAGGGAAATGATGTGAAAGTCTACAACTTCCCAATGAAGCCATGGATTGCCATCACTATCAAGGATACAGACGAGCCCCGTCCTAGCTTCCGAGAGGAAGCTGTGATGGATATTGCCCGTCTGAAAAAGGAATTCGATCAGATTGATCGGACTCTTGTCACTGCATCCGGCAACTTTATCGTCTATGGCATGTCCAAGAATGGAGGTGTCCGAATCATCAGACAAGATGATGGAAAAGATGCTAGGCTCTTTACAGAGACTCGCGACCGTATTTTCAGTGTTACCCTCGCGTCCTCTCCAGCTGATCTCAGGGAGGCGATCATTGGAACCGGTATTAGCGGCACTGTCTACTGGGCAGTTATCAAGGATGGTGAAGGGGATCATCTCGAGGACTCTATGCCGGAAATGCATGGTTTCGCCCTTCCTCCTATTCAAAGTCATGACACCGAATCACCTGGAGGTGTATTGAAGACCAGGGCCCGGAAGAGCTCGACTCATCCGGACTTTTTTGCTGTAGGCCGTGGAAAATTCATTCACGTCATATGGCCATCTGTAATCTTGAAGCAATCCTACCTGAAACATGGAAAGGATCGCCTCGTTGATACAGACAAATACCTCAAGCAACTCTCGCTGAAAATCAACACTGGTAAGGCAGGAAAGGATTTCACATTCAGTGAGGACGATACGACAATTGTGTCACTCGACAAATCAGGACGTGTCAAATTCTGGGACGTCCGTTCCTTGACAAATCCCGAAGTTATCAGAAATGGATCTCATTCGGAGCACATTGAAATCAAGGAGCCTCTCATTACCTATACGACCACCCCAGCAAGCGAGAAGTCCTGGCCAACATCAGTGCTGTTTGTTGACAAACTTCGCCCTTACCAAAAGGGAGGTCCATTGAGATATTTGATCGTCGGAATGAAACAAAATCACACTTTGCAGTTGTGGGATCTAGCACTGGGGAAGCCCGTGCAGGAAATTCATCTCCCTCACAGCAAGGAATCTGATGCTGTCTGCAGTGTTGTCTATCACGCTGCTACTGGTATGATAGTTGTGGGTCATCCAACTCGCAATTCGATTTACTTCCTCCACCTATCGGCGCCCAAGTATAACCTACCAAAGTCTATCACTCAGGCCGGATACATGGAGAAGATTGTTACCAACAACTCTTCGGTTCTCAAGCCAGATTCTACCGCAGTTATCAGCGGCATGCGAGAATATTCTTTTGCGGACAAAGGCACGCTCAGAAGTCTTGACATATTACAGACTTCGACTTTGACGCCAACTGAGGATGAAGCACCGACGATGTTTGAGCTGTATGCCATGCATTCAAAAGGCGTCACCTGCCTGCTCATCAAGCAGCAAGATCTTGGATGGACTCTGGATAACAAAGTGGTTGGCCCTGTTGAAGCTGAAAAGGCAGGAGTTATCTCAATTGATAATCTCAAAGAGATCTCGCCTGCTCCAGCACCCGAGATCAATGAGCCATCTACTGCATTACCGGCTACCCCATCACAGGTTGTACCCCGCCCAGCAGCAAAAGAAACCGCATCAAAGGAAACTTCCAAGAAATCAACACCCCAGGAAACACCCAATGCAGCTGCTAAGGTCGAGGAGAAGAAGGAGCTAGTAGCTACTGGAGGTGGCGAGAAAAAGAAAAGACGAAAAGCAACGGCGTCATCAGAGGCTGTTACTGCAGGAAGCTCATCCCAATCCAAGACTGTTGTCCTTGACCCGTCATCTCACTCCAGAAGTGGAAACGCGTCCAAGGCAAGTGCTACTGCCACCACTAGCTCGCGGGGTCCTTCTCAGGATATCAGTGACGGAGCTCTGAAGAGCATTGAAAATAGGCTTGCCAGCGAGGTGAAGAAGCATTTTGGCGAATCCCTCGACTCGCTCTATCAAGATATCAAGGACGACAGGCGCACCCAGGCGGCTGTTGCCGATGCAAAACAGGATGCCATGCTTCGATTGGTCTCCAGCACACTGTCAGACAACATTGAGGCCACACTTGGTCGAATCGTTGCCACTAGCATACAGAAGTCTGTTCTCCCCGCCATTTCTGATGTTGCACTTAAAGCCGTTAAAGATCAACTTGGCTCGAAAATAAATTTGCATCTTGCCCAGAATCTACCCAAGGAACTTCAAAAGGCCCTCCCCGACGCCGTTGGAAAGGCTCTGCAACAGCCTCAGCTCTTGAAGCTCATGTCTGAATCTCTTGCAAATAGTGTAGCGTTCCGTGTTGAGGAGCAATTCGCTAGTCTCATGCAGAGTGTTATTACACCCACTTTTACGAATTTGGCGATCCAAACATCGCAGAAAGTTGCAGGTGACATTCAACGTCAAGCTGCTGACCAAATCGACACCATTGAACGACAACGCCACGCTGATGGTATCAAAATTGAGCAGTTGACGCAGCTTGTGACAGGCTTGACTGAGACCGTTTCGTCGATGGCTGCTGCGCAATCCGAGTTTCAAAAGCGACTCTTGAGGCAGCAAAGTCAATCTGGTGAAAGCCAATATACTACTGCTCACCGGACTGAAGGATCCACCGTATCCATCATGAGCCCCCCTAATGTCCCCGCCGCACCGGTTCAACCGACCGCTGCGGAAGAGGAGTACGATTCGATGTTGGCATCTATTAAGAAATCCATGAGTGAACGCAATTATGAGAATGCGGCTGTCCAGTGGTTGCAGACTCGCCGGGAGCAGGAGTTCTTTGCCAACTACTTCTCCAAGTTACACCACGATATCATACGGGATTTCCTTTGGGGTCTGAGCCCGTTATTGCTGCTCTCATTAGGCGCCACCATTACTGTCGCTTTTGAGGATCTCAACTACCATGAGCGTGTTGACTGGATGGAAATGCTAATGTTTGCGTTCGAGTCTCGGGCCAACGCTGGCGAGTTGGTAAGTCAAGTAACTCTATCATGATCGTATGCTCATACTAATATACCAATAGGATGATCAAGTTCGCAGTCTTATTCCAAGAATTATTGCCGTGTACATCCAACGCCTCGAACATGCACATGCGCTTGTCAACGGACTTAGCAAATATGATACTAACGTGCCGAGACTTTATAAGATGATTACGTCCGCAAAACATATTCTAGAGTTGGGCAGCCAGCCTCGATAGTCCCACATCCAGGATAGGCAGTTGTCGACTCTTACAATGAAGCCGGTTTATCTGGGCGAACAGTCTTTCGCCTCGACGCACTTAATAGACTTGGCACGAACAAATTTAGGATGTCTTTTGTTTGACGGGGTTTGCTCGAATTCACCTGCACTCGTTACTCAATTGGACACCTGATACCCCCAATCCCGCGCTAGGTTTCGAGACACTCGGATGGTGGGTGTCGAAACAGTCAGTAATCCTTCAAGATTTTGACTTGTGTACAAACCTTTCAATTTCAATAATTTTATTTCATGGCATGGCGGGAAAAGCATTTAATTTGCTCTCATTGCTGGCGTTCTTGAACGGTCAATATGAGCGATGATAGTTGCTTTCCCAGGATTACGAGGTTACTGCTTAAGGGTGACGACCGGGGATGTGTGTATGAAGGACGGACGGATACAGCAGACACGGCCTCACTTAGTGCATATCGCACTTGGAAAACCCTTGGTGGGTTAATTAAAACCTTGATACTTAGTTTTAGATGAGAGCAACATAGCATGATATTTCGAATACCCCGATTTGGTGTTCAGTGACAGATAGCGGCGACCCCCCACTTCTAGTTCTCAAGTACATTCTAATATGGCCCCTTGATTAATCACTTCATACTGTTTTAGAGAAACCAATTCCAGAAATGGGAATCCGTAGGGCTTAGTCAGATACTTGCAATGACTGATCTGCTGCCAACTTTAGACAAATTGCCCAAGCCTCGAGTAATATCGACATTTCCTATGAGCTATGCTAATTCAGACATCCAACCTTCACACTTACCCCACCTAGCAATAACCTTTTGAAATCATAGTCGTCAACAAATTGGAAACAAACGTTAAAAAAACTCCTTTATTCGGAGTCATACGTCCGCTCTCACCTCGTTTAAAGTTTAACTCTACCTACACCATACATATATCACTACTCAGCCACCTAGATGCAGAACGTACTCAAGTCAAAAGACCTCCTGGAGCTCATTGAGCCCAATACCTCTGTCCTTGAGGAGGTGATTTGGTCCAATTACAGTGTTGAGCCTATGCCTGCTGATAACTCTCTTCCTTCACGATCCGCAGATAATATTGAGGTTACACCAAATAAGTGGTATGTGGTACTCTTCATACAAGCTCTTTTGAAAGCCTTACCAGGCATAATATTATTAGGTGAAATATTACTGCCAAATAAAATACCGCTGTTAGTTCAAGTTCTGCTGTCAATATAAGTCGACTTATCATTGTATAGGACAAGTACTGTAATCTCGAGGGTCTTGATTGAGGTATATAGAAAGCTGGCCAGCTTTGAACGTAGACGGTAGAGTAAGCTTTGCAGTATAAATATTTGGATGGCAGATTGGCTCCGTGGCTTCAACACCAAGTCGCACAGGACATCAGATCGAAAGATAGTTGTCTGCAGGTGGCGGGAAAAAAGTTTCATTTTTCAATAAGACTTCACAGCTACTAGATGAGCATGCTCTGGAATATATCTTTTCTCCGCCCTAGCAGGTTAGTAGACTGCCATATCCGAATAGGGATCAATTATCATTCTTTTTATGAACGTTTCGTTCAAAGACCTTTGATATATGCACTTAGATATATACATGAATATTATCCTAACATTTTGACCCATTCCTGAGTGCCTCATCAGCCATTAAGCGTCAAACGCTTCTTCTCAAGCTAATATTTATATGGGTAGACAGGTGGATTATATCCATCGGGAATCTCAAGTTGGCCGTGGTAGTAGTTCTTGGGTTGCTCCTTCTCCCAAGTCTTCTTGATTGCTGGGAGAGTGGTGCGCCCACTGCGGTTGGAGTGGACATCAGGAACTGGCTGCGGGGCCCACTTGCCCTTCTTCGAGTTGAAGATTCCTGGGTAGGAGTAGTTGAAGTAGCGGGTGTTGAAATCGGAGCCTGTCCATTTTCTGAGTCTGTCATCAGTGTGCTTCGCGACGTTGGCGAAAACGTTCGCACCGACGTCCCATCTTCCGAGGGTGAACAGGTCCCTGGAAGAAAATGTCAGCTAGGATGAAAAAGGATACTAGGAATGCAATTACTGACCAGTTTGCTTCCACGGTTGAAATTTCGGAGTAGTGGTTGTAATAGTTAGAGTCCGTGGTGCCAACGAGCTCCTTTGGAACGGCGTCGCCAACGAGGACGCTGAAGACGCGGTTCTGGGTGCTATACGTCTCGTTTTCATCGAAAGTGATCATCACCAAAGTGTTCTTCATGAAGTTCTTGTCCTTTAGAAGGGGTGCCAAGAAGGTCTTCAACCAGACACCAGCAACGGTGACTGAAGAGTCATGGCCATCTGAGGTCATATTAGGAGTAACAAACATCCATTGGGGAAGTTTATCCTTCTTGAGATCCTCGTAGAACATGGTGAGGTTCTTGACCTGGGCAGCTCTGTCTTTGTTGTTTACCACAGAGGTATACATAATCTCAGGGCTGGGAAACCGTTAGTTATGAGACAAGGGCAAATAATAGATCGTAGTACTTACTTGTGTTTCCGAACGTAGTCGTTGGCGCCATTCTTTTGATTCACCCAACCAGATCCTTCGAAGCCAGAATATGGCATATCTTCCTGGTACATGCCCCATGAGATGCCTTTGTCCTCAAGCAAATCAACGACTGATGAAACGTTCCCTGGGACGGAAACAAATGGATCACCATCGAGGCCGAGGTAGTCACTAAGAGAGGTGTTGGCAATAGTTATGTAAACAAAAGCGTCAAGACTTACCCGCCAACAGCAGCCATATAATTTGGCTCGCTGGGATGTGTGAGAGCGAAATTGTTGCTTAATGTGATTCCCTTCTTGGCAAAATATTGGAAATTAGCTGTTCTCTAAGTTAGCAACAATTACAAGTCAATTAAAAAAAGGGCATCACATCACATACGATCAGCAGCAGCCATGTCAAAGTCGGTATTTTCAAACCAGATTGAGACATATCTGTCGAATACCTTGCCCTTCACGTGGCTGGTTGGGCTGCGGGTGAGGGCTGTGGCCTGGGCCGCGTAGACGTCTTTGGCACTCGTTGCAGTTGGAGAAGCTGGAGCCGCAATAGCAGCCGAGGCAAGAGAGCCTGCTACAAGAGTTCTTGAGAATCGCATCTTGAATTGAATAGTTGAGACTGCGAGGAATGCCTTGGCTGGCGAGGCTGAGGTTTTAAACAGACTTCCGAGGATGCGTGGGATCGGCAGGGTACTTGTACTTGGGCTTGGTCCCCAGCTATCCCTAATATCTATTACTGGTGAAGGAGTCTAAGGGAATCAACTCGGCTAGGTGGAAGGCATGGCTGGGATGGTAAAGCTAATGGAATCGTACTTCGTCAATAGTATCCTCCTTCCGCATGGAGCAGCTACTCGCACAACTCTTGCAGCCAGCTCGGCCAGGCAAGCAACTAACCGCACGAGTAGTACGACAATATCACACTATGATTCAGTCCAACGCAGCTACTGTGAACAAAAGTGGGAGAACTCATGAGGGGATCCAGCATCACATCGCGGGGTCTGGTGAAAAAGATATGAACACCCGCTTTTGAACCTGGATCGGACCGGGAATTAGCACAAGACGGCGGATTCTGTTTATCCAGGCCTATAAGTGCAACACAGTAGCGAATTGTTCTTGGCCACAGGATGCAAGCACGAGGTCGTCATGTCCAGGGGGAGCTTGTTTGCCGGCCATCCCTTTTGACAGCGGCCATTCTAGGGGTTCGGGGGCTGGAAGCCTCCAAGGGCGCTCTTCTAGTAATATCCGGGTGCTCCGTATGGCACGATTCCGTTGTGATTTCTCGCAGGAGTTGGCAATTCCAAGGTGGCTTTGCTAATTTGACACAAAAAGTAAATAGCAAAGGAAGCGTGCAGATCCTCATAACCGTTGCCGCAACGTTGCGGTTGTTCCTTAGCAGCATCGTGCTGCAACCATTGGCCCAGAAAGTCTTGGTTCTGCAGACCCCCGAGCGCCCCGGACGATCGTGGCGCAATATAAGCCTGGCCAAGTCAGCAAGCTCATTATTAGCTATTCAGGAGCATCCCTTGGTATGCGTTGGGAATATCATCGCCATGATTGGCTGCGCCACTGCGAGGGATCAGAGGGATCAAGAGGGATCAAGAGGGGCACACGACGATCAGGCGGCCATAACGTAAATAACAGAGCGGAGAGTAGTCCGGAAGTCGAAGGTCGAAGACCCCGGAAATAATATGAACTGAGGGGAGAACAAATTCAGGGCTCAACACCATCAGATGAAGAGCTTATTCCCAGGGTCGAAACTCTTTTATTAACCTTGCGAATAAGCACTTGCTCTCTAGCTTCTAGAAGACGCCTCCCGCATTTCCCACTTCAACGTCTAGTGTAGTGTACGACGCGCCGTGATACCATATCTCCAGCCCGCAATTCATGCTGGCACGAGGGGAGAGGGGGGCAGGTACCGAGGTTCTGGCGTCCTGAATTCCAGCGCAAAAGATATGTCGGTCTAATCTCAATCTCACTTATGCGATGGTCTCCTGGTCATTTGTCCTGTCATACTCAATAGCGTGGTGTTTGCTACCCCGTTCACTCCATCGAACTCGCGATGCCTTGATGTCAAACGACACCTCAGTCGCGACCAATTTACGAGCCCAACGACTAGCTCCTGGATAGCTCAATTTGTCCAGACTTTTGTCCGCCATGGCTTCGTTTGAAGAAAATGGAAGTTCCCCGCGCACAAGCAGCGATTTCCAAGAGGTAGAAATGCAAGAAAGGGACGGGCTTGCCAAAGAACAGGAACAACGCCTGCTTCCAGACGAGGATATAGAGGCGACGGGGGATGTGGAATACAAGGTGGAATGGCATTTGCGCACGGGTTGGGCCGTATTTGGTTCCATTGTAACCGCTGCTCTTGTCTTTGTTGGGTTGGTTCTGTTCACCAGACATTTCATCGTGGACAACAACCTGAGCGATGAGGATGACATGGGGATGGCCGGTGCTACAGGCTTTCGACGACCGCCGACTGATTATATTCTCGATCCCGCATGGGACTTTGAAGCGCCCCGAAAGGTCAGAGAATATAAGTGGACGATCACAGACATTGTGGGAAACCCCGATGGCGTCTTCAGACCTATGCTCGCCATCAACGGTCAATTTCCTGGGCCCATGATTGAGTGCAACGAGGGAGACACTGTTTCCATTGAGGTAGATAATCGAAGCCTCAATGCAACTTCTCTACATTTCCATGGAATCTATCAAAATGGGACAAACTGGATGGATGGTGTACCTGGTGTCACGCAGTGTCCAATTGCGCCGAAAAGAAAGTTTCGATATTATTTTACTGTCACCGGACAGTCGGGCACGTATTATTATCATGGACATCAGGCAGCGCAAGCTTCGGATGGACTTTACGGGCCATTGGTAATTCATTCGAGGGATGAAAAGAAACTACAACAAATCCCATACGCCACGGACCGAGTTCTAATGCTTCAGGACTACTACCATGACCTCAGCAGCGGTCTCCTCGTGAGCGCCTTGGAGCCCGGCAGCGAGTCCTCCCCAATCCCGAATGGGGCGCTGGTCAACGGACTTAATCAACGCGATTGCTCTGAACTTCGACATAGAATGTGTGATAATTCAACTTGCACTCTTCCATCCTTTGACTTGGCCGCCAATGCAAATCATCGTCTACGAGTTATCAATGTTGGCGCTTTTGCTTGGTTCCAAGTGTCAGTCGATGAACATCAGTTTGCCATAACTGAAACCGACGGCACAGACATCATACCTTCCTATGATACGCGGTTGATGATTAGTCCAGCGCAAAGATACAGCTTGATATTACATACGAATCAAACTTCGGGGCCGTCGTTCTGGCTTCGGGCAAAGATGGTCAGCCATTGCTGGAAAGAGCCTGAACTTCCAGGTCCGGGGGCTGATGAGGTCAAGGCCATCATCCACTACGCTTCTCCTGGCCGAAAGAAAGCTGCCAAAAATATTATGGTTCAACCAGCTTCAAGAAACTGGAGTGAGGGAATGGAAGTCCAATGCAAAGATATGAACACAACTTCATACGTGCCTGCGAAGCACGAGCCAGCGCCAGCATACGCTGATCATAGCTACTATCTCCGTTCCAATCTTGAAATTGGGGATTGGCGCCTGGAGCGGGGTTTCTTTAATACCTCGACTTTCCGCCCGAACCTTCAACAACCAACATTGCACCGGTCAGTGGAGGGCCTAGGTAGCCAGAACCAAACCTTCGCAACTACGAGCAGTTTAAATGGTGTCAATGCAGTTGCATATGACCTAAAGAACGACTTTTTGATCCAACATACCGGTATCAAAACCGTAGATCTCATAATCCAGAATTTCGACGAAGGAAACCACCCCATGCATTTGCACGGCCACAAATTCTGGATTCTGGGTCAAGGCCACGGCATGTTCCCTGGATACGAATCTCTGGGATTGAAGCCTGAGGGCAAAGGCACTCTGGATGGGCATGAAAATAAATTGGATCGTAAGCTCCGGAGAGACGTTGCGACCGCGGAGGGTTTCGGTTGGCTGGCGTTGAGATTCGTGGCCGATAACCCCGGAGTTTGGGCCTTCCACTGCCATATGGCCTGGCATTCAGAAGCTGGGCTGAGCATGCAGTTCTTGAGCCGGGTTGATCAAGTGGCACAATGGCAGATACCAGAGGCCAACCGCGAATTGTGCTCAGCCAATATGGAAGAGTTGGAGAAAGGCGCAGTCCCCAAGGACAGTGACTGGTATGGATTTGGGATCGGGGGTTGAGACATGGTATTATTGGAGACATTAGAAGTTTCCTCCGCCAGTCTTCTGCCATATGACTACCCCAATGAGGGTCTGTCTATAAGAGTATACATAATCCCTCGGGGCCATCAGTGAGAATCCCCTCTCAAGGACGGAGTAGCCTCTAACGAGAGAGGTCCTTCCCAGAAAACAAGAAGAGGCAAGAACTCCCAAGCAAAGAAACGAGCCCTGCTCAGAATAACTGAGTATTGAGAAAATCTGGAGAAACCCAGATGATGACGGTTGGAAAATTGGGGGGTTGTACACTTGTACCTCATGCAAGCAACCTTCATTGTGTATAGAACGATTATAGTAATTCGGCGTAAACAACATATTCCAAAACATATGCCTCTCGACAACGATAGTGATTGATATTTTAAGGCTATATTTTCCCTGCGACAAAGTTCTTGTAGTTGGCTTCTCTACACGATGCCTCAAATAGATTCAACGGAATGCTCTAATTGCTGACACGAAGAGTGAGTCATCTCCAAGCCATCCACTACGATTGTTATCGCCGCGCGTAGGATTCCGTGATTTGTCAGCTGAATACTACACGTATATGGTAACTCCGCTCTAAGATGAAGATGCGCCGCGTTCGTGGCGTTTGACGCGTTGACAAAGCATAAGTAAGAACCTGATATTCTGACATTCTATGTTTGCAGGTTGCAGGTTGCAGGTTGGTGGCGATTATCTTGGTTTAGTAATTCAGTACGAATCCTCTCCAGAACCAGAATCTGAACTTGAAAGTAATCTTCACCTTATTTTGGTACCAAGTACTGAAGTGGGGTTGTTTGCATCGGGGATTGTTTCCAGACTGTCATCTGGCCAATCAAGTACCCGCGTTGGCTCTTAAGCCCTCCTTACTCATTGGTAAAGGTAAGGCTGCCACTTATCGTCATCAACACCATTGCAAGTCCAAGTGCCCGCGACACCCAACAACGGTTCGCATTCCAAGATCCTCCTGCAGAGATCGAGGCATTACCAATCCATCGATTTCTTTCCTCCCCTTCGGCCGCGCGGAGAGTCCGATTCGAGGAGTTTTTGAATTTCGACGAGGCCCAGACCGCGAGATACCTCCTCTTCAGTCAACAGTCCTAGGAAATCTGTAAGTTCCATGCATTTCCCCTGAAGTGGCAAAGTAGGAGGACGGCACCGAATGTATGAGAAACAATTAAGAATGCTGACTGAAATCCCGCTAGTCTGAATTCCCCTTTCCATTCCATCGCTATTTGGAATCAAATCGCCTCCCCTCGGGCACGAAATAACTAATCTTCTGGACTTTCGGAGAACCCGTCGCACATTTGTCCTGGATCCCTGGAGACTTCCCGATTCGTGCTTCTTGAGGACAGAATTGCGCCGCTGTGTATCGGGTTGACCCGCCTATCCTCATCCCAGGCGCATCGAAGAAGTTCCCATTTCGAATCAGGTATACGGTATAAGCGTAGCGTTGTGTGGCGATTCAAAGGCTGCATTGGCTGGCGGCGGTGTGTGGTTCTCGATATATCCTTGATTGCGCAGCTGGGCTGCCGTCCGCGCACTGGGAACGGGAGATCAACCTTGGCCCGCCGCGAGTGAGTGATACTGGCAGAAGGCATTGCCACGGCGTTTCCAAAGACGTTGTTGAGGCGGAGGATCTTAGAGCTCTTTCGTTCTGCCCTCTCTTAAGAGTCCATTGATAGACCTTACGAGGAGCGCCGGCATATATACGGTGGTCTAAGACGCGGGCCATTACCAACCTTCGCCGCGGAACGGACATACGGCTACGAGATACCTGTGTCTTCGACTCTATCTCCACCACTTAAGCTACGGCTTAGAGGATCCCTTGTCATTAGCGTAGCCGCAAGGAGCTTCTATCAGGGTTCGTCTGTACTCTAGCCATTGGCTACGTGGCTCACGGAGCAGTCCGGTTCCAGTCCGGGTAAGGCTGTCTCTCAACGGCAGGGTTAAATTTGTGTTTGTGCAGAGAGCCGTTTCCCCTATTATTGAATAGGGCTGCGACTCTAAATCCCGGCCATTATCTTTCTACACAGCTTTCTATTCAACATTTGAAAGAAGCAACTTTTTATAATGACGCCAACACCGCCCTCTACCACATCTTCGAATTCCGGAGGCTTCTCTCCAGATGCCAACTTCCGAGTTGTACGGAAGAGGAACAGGGTCCCGTTGTCATGCGGGCCGTGTAGACACAGGAAGTAAGCTTAAACCCCTTGATTTGCCGCAATGCGGTCACCGGATGTGTGCTCGGATATACTGACAGTTTGCAGGTTGAAGTGTAATCGGTCGAATCCATGCGAGAACTGCATTAGGAGAGGTGACGCATCCTCTTGCTCGTATGCTGCGCCTAGTAGGCGCAAGAAGAACCAAAGTCAAGGAGCAACCAGCCCTGATGATATGCAAAACCGTATTGACCGTTTAGAAGGCTTAGTCCTATCGTTGATGACCAATGGTGCCCAGTCTGCTGGCCCAACGGCGGCAGCTGCTGCTATTTCTCGTTCGCAAAGTGACAGTGCTGGCTCGTCTGCTTATCCCCTTGAGTTGGACCACGATGAGGATGACATGATTAAGGAAGAAGACGAAGGTGAAGGTAGCGAGGTCGAAGGTGTAACTAACTCTTTGGGTCATCTAAAGGTTGATGTAGATAAAGGCAAGTCGATGTACGTGGGAGATTCGCATTGGCATTCGGTGCTTGCAGATGTAGGTTGCTCCCCCTTCTTAAGTCAGTTTTATAGAATTCCAATACAGTATCAAAAATCCCCTGGTGGGAATCGCTGTCCTGCTGTACCTGCATGAAGATGTGACTTCAGCAGCGACGCCCCAGATATGGCCATTAGTTGATGGTCGATGCTATCATCTTACCAGAGTGCAGATGATCAGGTCTTTTTGTGCGGTTTCAATTGCCGATAATGTTGTACCTACATCACTATAGAATATCACTAATCATTTTCTTAGATTGCCGAAGTCAAGAACTACTTTGAATTGCATAAGAAAGATTTCCAAAGGAATTATGAGAAGATCCGACAATCGAAACCTAGCAGCGCCGTTGATGGCCCAGCATTTTTGTTCAATTCGCATGGCCCCGTCACAGACACAGAACTGCGAGAGGAAGTGCCTACGAAATCAGCCGTGGATAAGCTGGTGACTCGATACTTCAACTCGTATGATCCTGCCGTACACATCCTTCATTCTCCAACTTTTCACAAACAACTCCACAATCACTGGCAGGATCCGACGAAAACATCAATAGTCTGGCTAGGGCTCCTTTATTCTATCCTCTGCCTTGCCATGCAATCTTACAACAAGATTGGAGACGAGCCACTTGAATGGAAAGGTCAGTACTCTACAATTGTACTCCAAATAAACTTGTCGTGCTAACATGCCTCAAGGTCGTACTCTGGAATTAGCTGCAGAATATCGCTTGCGAACTGTGCAATGCCTTGTCAATTCGGAATATACAAAATCTTCTATATACACGGTTGAGACACTCATCCTTTATGTCCACGGAGAATATCAAAGCCGCTGGGATGCAGAAGTTGGTATTTGGGTCATAGTGGGGATGATTGTGAGGCTGTCAATGAGAATGGGTTACCACCGTGATCCAAGCAATTATCCGGGGATCACCCCTTATCAAGGCGAGATGAGGCGACGGGTATGGACATTTGTGCGACAGATAGACACAATGTTTTCATTCCAGCTGGCCTTGCCCAGTATGATTAGGAATAGCGATTGCGACAGCGCTCTACCCCGGAATATTTTCGAAGATGAATTTGGTCCAGATTCAAAGGTTCTGCCGCCTGCAAGACCCTTCTCCGAGCCTACCCCAATATCATATATGATAACGAAGGCTCATATCTCTTACGAGTTTGGCGCAATACTGGAGGAGATAAATGCTGTCAATGCTAAATCTGTCACCTATGATGAGATACTGAAGCGCGACAACCGATTACGGGATTTGAGAAACAATATGCCACCACATCTCCGCCTCCGTCCTTTGGAAGAATGTATGCATGACCCCGCCACGCTGCTGATGCAACGTTTCAATGTCGATATCTTCTGGCAAAAGACTATGTGCGTCCTTCATCGCAAATACATCGCTCGAGCTCGACAAAATCCTCGCTATTCCCACTCACGTCGCGCATGTGTTGATGCCTCGATGGAAATCCTTCGCCATCAAGCGAAACTCCATCGGGAATCTCAACCTGGTGGTCGCATGCGTGCCATGAAATGGTTCATTTCATCACTTACAAAACATGACTATCTGCTTGGAGCGATGATCGTGTGTCTTGACCTGCACTATGATCAAGTCTCGGAGTCTTTAGCCGAGCGCCCCCCAAATTATAACCCATGTTTTTGGACTTCTGCTCAGCGTACTGAGATGCTCAAGACTCTTGAGGCGTCCCAGATAATCTGGAAGGAATCTGCCGAGACGTCCATGGAAGCTTACAAGGCATCAAACATCCTGAGAGTAATGCTGGAAAAGCTGAATTCTCCTAAGACTCAGGCCCCGGAGGGCCCCACTACCGCTGAAGTTTTCGCGCAATTCGACGAGGACAGCTTGAAGCCTGAGCATTCAGCGGCGATGACGCTGGGAATGCTATCGGGCGGGTTGACACCCAATTCTGCTGCCTTATTTAGTTCTATGGCTCAGTCCCCTGGCGGCACAAGATTCGCTAATATGGATACAAATATGGCTGAGCCCTTGGTAAGCACGGGACTCACGCCGTCAAATTTCCAAACGGAGAATACAAATCCATTTGCTTCGATGAATAGCGTTGCATCACCTTTTTCAGTCTTTAATAACGCGGCAAGCGGCACGGGAATGATGGATGTGCCGGCGAATCTAGACTGGGTAGGTGTTTAATCTTCTAAATTAAGTGTATCATTTTGCTGATTTATATAACAGGATGCATGGGATTCATATATACAGAACGGGAACTCAGTCGACCCAGCATTCCAATTCTACCCTACCTCAATCGATCAGCAGCAGTTAAGTCCGGATGGGCAGCAACCCGATCCGTCCTCGACATTCGGCAATAGTGTCTTTATGGGGGCGAATACACCGGGTCGATGAGAGACTTATAGAACATGAATATATCAAAAAACAAATTAGCTTCATCTCTGTCTATAATGTACGAAGTATTGAGAAATGGTCTGGCAGTTTATCTGGCAAAATATGTTCATGGCAAAACGGAAGAGAATGGGTTTTTGGGAAACACACGGGATTCAAAAGGCGAAGGAGGCTAGAATCTCTGCTCTTGCGTGGAATTACCTAAAATCGCCTTTCTAAATAATTAAGAACGGTGTTTATCTGTTTACATACCAGGAGATAATATGTTGCTAATATGGATAATGTGACTTCTCTGATTTGACAGGGCTGTATTGCAGGTGAAGGGACCGGAGATGAGGGGAGAAAGCAGAAAGCCTGCCACCAGTATGACCCGTAGAACCTGTCTTGATGTTATAGCGATAAGAGTGATTTTGACTCTTGAGTGTTCTAAGTTCATATATTAATAGCATACGTCTATCTATGATATTCAACTCATAGAATCCAAAAGCCATACTAATCAAACGACTCCAACACTCTTTCTAACCAGATGGAACTAAAACAAGAAAATTCATTTCTCAGCCCACTACATTGATAATGCAACCCGTGACTTGCCTCCTCCTCTTTCGACTCACCGCCAGACGGCCGGGAGAACTTCGCTACTATTCGAGCAAGCATATATATATTTCAATAAGAAAAGTGCCAATAACGACAACCTAGCTCTTTAAGACACTCCCCACAAGTGTCACACGACACCTCATATCGGAGAGAAATATAACTAGGTCTAGCGACAACTACGAAACGGCAGAGATTAATTGGCTGTGGGCAATGAACTCTTTTGCCATTTTCACTGTTCCCGTATTTTATTTTATTTTTTATTCTTCGTGTTATATCTCGTTATATCTCGTTATATTATTTTTTAGCTTTTTTCTATACGAAACAGTCTACACAGGATTATATAATCCCTTCACCTCACTGTAGCGGTAGATAATATTCTACAAGGTCTGATACTTAACTCGGCGATTTCCGATATAAAAAGGAATTCAAGAAAGTGATAAATTAGGGCAGCTCTAAGATAATTCGACTCCGGTATTGTGACCCAAGAAATTTCAAGTCATCCTTCCGCCGCGCCGCCGCTTGTTCACGAAAGTGAACAAACAAGTTAGATAACGAGTTCAGTAACAGAATAGGAGCTGCGTGTAATAATGGTGATATTGGGGGTTTTTTAAAGAAAGATTAGGGGTTTCTGGAGGTATTTGGATTGATAACAATATTAGGATTGACAGCGACGTTACGAATTGGCAACTCTATATACATGAGTCCTCGTCCTTGACTGTGCGTATGTCCGCTGATGACCGACATGTGGGGATGGGGGAAATCCGGACCTGCATCTTTGGGGGTGGATAGTGAAATGGGTTTGCGGAGGTTCTGGTGCTTATCACCTGGGTATATGTTTGGCAGGTGGCGTATATATTAGATTTGTGATATACCAGTTGTCCCTTCAGGTTCATGACAGACAGTGGGCTGGGCTTTGGCTTAGGGGCAGCCAAACGAGCATAGCTTAAGAGCCTCTCAAGGGGGGGGAAATATCTTCAGACTTCAGCTCTGAGCTTTAAACTTCCCCTGCCTCTTTAAATCATTTTCTAGGCCAAGTTGTCCCATGTCGACGATCAGCTCCAGGAAACAGATTATTGAAACGCGCTAGGTCTGGGTTGGCAGACACGTAATGCATTAAATACGCGTGGTGGCTCGAAACTACAGTGACAGATTACTATCAGGTGCATTAAGGAAGACCTTCTTGCGGGTGAAACAGCCTATTGGTAAAGTTATTTTCTTGTTTGTCAAGAATCTTCGATATTACTTATGGGCAACGTAGACTAGGGGTTTGTACTACGGTAGGAATTGTGCATAAGTTGATTTGGTCCTTAGTAAATAGCCGTAGTTCTAGAGTTCGTTGATTTCTGAAAATATGCATAATTGTTGTGAAGAAGGGGGACGTGGCATTAACTCTTGCTGTAAAATGTCTAAAATTGCAGCTATATTCCTAACTGATCATAGACCCCTTGAAATATCCGCCCTTTAGGAAGTATTTATTATCATTGAGTGGGGATATTGTCTAGTCTTGAGCTTTTTGTATACCGCTTCTATCTAGTTGATGATGTAACATGGTAATCGCTGCTAACCATATTTTGTATCAAACGACCAAATCCCAGCAATATATCAAGCATCCTTATCTATCCGGTTGGACATCGTCGCCTCGTCAGGGAACCGTATCACACGTTCGCTCGCAGCATTTTGGGGTTCGATCCCCTCAAGCGGCGTAGTACTTTCCGGGTGGTTCGTGTTAGAGTCGTGAATGATGGCTCCGCCAATCCTATATAAATGGCTACTAGACCCGGGCATCGAGTTATTGATCGTTGATGGACCCGAGTGGTTGCTTCTTCGAGTCTGTCGCTCCCGGAGAACGCCATCAGTGTTCTGAGACTGGGGGCGAGTGTCGACTGAAAAACCGTGGTCAATGGAATTGGCTTGGGATGTGAAGGCTCGAGATAGGGTTCTTGGGAGGAAGAATCCGAACTTTCCTAGGGGGATTGAGAGGCCGTGTACAACCTTGGGGAATTGGTTAATAGCGGATTTAGAGCAGGAAGGGGAGAAGAATAACTTACAATGCTGCTTATAGCTAAGAACCAAATGACAACCATCATCGTCTCTCCTAGTTTCTTTGCATCTTCTCGCTCATGACCGTCCACCTTGAGGGTTTCAAGGAACTCGAGACTGATGTAAAGATAGAATATTGCGGATACACCGATGGGACCAAAGAACCCAACGAAGATAGCTTGACGGAACTCTTCAATCTGGGGTATCATTCTGTGGAACGCAAAGACCACGGGAAGACGTCTATGGCAAGTTAGCACACCCAACTCAAGAAAAGCAGGAGCTCTGCGTCTACCAACCTAAAAAGAAGGATCAGAACCCCGAGAAAGATGAGCCGGTATATAGGTATGACCGAATTGTGGAGGAACATATTCCAAGGGCAGATGGCGCCAAACCATATAAATATCGACAGATTAAGCAACATATCAATAGTAGGCTGCAGGGAATCATCCAACGTCTCAAGTCGAAACCAATCATCCCAGGTGAAAACGTTTCCAGCGATGAAGCAGGCTAGGACATCATCACTTCCGATCATGCCGCATGTCCCAACGATGAAGAGAGACAGAGCAATCGCAAAAACGAGGAAGCTTTCACGATCAACGAACTTCTTCTCTTCTGCCCAATGAAGGAGTTCTTTGGCGACCCATCCCACGGTTGCGCCATATATAACACTGAGGATAATGGTATAACCCCACGTCTCACCGAACCAGAGGCCAATTGCTGCCCTAGTTCCTCCATGCTCACCGTACCCGCCGTCGCCATTAAACTTAATCAGCCACAGGGCCAGATATAAAAATGGATATCCCAATCCATCATTTGCTCCGGATTCCGCAATGATGATCTTCTGTAGGTCCTTCGGTATGTTTTTATCGGCAAATTTTCCCTTGACAATACTGTTCGATAGGACAGGATCCGTGGGTGTAACGCAAGCCCCAACAGCCAGTGCGTGGAGAAATGGTAGATTTGGGACCATTGCCCATATTATAAGACTGCTAGCCACCCACATCAGTATCATGATAGGCCCCAGAAGTAGGGACAGGGCCTTTCGTTGTTTCCATAGGTATCGACTAGGTAGTTGTACGCCTGCTAGAACCAACTGCACTCCGAGGACGAGACGGCTGAAATACAAGGTGACGGCATTGAGGTTTGCCTGGGAACCGGTATACTCGAGGGGTTTTACGAAGTTGGTCGCGTGGGGGGAAAAGGTAACACCAGCGAGTAGGGAGATCACTGGAAGCAAAAAGTTAATACGATAGTACGATGGTTTGACTTGGGACCTATGTAGGACATACAAGCTTCAGAAAGATAGAACTTCTCCTTGAATAGATAAGATACCAGACCGAACACGGTGATGAAGCCGCCAAGCACCGAGCACTACACGCGAATCGTCAACGTAAGAAATTTGCGGAGCGGACCAAGAGAAACCAAGCCTCTGGGCAGGACAACGGCGTACAACAACATTGAAATTCGTGACTGCGAGGGTAGGCATCTTTCTTGGCTATCCCTCAGGTAACTCCTGTATCGTCTTCGCTGCTCCGTAGAGGGAGCACCGGGCGGACGTAAGGAGGAGGGCTTTCGGTCGATGTTATTGAATCATTTGCAAATGTGTGCCGATATGATATGACAGTAAAGCCCGCCACTTTACTTTGCTTGAGGAAGAAAGAAGGGTTCGAGACCTGGATGCGAAATGAATATCTAGTTCCTGTCAGGGGGCCAGGAGGATTGTAGCCGGCGTATTACGTTGGTTGAATCGTTCTCGTGAGAAAATGAAAGGTTCCCGAGAACGACGACGAAAAGAAGGCTTGACAGTGTTTGGCTTAACCTTATCGTCCTTATCCACGCCACCCCACTCTGTACCACTGAGCCGAGCCGAAGCGCTGATCCTGGTTGTGGATACAAGACTGTTCCAGAAGCTTTAATAAATCTAATATGAAGTATTTCATATACAGTAGAGTTCGAAATTGGCTTCAGTTCGGAACACTCAATGACTCTATGGCTAGCCTATTTCCGAACCCCCTGCAGTCGCTCAAGTCCCTATTCGAGATGTCACGTGGAATTTTGCCTGAGGATCAGCCGACATCAACGGAGCGGAGGTGGGCTTTATTCCTGCCTGAATCGAGGCTCAAACACCACCGGTACTCTATAGAGAGCGGCAAACCACACTCACAACTCTTGCCTCAAAGGGCCTCAATCATTGACCTGATTACCGGACACTGTCTATATAGGGCCTCTCCTTCAAGAAGGTCGGCAAACTCTCCTCTGACCTTTCTCGGTCCCGGCCTCTGAATCTCAAGATCCTCGCCTTATGGCTCAGCCGGGCTTTGCGGCGTACGCGCCTTTCCAACATGTTTCTTGTCCCTGTGAAGGGTCAAGATACCGCTATTCTCCTTTAGCTCCAACGGATATACGCCTTGTCATCCTGGAACCTGGAGAGTTGTCCGATGAAATCTTTTGTCGCATGCCAATATTCCCCTGCCATCGCGCCCCGGTATTCGAAGCCATATCGTACACATGGGGTGACGAGACAGAAAGGCAGGTTGTCAGATGCCTGGACAACCCTGGGACGCTCTGCGTTGCGAACAGTTGCGCGTCTGTTCTGCGAAGACTTCGATACGCTGATCGACAGAGGTATATATGGATCGACGCACTGTGCATCAACCAGCAAGATTTACAAGAGCGCAGTCTACAAGTTAAAGCCATGGCCCAAATCTACTCATCGGCGTTTCGAGTTGTCATATATCTAGGCGAAAGCGCCGATGACAGCGACCTAGCCATGGATTTCCTATCCTCCGGGCAATATTACAACATGAGTGACATGATCAAAAGCGCAATGGGGCGTCTTTTGCGCCGTCCCTGGTTTGAAAGAACATGGGTTATCCAAGAAGTTGCCATGGCAAAGTCGCCCAAAGTTCTCTGCGGTACCAAGTCTGCGCCGTGGTCCAGTCTCGTCGTGTGCGCGATAAAGCTCTCACTGCAGCCTCCCGTACTCTCTCCCATCGGTCGGCTTCGGAAGCATTCATGGATGTATATCGTCACAACCGATCAGTTCGTGAAAGCGCTCTGCGATTCAACAGCGTGTCATTGCCGCGATCCTCGAGACAAAGTCTTCGCATTTCTTGCCATGTACCCGTCGATGATGAATGCAAATGAAATAGCCAAATATCGAGAATCTGGATTTCCAATGAGCAGGGCACGCAAACTACCGCTAGAGGACGTTCCTACGGCCAAACAGATTTCTGTGCAAGATGAGTTGGGAATCGACATGAACCTTTGGTTGACCCCTCGAACGTCAACCAATTACAGCCACTCCGTCGAAACCGTTTTTACAGAGTTTGCAACTCTCTTGATAGAAAATCAAGGTCTCGACTTCCTGTCCGCCATGCAAGGTCGTTCAAAGCCAGATATCTTGCCAACTTGGGTTCCAGACTGGCGGGTCCCTTGCAAGCGGGCAATTTTGGCACATATCCCCTTAGTCCAGTTCAATGCTGGAGGGTCTGCTCAGTCATTCTCTACCTTTTCACCTGATCCAAAGTCTCCAGCGAAGCTTCTCATGGCCCGCGCTGTGAAAATTGGAAAGATTCGGTTCTTGGGAGAAACTTGTGACGTGGAAGTTCCAAACTGGGAACACGTCGTGTTCCGCCGCTGGAGAACTCTTGGCGAGCGCGCATGGAGAGAGATAATTCCAAGTAGATCACCTACCAGCTTTCTAACAGCTTTCTCCCAGGCGATCTTCACGGACTCGGACGACTACTTTTACCAACCACGGGAAGCCTTGTGCCAAAAACTTTCCAACCATGTGGCAGGGGCCTCGATAGAAGCCGGCGACTTCATTCAAGGTATCGATCCGTCGGCGCTTGACCGATTGCGAATAAGCTGCCACGGGCGGAGGTTCTTCGTCGACCAAAACGGAGTCCTGGGCTTAGCAGCAAGTGATAGTTTAGAAGAAGATTTGGTTTACGTCTTATTGGGAGCGAAAGTGCCTTATACCTTTCGGCCGCGTCGGTCTCAACCTTTGTCCGAAGTGAATCTGATTGGTGAATGTTTTACTCGTGGATATATGAAAGAGGAGGCGGTATCTCCAACTGCGGGCTTCCGTGTTGAGAGTCTCCGTATACTCTGAGGGTCCGGTGGTTTTCCATTTAACAGTTTCGAAATTAGTATGTATTGCCTCACAGAAGAAATCCAACACACCTATTATTCCAGCAGGTTGGTAGGAGACCATAGGATCACGAGTGACTGGAGTCACGTGATGGGCTCCAAGGGAGCCGAGTTGGCTCCCTACGGGCCGAAAGGGTGCCCTGGGGATCTAAGGGGATATAGGCTTTAAAGCAGTCATTTCGAGACTAGACCCAGCTAGAGAGGAGAGGTGGTGGGTTAGTGTTCTGGAAACGCCAGCGTGAATCAAAAGGTGCCTCGACGATTCTAGGTACAGATATTGCAAAATGCCATATTTTGATGTGAATCTCAGAAGGGAAATAGGGAATAACACAAATGAGCAGGTATCGGGTTGTTCGCCACGATAAGAGGCTATTCGTGCATTGTCGACTAGTGTTGCCGGATAGCTTTTGGGCAAAAGAGCTTCGATCTCTATTGCAGATATTTTAGAGTAAAACATTAAGTAAAACGTTTGTAAACTTACAGTACACACCACTCTCTCGAATTTTTTTGAGAATGGGTCTAATTAATGGAAGGGATTGTCTTAAGATACAGATTTTCGAAATCTGCGCGACATCAAGCCCTAGTAATCGCATTCTCAAATTTTATGCTCATTGAACCTAGTGCCCATATGGCTTTATGGGAAGAAACACTGGAAGATCCCAATATCACCATAGGGAAGAAGTTCAGTTCGGATCCCATATACTGGATTACGCCACCTGCCAGGAATAATTGAGGTCTAAACAGAGGATTTTCATACAAAGGAGCTGTTGGAGGGCATACGTAAACAGTCATGATGATCGCGAACATGTCCCGAGGTTCTAAGACTACGATAGCAGTATCAGGTGATACAGTACTGAAAGAACGGGTCACTGGGTCAGTCAAATTAATAGCACGCCCGAGAGTCAGCGCTTATCCGCCGACATCGGCTAATCCTTACGCAGAAGTCCATGTGACCTCAGAATAGCGATTTAAGCGAGTGTCTAAGTCTAAATTTATTGAGTGTTCGAAACTGAAGCCGATTTCGAACTTTACTGTACTATGTGATTTTTAGGAATATTCATAATTTATATTACTTTCTATAACCTTCTCTAAGTGGGATTATATTATTGCTTTTACTCTCTGTTTAAAATAGGGGGAATTAGGTATATACTCGTATACCTTATGGATTAAGAGCCGCTTCTAGTAGAGCTCTTGCTTGGGACAAAGGCTATTTAAAATTAGCACGCTTTAACAGTCCGGGCAAGAAAAATTCAGAGCTACTAGTTATTCCTTTCAAATACCCCTAGTATTTCACTAAAGCTAAATAGATTGCGGGGTCCCTATACCGCAACTACCGCAAATATAGCTCTCTATCGCCCATGGAGAGAATCCAGGCATTATTAACATCACCCAAGCCTAACCACAGAGAGAATTATAGCAACATATATATCCTCTTTCTCCAACCCATATAGCTTCTCCATAACGTCCCAAAATACCCAAAATACCCTCCCGTGACCCAATTAGCCAACCCATCCATGATAATCCTACACATCTTCAGCCTCTTCAACCTTCGGAAGCCTCGACCCAGCAACAGCAAGTATATCCGCCGCCACATTCCCAGGATCATTATCATGGCCCTTAATCCAAGTAAACTTCGTCTCGACACCTTTCTCCGTCCTCTCATCCAGGATCTTCCTAATCTCTACCACCAGATCCTTATTCATGACATCCGTGCCTTCAGAAGTTTTCCAATCGCGCTTTTCCCAGTTCTTGTACCACACTGTCGAGCAATTGATGGAGTAATTACTATCGGTGATGATTTCTAACGTGCGATCCCTGTCGACGATTTCGAGAGCTCGGAGAATAGCGGTTAGTTCTGCGCGTTGGTTGGTTTGCGGGCTTCCTCCAAGTCGTTCAGAGACATTCCTATGTTTCCACGTCAGTAGGGTTTTCAGAGGAGATATGGACTATCCTCGAGGGATGGGAGGGAGGTCTACCGTGAATCATCAACCCCAAAATAAACTCCAACACCAGCCTCAGCGCTCTTCTTCCCATTCCCTCTCGAACTCCCATCCGTCCAAACCTGCAGCATGCCATCTACACTTATCTTCGCCTTCTTCGTACTCGGTTCGCCATCCTTATCATCCTTCGAGACTTTCGAGCTCTTGCCCCCGGTCCTCACAAACTCCTCCGCTTCCTTTCTCGTTGTGAACTTCCTATATTTCGGTCCCTTTACATCTTTGATTTGTTCCTTCGCTTCATTCCAATCCTCGTAAACACCTGGTACATGACCTACAGCCACGCCGTAGAATTTATCTCCAGAAGGTTTTGTAGTAGACGCTACAACCCTCCCCGCCACGAAGTCCTCGGCGTCTTTTTTTGAGGTGAAGGATTTATCTGTGTTTCCAAAAATGGCATTTACTTAGTAAAAAAATAAAGTTTTCGGGGGAGGTACTACTCGTTATAGGAGTTCCTTACAGCTTGCGCCCTTAAACCCAGTGGTGTTCAACTGACAATCCCCCCAATTCGTATACACACCGGGGTTCTTCCCCGCCCTCACGCCGTAGAACTTCGGAGGATCTTTCTCAAGCTTCCGTTTCTTCGAGATGGTAGACATAGGAATAAGCTCTGGGTCTTCGTCTAAGTGATGGTGTTCCTGGAGAGGGGTTTGCAGATGATGGATGCGGCGAGGCTGCGGGGTCCCGGTCAAGGAAGAAAGAAAGTGTTTATGCAGCGGTGATTGAGTTCGCAGTGAAAGAATCTGTTGGAATTCCAATTAGTTTCAGCCTAGGAATTAGGTACAGCAGGAGTGGGACAAAGAAGACTACGCAAACGGCGTGGGCGGGGTGATTGCGCGTGCTGGAAGGAGCAGGACATACGAGGCTGGACTGGTTTCCCAGATGTTGGAGAGCAGTTTGCTGGTGGGATAGTCACAGCGACCTACGAGTCAGACTCCAAAGCCTGAGAGATCGGCCCATGGGACGCAGGCTGGGTATGAATGATCGTGGATGGGCAATGCGGAGAGGACGGTGGAGTTGCTTCTGCTTCTGGGGAGTCCGATGTGACAGGGCTGTGGCGGAGCGCAGGAGCTGGATCACAGCTTGGCGGGGAATCGTCAATTTGTGAAGTACCTAGCCTTGGAAATATCCAAAACACAAAACTCGCCGGATAAAATATATGGGCCCAGATATAAGTTCTATAATTGTATTACTCTTCGTGCTTTGTTCTTTATATTACGGACGAATAGCGATATACCCTAGTTATAAAGGATCCTGACTCTTGAGATACCTTATCAATCTCACAGATGAATATTATGACATATTTGCAAAGTAATGTACGTGTATGCTCTACTGAAGAGACTTGGGGCAAACTGCATCTATGTACAAGTCAATGGTCTGGAGCTTGCCAGCTTCGTTGAATTCCCGGCGAGAGCCAGTACCGGTATAGAACGACTCCCACCCTTTCTTGATGCGCCATTTCCATGCAGTTGTTGCCATAAAATCCCCCCCCGAAAATCAAATCCGCAAACTATTATACAGCCAAACGCCAATCTTAATGCCACTTATCGCTATGCAAGGATGGACCGAAACCATTTGCCAACGCCAGATGATCCATATTAATGTCAAAGTCAAAGTTAAAAAAAAAGGAAAAGTGCTCATAGTTATGCTACCTTAAAAGTCCAGATCGGGATCCTCCCGTCCGCTAAAGTGTGATGAACGCCGTTCCGCCGTCACTTAGTCGTGATCCAGGACATAAAGAAATCGAATAATGCCCAGTTGTCTCGTTCTAAATAGCCATGAACGTGTAGCAGAGAATCCCATCGAGAGTGCGAGCTATGGTTGAGCGGCGTGCGTTAAAAAAAATTGTATTAACAGGGAATTCGTGTTGAGTCGTATGAGAAAAGGGAATCCAGGCTTCGTTAGACAATGACTGTTATGTCGGGTTGTCAAAATCTAGAAGCCCCAGCTAAAAGGGTGCTATGGTGCAAATAGCGATAAAGGACAGACCATTTAGGTTGTGCTAAATCCGGAAGTGAAAAGCATTACCGGAATGCTATTGCTGCAGAGTGGAGGTTTGAAGTAGTAAAAACCCTTCAGATTGTGATGGATCCAAGGTCATGAAAGTCGCGAGACGATAAACGGCTTTGATCCATGGAGGGTGGAAGGTTAACCGATTAGTTTCCCTTCTCAGTTTCCCTCTGAGGCTTGTAGTCAACAAGCTCGTCAAACCAGAACTGTTTCTCGTTGTATCGGTATGCATGAAATTCGATACCATAAGGCTTTGGCTCGATCGAGAAAAGAAGTCCAAGCGGAACGTCCAAGTCGGCGATGTCGTCTCGGGTAAGGTCCATGAAGTAGGCCATGAGGACGCGACAGACAGAGCGATGTCCGATTATAAGGACATGGTCTTTGATCCGCTCCAGCTCGCGTACCATATCCCTCAACCTGTTGATGACCTGAAGGTATCCTTCTCCACCGACGCCTGGATAGATGTAATTAAGCTTATCCTTAGCACGTTTGGCATATTCCTCGGGGTAATTCTTCTTGATGTCTTCATATGTCATGCCCTCAAACTTGCCAGCGTGAATCTCATTAAGGATCTCCCAGTTCTTCACATCGTAATTCTCATCCTCGTCGAAATCGGCTGCAGTTTCACGGCTCCGCTTCAGCATGGAGGTCCAAACGCAAAAGTTCTTCGCATCAAGATCCCCAAGGAGCTCAGGATATGGTGGGGTGCGGTCGCCCGGCTTAGGCGGAAGTTCAGTTGACAACGAAGCACGCCGCATCTGATCCTCCTCCCATTCAGACCGCTTCAGGGTGATAAAATTGTAGAGAACTGTAGCATAATTTCGGCCTTCCATAGTAAGCTCTGAATCCCCGCCCAGCTTACCAAGGCAATTATCCTCAGACTTCCCGTGGCGCGTAATCCAAATCTGGCTGGGCGAAAGGTTGAAGGTAGCCAGGTAGGATGCAATACCACAAGATAGAAAGCCTTGGAGCTGATAATGGATGACTTTTTGTCCCACGTTGATCATCTTGATGTATTGCATATTATGATCTTCCTCGTATTGGCCAAGAGGCACGTACGCACTCTCATACGCCTCCACACGCTTCTTGAAATCTGCCAAGGAGCTTTCAGGGTCCTTGTCGCGGTAATCTGGACCGCGGAGCTTCAAGCGCATATTGGTCTCAAGCAGCTTCTTGTCCTCGCAAACACTTTCGATGAAGAGGATACCGAGCTTCGGCTCTCGTTCCTTGACACGGTCGAAGAGGAGTTGCCGGCGTTGAATCGTGCTGTTCGTAGCATCTAGGATACCAACCGAGCCGCCCTGGTTCAGGAGAAAATCGAGAAGCTCATCCAATGTCGACATTGCCACCTGATCTCTTAGCTGGGCAGCCACCGTGTTCTGCGGGTCAAAGAACTTGGCAGACTGGTCCATCTCCTCTGCGCTAGGGAGTCTCGTCTTCCTATTTGGTGGTTGACCTTGTTCTGGATCCAAGCCGTTGAGAAGAATGCGAGCAGCCTGAGTGGGAGCATCAACGGCAGGGGGGGAGGCCACTGGCGAATCCTGGATTGGTTGCTCGGGAAGGTTCTGCGAGGGGATTGCTGCTCCGCGTCTGCGATTGCCCACGTTGAAAATCCGGGTCTCATACTGTTGCCAGGAGAGGTAGCGCTGGATCTTCTTGGTAATGTACGATTTTCCCCGAGCCGGCAAGCCAACCATGATCACCACCAGCTTCGCGCCCACATCCCGCTGTGATATCTTTCCATCCGGGGAGACGCGGGATCTGGTCATGCCAGGAATATTCAGGGTCGTCGCAGGTGGTCGAACTCGAGGGGTGGTAATTCCGGAGTTTTGTCTAACTGGGAAACTATTTTCTCAATTAGTTGCTGCTTGCATTGGATTAAAGTGAAGTATGTAAGGGCAGTAGCATGCAGGAGCCGCTTGACAAATACAGGCGCAACCACAAATTACGGGGGCAACAATTCACCAGGCAGGAAGACAGGAGAGAAATACTTACAGACGGGGGCTAGCCGGAGTCGAAGTTGGAGCGCTTGGGAGAGGCGTATCGCTCAAGGTATGATTGATGCCATGGAGAAGGCTATTAGGAAGGCCAGGCACATGGTGGACCGCGGGAGGGTGTAGAGCGCGGCCGGGCACCGTCATGGGAGGAGCAAGACGAGAATCGCCATTCGTCTGGATGTCGTTCGATTGAGTGCCATTTGAGCTATTCGACACATGTGACTCAGGCAGCTGGAAATGGTCGGCGGTGATGTTCGTGATGGCATCCGGCGGCGCCGGCTGCTGGGCGTTGCTCGACGGCATAGCTGCCCACGAGCGATGATTCAGAAGGCCTTTGGCGATGTCGGAGAGCTGGGCCTGGCGTCGTGGTGGTGCTATTCGGGCGACGGGTTAGTTAGCTGAGAGTTCCCTCGCATGTGCAACACAGGTGATGTTGGGATAGCGATTGCGATTGCGATGACCAGAGGTGGAATGGAAGTGGGAGGTTGAGGCTGAAGTTGCAGTTGGAGGTTGGATTACTCACAGATGGACGGCTTGTCGGGCTCGCCAGTGACAACGATGGCGGGCATGGAGATGACGGGGAGAGTTGCTGCTGCTGCTGCTGCTGCACCGAAGCAGTGATGCAGGTGCAGGCGCAGTGTGGCGGAAGGTTTTGTGGTTTTTGTTGGTGACTGCTGGAGATCGGCAGCCGTGCGTCGGCGAGTTACTACCGACACACCGGGGAAAGTGAAGGACAATTCCGGATATATTGGATGTAAGGTAGTAAGTATCAAACCTCGTCACTCCACGCGACAGCGCGCAGCCGGGCGCGACGACAAAATGGAGAGAGTTCTTTGATAGAAGGGGGTTGTGTAAGGGTGGATGGATGGAGATGGAAAGATGTTGGTTGAGGATGTGGTTGGTTGTTGGTTGTTGGTTGAGGGTAAAGGTAAGAGGAGTTGTGAGGGAAGAAGTTTGGAGATGGAGACGATATCTGGACCACGAGGCTGAAGAGACGAGGTCGAAACAGTTAAAGGCGGTAGAGGCAGAGACAGAGGCAGGGCCGGGCCCTGGGCGACGTCAGGATTGCAGAATAATTCGTGCAGCTGCTGGGTCGGGCTGGGAGGCAAAACTATAGTATAGGGCTACGCTAGGAAAACCCAACTGAGATCGAATCAGTTCTTTATCGATAAGAGATTTTCCTGATAACGTCGATAAGAGATCAGAGACGAGGAGCTCCCTTACCGAATTGAAAAAGAACGTGGATTTCTGTTCCCGGTTGAAGAGTAAGGTATGTTTCTTCGCTTCTTGTCTTTAAGTCTTGATCGCCGGCCTCTCCGACTTTTTTTTTTAGTTCAGTTCGTCTCGACTCGACTCAGGTCTCCTGATTCGCAACTCCGAAAAGGAGAATGGCCGTCCTTCAAGATCCCATCGTGGCTGATACTTGGTATAAATGCCGGGTTATCGACACACACCTGACTCTCCTGTCAACTCTCGAGCGAGCCCTTCGGTCAGCGAGGTCCCGGTCCGGAGAGCAACCCCGAGAAGGATCTGATATGATGATGCTGGTGCTGGTGCTGGTGCTGGTGCTACTATTGTCGCCTGCGCTTCAAGTTGTAAGAGTTATTGCTTGAGTGCGAGATGGAGATTTTGCGATACTGAAGAGAAGGATTGATTGATCGAGGAGCAACAACAGCGCAGAGGCGTTCTCTTCGAGATGCTGACCCTTATGAACAATCCGAGCCAACTTTGTCCGCAGCAACACGCCGGAGTCTGCGGATAACTGTGTTTGCGGTCCACTGCTTTTACCAAGCCGGTAACAAAGACCATCTGATCCGCGGCGCTTTGTTGCAGGCTGCACGGCAGCTATATACAGCACAGCTGCTTATACCTTTGTCCAACGCAGCCTAAATGATGAATGTCCGAGTCGACTCCGCAGCGCAGCCACACGATAGCTTTGGGACCGCGGCGTGGCCAGCCAGCCTTCTATCATAGGCTGTTCAGGGGCGACCCCATGGCAGGTGTCGAGACTGCGTACTTGATGCTGCTCCAGGCCGGCCCGTTTGGCTGCCAAAAGCCATTCAAAACAGCTCAGATGCCCCATAATACATGGAACTATTCTCCTGGAAACTCCACCAACACACGGTAGAGGTGTCTGCAGCATGCTTATGTGACTTCTCGGTCGGCGCAACTTGAGGCAAAGTCGTTTTCACATTCCTGATCCTCCTCCATTCCGACCAACACAGCGATCTTGGCTTCAATATATATCGCGATCAATTCCCTGAATCGGCGTCTCAAGTGTTCGACATGTCGTATCCCCCGCGGCCTCTTGCAGACATCTGTGAGGCGGTAGCTATTCGTGTGCCCTCGTTTGGGTCTCTGCCATGATATTCTCGGTTTAAGGATGATGTCGTGCTCTGATGCGTGCTGCTCGATAAGATGCAACCCATTCCTGGCGCACCACCACCAACACCAACAAAACCCATCATCGCACAAAAGACCAGATAAAGAATCCTCGAGGGAAATAGTACTGCTTTACCAAATTAGCCCCATTCAATAATATCTAAAGTCATGCGTAACTCACCCACAAACCGTCCAAGTCTCCCTACCCTATTGCGGCAACATCAACAAGATATATCACAAGAATTTCAAAATAGGGAGCATCAAAACCTCTCTCCCTTCAAGGTTTCCAGAATAGAAATAAATAAAAAGCGGAAACACGTCAGATAAATAAACCAAAATTCTCCTTGCGCCGGGTCATTTTCTCGTTCTCGGCCAAACTCGGATCCTTAAGCCGCGGGACCCCGCTATTTTGTAACGTTCTTTAGCTGATTTTATTCCCGGTTGTCCGTTTTGGTGTCTATTTATATGACGATTTCATAAGGTAAAGCCGTTCGAGGGGTATCCACTGGAATTTGGGTTCTGGTTTTATTTACTTTTATTAGGTAGTTTTGATGGTAAGGTGTGTTTTTGTATCTAGTTCTTAGCTTTATATCACGAATTAGATGTTTGGGTTTTGCGTACAATTGGGGTCTAAAGATTCGAACAGTAACCTCGTATGGTGATAATATATTATGGAAAAAAACCACAAGACGATAAGATCTAACCACCACTCTCCCTGTACTCCGCAACCCAACTTCACAATAATAACATAATTATCACTTAGCTTACCCAAGTACAAATAACCCCCCACTAGCATATAAAGTCCGTCTCGGCTAACGCTCGACCGAGCCTCCCTCCACCGCCTCCGGATACGTAAGGTATATATAACAAATAAGCAGAAGCCGAATAACAACTGGAAACAGGCGACTAGGCAGGCGTGGTGTATTGGTTCAAAAAGGGACCACACCCAACAACCTAGAGTGATCCTGGATGTTCCGCTAGAGACAACAAAAGCTTGGAGGGTAGTATAGCTGAAGTTTCTCAGTATCCAGCGCTCCGTGAGGATATTTCATTTGCTTTTTTTATATTTTTAATTACTTTCTATTTCTTGTCGTTGCTGTTTCGGCGGGTTCGCAGTCTGTCTATAGAATATTATAGTGCATGTAACCCAAATATACTTTTCACGAGCACTTGTATAAAACGTCCATAGCAGCAAGAGCATTTATTAAGTGGAATATCGAACATAGGTTGTTCTCCCGGATACTTTTTTCTATAATACAAAGGCGAGGGAAATGAGTCCAAACAAACCGAAATTAGGATACCCGTCCGACCTTCTAAGATACGACGGTGCGCATTCCAACTCCAAAGCACGGTGCAGCTCCCCTGAGCAATGCTTGAAAACAGCGCGAGTATACAAACAAGACAATACCGCCGCGCTGTGCAAAATAACCGATGAAAAGCAGAAGTAAACCAACCCCAGAAAGGTAATTGTACAATGAGCTATTTTGTACAAAACAGTTTGGCGGCCATGCAATGAAAAGCGCCAAGCATGCAACATTAGGAATTTAAGGACGCAAGGGAAATCTCGATAACAACGATGAACAGAGGTTGCATCGGAAATTTTGTACAGGAAAAAGAAAATATTATTTAGAGCGAAATCCTCCGTCTATCATCTACTGGTACCTGCTGGCCTGGCGGACTGGAGCTATAGGTGGTGGCGCTGGATGTCGAGGGTCATACTCCTCATATAGAACGGACTCTGCCCGTGGAGCCGGTGCACGGCTCTCATATACTGGTTGCCGACTGTAGCCATCATCTTCATAAGTTGCATATATTGGCTCGGGCTCTCGACGAACAGGTCTACGAATAACGTATTCGCCCTGAGAATCCGCAACTCGAACAAGCTCATATGCTTCCGCGTAGGGAGGCTCCCGCGCCCGAGTCTCGTATGCTTCTGCGTATGGAGGCTCCCGTGCCCGAGGCTCATCGGCGTAAACACGGTAGTATTCTTGGCGGGGAGGCCTCTCGTAAGCAATCTCGTCTGCCACTGGCTGAGGCGTGCGTGTGCGATAGACAGGCTCCGGATGTAATGGATGAGCAGCCGGGCTCCGTTCGCGATATGGCCCTGGCTGCGAGCCCATTTTAACGTATACTGGTGATCTTGAACGTACGCGGTCGTTCTCCAGCCGGACACTCTCGTACCTAGCATATCTACTAGGTGTTCGATGGGTGCTAGTTTGTCGTTCGTCCCGATACACAACGTTATTCAGTTTGTAACGACGATCCACTAATTCAGGAGACCTTTCTCGTTGGACCGTATGCTCTGGAGCCGATCCTACATAGCGGTCTTCGTAGGCATAAGCTCGAGGCTGACCTTGCGATGGGCGTTCATGGACAATGTACCCATTCCCTGGAGCGTCTCCGACAACAGGTTCTGCGGGACGCACTCTACGAGAAGGTATAATGCTATCCTCGTAGTCGTCGCGCAGATGACGGGTTTCATCCTTGGGTTGATACACACGCTCGCTATCTCCACGATCGGGCTCCCGTTTGGCTCCAACGTCGTCTACCTCGCGGCGTTCTGTCTTAATGGCAGTGTCTCTAGGGGTATCCCCTGCAAGGAAATTATTCAAGAACCGCTCAGCGGCATCGCTTGCTTCATCAGCCGGCCCAGACTGGCGCTTTTCAGACTGTGCCACTGGGCCCGCTCGCAATTCTCCATCTTCCGAACCAGCCTCCGCAGGCTCTTCCTGTGGTTTCACATCCCGGGCTCGCTGAGCTTGCCGTGAAATTTGCTCGACCACTGCAAATATGCGGTTTTGTTGAGCCGATGCATCCTCCAAAGGCTGCACATGTCCGTCTCTAACTCGGTTGTCGCGCACCGGAATATCTCGTCTATTTGCTTCATATGATTCCAGATTCTGCATTCGATAATCTCGACCAGAGCGTAGAGGTTCCTGATTGTCAGAAGGCAAGGTAGACGGATCATGCCGTATCCGATATTGAACGTCGACCGGTTCCCGGTAACGGGCACGCCTATCCATGTACCTATCATCCGGTATGACAACGCGATCATAATCGCCAGATATCCTAGCTTGTGATGGCGGAGATACCGGTCTTTGATTGAGATATGGTCGGTCCGAGTGTACTTGATGAGGGAGGTCGGCTCGGCTCTCTTCACGCCGCGCAAACCTATACCGTGGTGGAGCGTCATCCGGATTTGCTTCTCGAGGATAGCCATTCTGATGTGCAGGTTTGAATAAAGGTCTTGGTTCAATTGGGATATCGCGAGGATTCCGAGGATCGTACTCCTCGTTGGCATAAGGAGACCCGCCAGCTTCCAAAGGCTTGTCACGGTTGCCAGCGGTGTAGTATTTGTCATGGTTGTCTTGCGAGGGAGCAAGCTCGGCGTACGATCCATTGTCCATAGCTCCATATTCATTCCTTGGGATATCCCGTAGCTCCTCAAAAACGGGCTTTGGAGGTGAGATGATCTCTGGAATTGCTTCCGTGATGAGCTTAAGTCTCCGGTCATCTTTTCGGGAACCAGTAACCAGCGATGTCAATTTTGATAGGTCAGGAAGCTCAACCATATCCGTTTTCCAATCAGGTGGACGGCCAACACTATTTTTGGGGATCCCTTCCTCATGGACTGTGTGAAAGTGGCTCACGAGCTGTGGGAAAGAGAAGTGCTTCTTCTGGGGCACCGACCTGGAACCCGCCATCCCTTGGGTGCATGCTTTGCACAGGAGTCCATTAATATTTCGCACTGGGCGCATTTCTTTATTGTTCGATAAGCCATCAATGATCATTGATAATGGAGGGTCATCTTGGTAAGTATCCCGAAACCTCTGCAAAATATGATAAATGACGGTATAAACCTTGACACTTCCGGGAATCTCCTTGATAGGGTTGATAGTATTCCAAACCTCACGGGCATTCTTTGCCACATCATTGAGCTGGGCCTTGTATTCCTCGGTCACTTGAGGTCCAGGCACAGCACCATTAGAAGGATAGGAAGCCGGCTGATTGTAAGCAGGGTCATAATGGTTCTGCGGCGGATTATACCCCTGTTGCTGTCCTGGGTTTTCTGCGGCGGATATTGGGTACAACTGCCCTTGGCTTGGAGATGTATACATCCCTTGGTTCGGTGGTGGGTACTGGCCGCCAAAGCCTTGGTGGGTATAGTCTTGGGGTCCTTCATGGAATCCAACATTAGGCGGTGGTGGGGCAACAGAATACTGCGGAGCCTGGTAACTGTGGGAAGTGTCCTGGTACGCTTGTGGGGGTGCGTACGGTCCATTCTGATGTCCCGAGTATGGCTCGCCAAATTGGGGATGGCCATAGTAAGGACCGGGGCTTTGCTGATAGCTCTGGGGGTTGGGAACCTGCATATGGGCTTGGATCGGGCCTTGTGGAGGACCTTGCATAGGAGCCGGTATGGGAGCTGCCATAGGGGCCGAAACTGGGGCAGGGTGATACCCACCATATCCAAAATTTTGCTGCAATGGTGGAGGGTTGCTTGGATAAGGCGCACTGGCGCCTGGCGCAACGGAATAGTAAGGAGGATGTGCCACAGAAGCGGGATCTGGGTTGAAAGGGGGATACTCTGGCCATTCAGATTTCCAATGTACGACGACACTCCCCACACTAAGCGCATTGGTATGCTTGGCCGCGTAATGCTGGATAACTCCCTCAAAGCCGTAGTACTTTGGATTGGTCTCGCAAGCATTACAAAGAAAGAGTTCCTTACGGTGTTGCTCAGTGTGCGGCTTAATCTTAGTGTCGAAGACCCATTTCATGTTCTCCAGGATTAACTTCCGAAGGCAGGGTCCGTTAGGAGGGTCCATTGCAGGCTCTTGACCAGTCGCGCGTATGGCTGCTTCATCTTTGGCTACCTCCGCATAGAATCTCTTTCGTACGTAGATCAAAACATCCGCGGCGAACTTGGGACAATTTTCGTAATTCACCTTGTCGCCGCCACTCCAGCCGTCCCGGATGATCTCGTCAGCATACCCACCAATTCTGGCCCGTAATGGAGCCTGGATATCATCCCATTCCTTGTCAACAGAATCTAGGGTTTCTACTACTCTGACTTGGGAGTCCTGCTGGCGGCGCTCATCGAACCGGTCTTGAGCCGCTCGGGTCTGAGCGAGCCGCTCATTCTCTCGTTGCTCAGCCTCTCCACGCTGAGAAAGCAGTCGCGGCTTCAATACTTCCCATGCACCATCATTCAGTGGTTGGATTATCTGTATCGCAGCCTGAAATGAGGGAATATGTGCTAGAACACCAGGGGTTAGCGGTGGATCAAGGAGCATGCAGCGTCGCTCTATCTCCAAGCGGCGTGCCGCTTTCAATTGGGCAACCTCCTCTTTCGTTCTCTCATGTCTGGGCTGTTGATGGGCCCGGGGAGGGGGATATGAGCCAAATCTGTTTTGTGACGGCGAGTCAAAGCGTGCTGGTGTATTTGTTGCTAGAGCCTCTAGTGGTTAGCAGTGGCGTTAAGGAAGAGAAAAGGAGGGGAAGGGTCATCTAGCACTCACGAAAACTGGTGTTTATGGGCTGAGAAGGTGGCGGTCCTTGAAATGGGTACTGCCTTGTTTGTTGACCAGAATTGACACCTTGAGATGGAAACATCGGGATTGTGTCTGCCGTTGCTACATGCTCCGCTTTCACTGCCAGCTCCTTCTTCACAGCATGAACCGCAGGAGACGGCAACCTGCCATTCTCAGTATATGGGGTCTCTGGGTTTCCAACGTTAGACATAGTTGCAACGCCGCCAAGAGATTCGTATCGTTCCCAGCGGGCGGCATCAGTTCTTCTCTCCCTTCCGCGATTCTCTAGCCCTTTGAGCCATTCTTCCGCAGGCGCGGCTCCCAAGGCTTTGGCCTCATCAAAATCCTTTTTGATCTCATCAATATGTGAATTGAGAAAGCGCTTGGTGATCTGAACTGTAGACGGCTGCTGTCCATTCTGAAGAACGGCTGGAGGAATAACATGGAGCTCATTGGTAAGGAAGACGAATGGAAGCGCGGGCATCAGCAGAGATGGAATGGAGGATGATAGCAGTAGATCAATCTCCTACAATATGATCAGTTGGGGGTCTTAAGCTATGATCTCCAAAACAAGACAAAAACTACCTACCTTGGTTGATTTCGCTTCCAGGCAAGAGCCACAAGTACGGATACCAAATGGCCAGACGCACACAACTCCATTCTGGCCAGGGCCAGGATGCCATGGATCCATGGGCGCCGGGGAGATTGCTTGCCGCTTGTGGCAGAATTGGCAGAAAGTATCACAAGCCATTCTCCACATATCTAGTTCAGACTTTCCTATAACGGGCCCAGGCATACCATGTCGGAACCGAAGTCTAGACGCCCGCCATATAGCATCCGGCTGTAATATCTGCAAAGCAGATTTTGAAAGGGGAACAATGGAACTGGTTCCTGAAGGGTCAATATAGGCATGGAAAGTTTTGTTGACTTGCAACAAGCGACCCAAAACTCTTGGATGGCAGAAAGTGAAAATATGATGCCATAGCTCGGCTGGCAAAAGAGACTTGTCCTGGCACAGACGTCCTTCTGGAGTCCTATAGGGCTCAAGTTCCAAATCTGGCTTCACGCGTTTCCGAACCTCGTGGAGGAATTCATGCTCCAGCTGGCCATTTGGAGTATCCTGTGCGGAACCCGAATGTTTCCGCTTTCTCGACGCGTCCGTTGGGGGGGTAACAGTGGCCGAAGTCGATCGCGCCAAATTAGTGGCAGAGGGGATGGTATGACTGGCAGATGCATTGGTCCCCTCATCGTCTCCATCGTCCTCGTCGTCTGAGTCGGCAGACATGGAAACATCAGAGGCCGAGTCGTCATTATCGATAAGGGTAGTGGTTTCTCTCTCGGAGGAGGGCTGCTTGCTGATGGTGCCACGGGGGTCCCGTACCGGGGACGCGTCAATAGGAGTAGGGTCTGCTGGTGTTGACTCGGTGTCGCCTGAAGAGGCGCCGCTGCTCGTTGCTTCCATCGTGGTTATTAGAAAGGAGTTTGTATTTGTGCCACGTCTAGAATCGCAGAAGCTGCCAGAGAAGATGCACCACACCGGGACAAAAGAAAACCACACGAAGGAAAAGAAACAGTAATTGGTTGTTGTATGGTGATCGGTGACCAGACCAAAATACAACGAACCAAGGGAGAGAGGCAGACTCTCGGAGGGGCAAAAATGCCTCAAAATCTCAAGTATAGGGCTGGTGAAGAAAAGGACACTGCGTCATGAGCACCAAGCTCCGCGATACAAAGCTGCACAGTCGCAGAGGTAACGAAAGTGAAGCAGCAGCGACAAGAAGCCGCTGCAAGAGCGAGAGGAAAAGATGCGCGAGAGAGAGAAAGGGTCGAGGGGGCGAGGAGGCTTTTGGGGGGGTGGGTGTAGTATATGTACTCTCCTGGAGGGACGTGAGATGTTGGTGGATGATGTATGCGTAAGGGAGCAGAAATCGTGGTTGAGGGTTAAAGATTGAGTGAAGGTTGAAGGCGGATTGGCGCAGGGCGTCCGCTCGCCTTGCAGGATCGGTTGGCTGAGAGCGCGCGAAGGGAACGCCGAAGGGATGTACCTAAGTACCCCATTGGGTTGAGGACTGAGGCACCAATGGAATTATAAGGCACCAAGGCACCAATTTAGATATGAGGCAACAAGGCATCAACAAAGTAATCAGGCAATAAGGCAACATACCGTCACGTGCCATATATATCGTACTCGTACCCGCTCACGCTATCCCTTGTCTAGCTACCCTCGCCAGCCATCAACGCTAAGCCCCTTCAGGCCGCCACAGCCCCCAGCGCCCCAGCCCCAAGCCGCTGGGCATCCTCGCATCAAACAGGATGACGAAGATTCTCGCATGGCCGTGATACCGACCCTCTCAACATCTCATTTCCGGCTCTCCAGAGGTCTCGCTGTCATTTCTAATATACACGCTCCTTCACACTTGCGCTTTATTTCGAGATGGCCTCCCTAAATACCTCCACCAATGGCCCCTCCATCAAGTCCTCATACAACGGCGTGGTCAATTCCCCACCGCCCTCTGGGCCCGCCGCCAGCTCCCCGACCTACGGGCAATGGGCGCTCTTCTCCGTTTCCGCCCCGCTCGTGAATGCCTTCCAGCAGGACAGCGGCGGCAAGGAGAGTGTGCTGAAGGTGCAAAGTACTGGAGGTAAGCCGATCTTGCCAGGTTGTGGCAACCCGAAATTGGAGCTCTGCTAACTGCTTGCCCGAAACGAATAGAGGGGGAGCTTGTTGACTTGATCGAAGACTTCTCCGAAGGCCGCGTTCAATTTGCATTTGTCAAAGTCAAGGACTCAAACACCACTCTCCCAAAATATGTCTTGATTGGATGGGTGAGTAGTAGCTGCTGCAAAGGCAGTCCTGTCGCGATGGGAAGCTAACACGATCAGTGTGGGGAGGGTGTGCCTGAAAGGACAAAAGGCTACTTCACCAGTCATCTTGCCGCCGTTTCAAAGATACTTCATGTACGTTGCTGGCCCTATACATATGGACAAGGACGCCCTTTGCTGATTGGTAATATAGGGATATCATGTCCAAATAACGGCACGTTCCGACCGCGATCTCACACCAGAGGGTATTGTCCAAAAGGTAGCCGATGCTTCAGGAGCCAAATACTCCGCTCCCAATAATCCGCCCTCGGCCTCTTCTGGCCCACCTCCTCCTATAGCCTCCAAGCCAGCTTTTAATCCAACACGATCGAGCGTTGCGACTTCCGGCTTCAATCCTTTGGCGAGTTCTCGATCAAGTCCTGGCCAAAATGACACAAATGTGGATGAAGATGGCTGGGGTGCGGATGCACCTCAAGTGACGCGATCACAACTCGAGAAGGTGGCACCAGCATATAAGCCTACTAAGGTCAACATGGCCGAATTGACAAAGCAGAAACCTGAGCCTGTGGGATTTAACGGGCAGCGAAGAGAGGAGAGCACAGAATCAAGCGACGTGGTAAAAGGTGGTTACCAACCAATTGGGAAGGTCGATATAGCTGCTATCCGTGCCCAATCCAAGAAAACAGAAGATAATCGGCCAACAATCGTCAAAGGGGCCTACGAACCCGTTGGAAAGGTCGACATTGCTGCCATTAGAGCACGAGCCCAAAAGCCAGGAGACGATGGAAGTAGTAGACTTTCCCCCGCCGTAACAGGAGTTTCTGCTACAAGCCATTCAAGCGACGAGTCGAAGCCTCTTGCTGATCGAACTGCCGTCTTCTCCCAATCAGAGCGACTCACGTCATTGCCAAAGCCAAAGGTTGCCAATAAGTTTGGATCCGGCACATCAAACTTTACCGGCACAAAACCACCCACTCCTGGTGTTTATGGGCTACGGTCTCCTCCAGCAACGGCAACACCGCCGCCAGTTGGAGCTGCAAGTAGAACTTTTGCAGATGAGGGCGGTAAGACCCCGGCTCAGATCTGGGCTGAAAAGAAAGCACGCGAGACGGGTACCGGTGGAGCTGGGTCTGCCGCAACTGTCCCGTCAGCTATAACAAGCCAGACGAGTGGAGGCGGAGAATGGAAGAGTGGCTATAGTGGCAAGTCTTGGGCCCCAGTGGCTACAACTACCACTGGGACAAGCAGCATTGGCCAACAACGAACAGGCGAACAAGACGAACAAGAAGAACGAGAGGCTCCTGCATCCCCAGCTGGCGGTATTGGCGCACTGAGAGACCGCTTTAAGGGTGGAGTGCCAATGGGTGCTCCCACCATTCCAAGATCCACGACTGGGGATCAATCACCCCCTCCACCACCCATTAATACCTCAAACCGACCAACTGGTGGTGTGGCCATGCCCGGCCTTCCTTCACGACCAGAGCCAGAGGAGGAGGAGGAAGAAGTTCGCAGCATGCCTCCACCTCCAGCACGAGCTCCACGCAGCCCAACACCGCCTACCCCAGAACGGGAAACCTCCCCTGTCAGAATTGCCATGCCAGTTCCCCGAATCAAGGAACCCGAATTCGAAAGGCACGAGCAGCGTACCCCATCCCCACCTCTACCCACCGAATCAATTAGCCGCCGAGTTCCGGACGAAGAAGATCTTACTGAGGAACCCGCTGGACATGATCCCGCACGAGGTGCGGGCGCCGCGGTCGCCGAAGCGTCTTTCGGCTCTCACGCCGGAACTGACCAAGGCGCTCCGGCCGGTGGCAAGAGGGCCCTAATTCAGTACGACTACGAGAAAGCCGAAGACAACGAATTAGAACTTATCGAGGGAGACTACGTGACTAATATCGAGATGGTCGACGAGGATTGGTGGATGGGGACCAACTCGAAGGGCGAGAGTGGGCTATTCCCAAGCAACTATGTCGAGCTAGTTGAGGAAGAAGAAAAGAGGGCCCCCGCGCCAGCACCAGTGCCTGCGGCACCAGCTGCTGCTCCGTCGTCCGCGCCATCCGGACCTACCGCCACAGCAGTTTATGACTACGAGGCTGCAGAAGATAACGAATTGAGTTTTGACGAAGGAGCCAAGATCACTGGACTAGTAAGCTACTTCCCTACATCTAATCCCAGCTTTTGCTAATACCATCTAGGAATTCCCTGATGAAGACTGGTGGTTTGGTCATCACGGTGGGAAATCCGGACTGTTCCCATCGAACTATGTACAACTTGACGAATAAATTACATTGGCCCCCGTATAGATTGTTTTAGGTAGTCAAGCCGGCAGGCACAAATAAAAGCACCATGTCCAAACCCCAGAGAGGCGCTCTCAGAAATTGCTTATATACGTGTGTTACAAGAGTCCCCTCCTCGACATAATATAATGTACAGTATAGCCTTGTGTTGAACTTAGAACATTTACTTGCTACATGCACGAAGCTTCTCTAGGCTTGTATCTAATGTCTCACTTCAGGCCTCCCTAAACGAATAAGAAAAATGCAAAAAGAAAGTGATTATTTTGATTCGGATCTACCGAGATCATGTAGTCCTTGAAATATTAAGAAAACTCAATAGTGTTCTCCCAAAGCCCACCGACGAGCCGCCTCGCTTTGTCTTCAAATATTGAAACGGAAATCAACACCTACTCCAACCAAGTCAATACCAACATGCCGGCCTCACAAGCCACCCAGCCTACTTAAGAAATATCTTCGGGGTGCGGAGTACCTGCACAAATCCGAATCTATACGTATACCGGTATTGGATAGCATTTCGAAGTTCGAGGCAGCTCTTGGTAGACCGCTGGGAAGTGACAACTCCTCTATAAGTGACAACTCTTCTACAAGTGACAACTCCTCTATAATTGAAATCTCCATATCACATAAAGATGTTATCTTGCATGATGACTTCCTTGGTACCATTTCGTAACAGATTGGGGTTCTGAAGAAGGTCGTTGTATGAAATTTGACCTGCGTGGAGTAGATATGCAATCATTTGGAAGGACCTGTACGGCCCTTCGACAAACACTTGCTTCCAGGAGTAAGGCAGTCAAGGTAAAATCCGCTATCCCCCCAATCTATAATGCCAGTCACCACATAATTGTTCCAATTGTCAACATCTACTATGATATTCGCCTCTCACTTATCGTTAACATACATTAAGAATCAGATACCATAGGAGATATCGCCCACCGCAAGCCCGAGTCTTCAGAAAAAATGGTTCTTGCATATTGAATACATGCTAAAGTTTTTTGTTACATGACGCGAAAGCTGATAATGTTCTCATTGATATGGCGAAAGAGACGTGGATAATTGATTTTGGAGGGAGCTATAGGTACCTTTGGCTGGATGGGCAAGAATAAGATGTATACCCTCGAGGGAGGTTTGTAGAGCTTTTGGAGGCATTTGGAGATATAATAGAATGTGGATAACGGGACCTTGGGGAGTTTAGAGGGTAAGCTAGTGAGTAAGTGAAGCGAGCTGCCGTATATTAAGGGGTTGAAGAAGATAAGCGAGGCTGAAAGAGTAGAACATCAGGCACCTCCCGTTAGGTAGGTAATCGGTCACTAGACTACCCTTATTAACCTATATTCTAGAGTCTTATGTGTTAAATGAACACCAGGTCACGTTTTAATATTTTCTTCTTTCTAAGCCTTGACATATAATTCCGTTCAGTAGCAAAACTTAAAGGCTTTAGGGGTAATAGTTGGGTTTTGCGGTTCACAATTCAGCATAGTCTTGAGGCTTGAAGTGGTAGCTTGTTTCTACGGTCTATGCCAAGCTTAAGGATACTACTATCGATCTATTCTAAACTGTAATGGATACACATTTTCGTTCTCTTAAGCGAGACAACGAATTTGACAATGAGCCATCTCCCCCATTTTTATACCTTCTCTTCTTCCAACGATATTCATCAGCCTCTCCCATTTTGGAATGCCACCTTTTATTTTCCGGCTAAAGAGGTGGTTCGAAGTGCTCGAATAGTTCCTGTCTATTGAGTCCATGCTCCTCCGATGTTGTAGGGGCGCCCAATACCAACCTGTCGTTGAAGCCAGTATGCAATACTCGTACCGGGCTAAATTCGCATTGGGCGCCGACAAGTTTGCAATGGAAACACTGATCATCTCCAGGTTCTACAGAGGGCTCGCAACTAATCTGGGTCCTTTTGCACTCACGACACGCATGCGTTGATTCCATGTTCGGTATGTTGGTCATAGGTACCGCCGTTCCTTGTATTTCTTCAAGACTCATATTGTCCCGAAAGCATGCGTCTAGATGGGCCGTTATAACGTGATTCGCGAAAGACTCCTTCTCCGTGAATAGAGTGCAGTTGCGGCACCCCCGCCAGCCGCAGGTATATGGCAGAGGGTTGCTGGGCATCCAATCTCTGGAATCAATCCACCTTCGGACTCTTAGTTGTCGCACGGACAGCACCGGGATCTTGTCTGCAGGTCTAACCAAATTCTCTGTTGGTGACTCTATTGATTCCATGGGGAATGTGCATTGCAGGTCAGCTATGACACAGTTCGTACAAGCCCTAGTCCCACCAATTTGCGCATGTATCTCACCGTCGCAGTACCAATTGGTCTCAGCGCACCGTGTACAACATTTTCTGGTCTCTTCGACAATACTGTACATATGGCCATAGTCGGCAGCAGGTGCTGTTGGTGGATCAGCTTTAGCACGCGATGGACCACGTCCTCGTCCGCTTACTCTTATACGTTTTCGTACTGGTGCCTGTCTTCGTCCGCGTCCTCGCCCTCGTCCTCGCCCTCGTTGTGTCTGGTTCCTTGGGGGAAGGTTCATATCAGGGGGAGAAGTATGAGCTTCACCACGGTCGCAGTTGGAGTCCCTGTCTACATTAGGAGTCGAGTTTTGTGAAGTCGTGGGAAGTGGAGATGGCCTGTAGTGCGAAGCCAGCGGACTGCTACTGTCAGACCAACCTCGTTTTCGTTTCCGTAATTTGATGGGCACCTTAAAAGGTTCAGGTGACGCGAGAGTGCCAATCGTATCCTTAGTCATATCCCTGAAGACTGAGTATGTTTGTACAACTGCCTTTGGAGGCTGTGGGGCTGGGCTTGGAGATACAACAAGAAATGGGCCAGGGCGAGGAGCAGATCCAATGCCCGAGTCCGAATTAGGCGGGCTGTTAGTCTTAGGAAAAGCCTGCCCTTGTTCCTGTTGTACCTCATTAAAGTCAGGTTGGCGCGCTGCGGTGGCAGACGAAATAGCCGGATTGAAACTTGCTCCATCTACTATAGGATATTGCGGGGGCAGACTTGGATTTGCAACTGTAGCGATAGTAGGCCATCCGGAGGCTCTAGTTGGTGTAGGGGCGAGAATAAGTGTAGCGTTCGACACGAAACTAGCATCTCCAAAGCGAGCGGTTCCAGTTGGCATAGGAGCAGAATTCGACATAAAACCAGCAGACCCAGAACTCTGGTCTCCAGTTGGCCTAGGAGCAGGACGGGGCATGGAAGAGGCAGATTCAAAGCTAGGGGGTTGCATAGGAGCAGCACCCAACATAAAACTAGGATCTCCAAAGCTAGTGGTTCCAGTTGGCATAGGAGCAGGACAAGACAAGGAAGAAGCAGATCCAAAACTCTGGTCTCCAGTTGACCCAGCAGCAGGGTTGGGAACAAAACGGCTTTCCTCCATATACTGGCTGCCACTCATTCGACTAGGGGCTTGTTGAGTCCATCTCGGATATGTCGGTGGGGGAGCCATAGCAGATTCAAAGCTGGAGGTTCCAGGAGCAGTCGCCCCGGGTTCGGGCATAAACCGAGATTCTTCAGTAAACGGAATACTGCTCTGCCATGGATCATGATAGAGCGGGGTATATGCGAATGGGAAGGTAGCTGGTGGAATCGGTGGAGCCGGTGGGTTGAGGGGATGAGATTGGCTTAAAGATTAGAATTTCCTCTGTATAGACAAGAGAGCGCTCCTTCATACCTTCCAAAACCTCTTACCGGTGGCCATAATGGGGGTCCCATAACAGCTTGTTGCTGTAAAGGAGGAGCAGGTCCCATTAAAGCCTGTTGCTGAACAGGAGGAGGAGGTCCCGTAAATGCTCGTTCCTGCAATGGAGGAACTGGTCCCATAAAAGATCGTTGCTGTAATGGATGAACAGGTGCTTGCGCAGGAGGAGCTGGCCTGGCAACTGGCTGAGGCGTTGGTCTGCGTGTCTCAAAATTAGAACCTGCCAGAACCAGAGCAAGATATGGCTTCGTCTTACGTTTCCATATCTCCCCTTAACCGGAAAACCGGTGGCCTCTCCCTGAAAGCATCTGCGGCCAGTGTAGATGGTGGTGATAGAAAATCTTGTGCTTGCGCGATTGGAGTGTTAAGAATCCAATTCTCCTTTTCTGCCTCACGATCGTCGACTTCTTCATCGCTTTCTACATTACGTCCTCGAATTTGTTCTGCGCTGCGTTCTCGAATTTGTTGTTCATTGCGTTCTTGAGTTTGTTCTTGGTTGCGCCCTTCATTTTGTCTCTCGTTTGCATCATCCCAAATCGTAATACGGCCCCATCTTCGTCTGTCCATTGGGATGGAGCGAAAAGCGGTAAGGATATTCTCGGAACTGGCAGATGGCTATTGAGAAACAAGAGTCTTGTAACCATTAATAATGTAGAGAAGCAATTGGATTGAATCATCACACCGTAACTTTTAGTTAGAAACGAGATGTTTATGGACCCCAATGCTGTAATGAAGGAAGGAGCGATACGAATGCATTCCAAAAACGCAATACATAGTAAAGAGCAAAAAGAGCAAAGAACCATTGAATTATAGACTGACCATAACCCGCCTTGCCCCATTGAAAGTATCCCAAGCAAATAACCACTAGTTGATCAGCTATGCAGTAAGGTCATATAAAAGTTCGAGCATCATCCCATATTTCCCTTCCCATCTTCGCCCTCACCGACCCTTGACAGCCGATATTCCACACAATATCCATCTCTTTCATCCCGTTCATCCGTTCTTTTTCTTCCGAGGCCGCGCGTTCGAGAGCAGTAAAAGCACAGAAAATCAATTCGTCAACGATTTTTAGAAGCAGCATTCTGATGCATGGTTAGATCAATAACTATAGCCGACTGAATAGAGACGTACCAAGGCATTCAAAGCAACATTCGCAGGATTCCTCGCAGAGGAAGCAACAGCACATGAAGCCAAGACAGGTAGCAAGACAACCCTTGCCCACTCCGCTACCTTTGCTTTCTTGTGGTGGCGCTTGCTGGTGCTGTTGCTGCGGTTGGCCATATGCCATCTAGAATGACAATCAGTCATTCATTCGAACTAAAAATGGGATTGCATACTTGGTTTGGGGGATAGCCTCCCTGTGGCGGATAGCCTTGCTGTGGGTAGCCTTGTTGAGGAGGATACTGTCCCTGGGGAGGGTACTGTCCTTGGGGAGGGTACTGCGGGCCTCCTTGTTGGTAATATCCTTGTGATGACATCGTGATGGTAAAGAATGGGCTCTGGGTGACTATAATGGTTAGACTGTACGCTTCGAGTGAATTGCGTTCCGTAGGGTGGTGCACACGAGTGCACAAATGCAACAATCGTACGTACAGAGTTATATATAGGAGGAAAACGGTAGTTTGCTCTTGCACCTAGCAAGTGAGAGGAATTGGGTGCAGAAGGCGTGTGTTGATGAAGGATGAAAGTAGGGCGTGGATGGGCTACGAGCAGAATTTCGGATAGATGCGACGCTAAATACCAGCGCAGCTGGGTGGATCCGGCTGACGTATAGAGGATAGTACAGCACAGCAATGCACTGCAGCATAGACAAAGTAGATAGTACAGCGCTAAGGCCGTATTTGGGCTACGTAGGTAGGTACCTAGTACTTAGACCTTGCGTAGGATTATTTGGGGTGGTTGGCCAAGGGCTTGAACTCCTGCAGCAAGCGCTCCTCAGCCAACGGGCACGCAGATGTACGGTCAAGTGCGCACAGTTACACCGTAGTGCACAGTTCAGTTCGGCATCCCCGCTACCCGCTGCCCGTTACCCGCAAAACTAGCTGGCGATTGAATACGTAGACAGGTGCTTGGCACTTGTAGACGCGCCCAGCCGGCAAGCCATTCCATTGTTCTCTTCTTATTGTTAGCTGTATGGAGCATGACCATATACTTACCACATGGGTTTGCGTTTGCGTTTGCGTTCTGCGTTTGCGCACTGCAACGACTCACCCAGCCCTAGCTCAGTTTCACCCATTGTCAAACTCTGAGGCGAAACGCTGAAGTAACCTCAGGCTAGCGCTTGCTCTCAAGCTTACTCGTACCCGCCAATGGCATTGTAGGCATCCGCTAGATATTGGAGTAGAGTAGGTTTTGCCAGGTTTATTTTTATACTATGCCATTATTAGTGTTGTGTTGTGTACAACACCAGAGAACCTGTCTACTTCATAGAAGTTCAGCTGTGATGTATCTCTGAGCTAACCGTACCCGGTTAGATAAAATACCAGGATAATAGTCACATGACATAGGCGCACGCGCACAGTTACCCACGTGACTCTCGCTAATGACGCGATCGATGAGGGGTGAAGCATTTCCAATCGGAGATGCTGAAGATTATTTATCACTCATTCCATTCAACGCAACGCAACCACAAAATACGGCCTACACGGCTTCACGTCCACACCGATTTTCGTCTTCACCTCAACCTCAAAACGAAGCATCTCACTTGCTCGCGATTCCTCTAACCATATCAGAAGCCAGCTCCTTCCGACGCCCTCAACTTCCTTGTCGTGCAAGGCAGTCCTGCCCCACCTCATATCAGATAAGAGGATAAGTGACCGAAAACCAGCAAGGCGCTGAAATCAACGATTTTCTACTTTGGAAGGGGCCCGGACATAGAGATACGCCTCGAACCCGTGCAGACGCCCAACTTCTGCCGTCATGTCGACCTTGATCGAGATCAAGTCGGAGGACGACTGGAGCAACCACACTTCAGCTATCCCACCAACTGCTCTTCAAATCATCTCATTCCACGCACCTTGGGCAGCGCCCTGTGCGCAGATGCGAACAGTCTTAGAGACACTTGCGTCCTCATATCCTATCACCGAGCCACTATCAACCTCATGGGTCTCGATGAACGCGGAAGAGCTCATGGATATTAGCGACAATTTTGATGTTACTGCAGTTCCATATCTTGTCCTCACTCGAAATAACGAAATACTGGAAACTGTTAGTGGAAGCGATGCTACCAAAGTACGTGAGGCAATCGAGAAGTATGCGAAGGCTTCCGCCGGAATTCCCAATGGCAATAGGAGTAGTGCCGCAGCCACAACTGGTGGAAATGTGGCGACGAACTCCAGCACCAATACTCCAGCAGTAGCAGATCCAGCGACGGCACCACAACACTCAACCGGCGACGTGAAGGAAGACAAGGAGGAGTTGCATAAGAGATTAACAACCTTAGTCAAGGCTGCGCCTGTGATGCTGTTCATGAAGGGTACTCCCAGTGCTCCGCAATGTGGATTTTCAAAGTATTGTGCTTCGATTTCTTCTTTCCCTATAGTGCATTTGTATGTCAACAAAGCTGACATGGAAATTTCCTAGGCAACTTGTTGCTTTGCTTCGAGAGAACTCGGTGAAATATGGCTTTTTCAATATTCTAGCAGATGACGATGTCCGACAAGGCCTTAAGGAATTTTCAGACTGGCCCACATTCCCTCAGCTATACGTCGATGGCGAGCTTGTTGGTGGGCTGGATATCGTAAGTCTTGCAATCCTGGTAGCCGTTGTAGAAAGGTAGCTAACACAAATATATCATAGGTGAAGGAGGAGCTATCAAACGAACCAGATTTCCTCAAAGCATATAGTGTGTCCAAGAGCACCGCTGTTTAAGTAGCATATAAATTCCCTTACGCCCTGTCTGGCCTATGTCCTTAGGCCTTGAAGAATTTTACACCGGAATAACTCAAGCCGTTCAGACCGAAAATGATGACTTACATACTTTCGGAGGTTCCCGAATCATCCCATCAGCATTATGACACAATATGCAGTTCCGCCCCCATTTATACTGCGCATGGCAGGTAGTAGTATCATGGTTCAGACACAGACAATATAACGCTAGTACAAGTTCAAGTGTGCTTCTGATATAATATATTCGTGTTTCTTTAGATAAGTATGCTTGGAGCACCAAGCTCATTCGGTTCTCGTTTTTTATGCTTAGGCTAGTGGCAGTTTGTTAACGACTCACCTTCATCACGAGTGTTTTAATCATAAATAGGTATATATTGGTAAAGGGATTTAATTCATATTATCTCCGAAGGGAAACATAGTTTTCGACCTAGATTCTCAACCGCGCCTTATCCAGAAGACTCTTTGGTACCCACCAGTAACACACGTTCCGAATGGCGAGCCACATACGCATCCTTTTAAGTGTGCTTACGGCCCTGGTGGACGTGCTAGATTCCTTGCCCCATTGTTGCACGCTGCGTCTCACAACTTCCTCCTGTAAAAGTATTCCTTTTTCATGCCAACCGCTGATGTAATAGTCCCAAGCAAGAGCCTCCATGCATTCCAATGCCAACACAGAGGTCTCGCCCTTATGATTCCGATATTCCCGGGTCGCTTCTTCAATAGAGGCGATTCCTTTGGCCCGTCGTCTTGCGAATCGAACAGTCCTATATGGTTTCCAAACAACCAAATCTTCCATCCTTGCGATTGCTTTGACAGTGCCGAGGTCGTTAGGTCCATAGATTTCCTTCGCCAAGTTGATGTGTAGTTCATATACCATTCGGGCCTTCTTAGGTTGCTTTAACGCAATATATACTTCTGCCAACATACCACTTGGTGATATTTCGATAGAACCAATGCCATCGCCGAATTTTTTTTTGCGAAGATTCCATGCCTTTTCTAAGTCTTTTTGTGCCTCCTTCGGTCTGGACATTACGCCTTTAATCATACCTATCATTTCTAAACTCTCTATCATGGTGATATTATCTTCGCCCAACACGTCAGAAAACTCAGCCATAGCTCCCTCACACATTTCGATTGCTTCTTGGTGCTTCTCAATGTAGGTGTACGTTAGGGCGCACAATGTCGTATTCTGTAATATGGAGTCTGGGGATTCGAAATACTTTCTAAGTATCTGCAACACCTTCTCTCGAATCTTTACAGATTCGACATACCGGCCGAGGCGTTCTAGATCTTCCGCCAGGCCCCGCATGATACAGAAATGATACATATTCCCCGGAGGAAAGTGCCTTTCTATGCCCTGGAATGTTTTCTGGGTGAAATCCAGCGTCCCCGGACGTTTGTTCTCTCTATATGCCTGTCCAAATACTACAGCTGCATGCAGACGATGCAACAAGTCGATCCCATCAACAAAGAGCCGGTCGTCGCCTTCAGATAAACAAGCGTCGATGTGAGGCAACAAAATCTTCCGTGCTCGACGTTGCACGACCCCCCCGTCAAAGTTGCTGGACATGGACATTGTTCTGACAACTGTCTTCCATGTTTGATCTCGTTCATTGACTGACATTCGGTCTCGGGTCCACTGGTGCACAAGTGGGTGCATGGAAATGATACCGTAATCGTCAATAGTGACCAACGAAAATGAAGCCAGAAGTCGCAAGGCTTGACCCATAAGCAGCTGGTCCCAACCTGATGGCATCATCTCGACTAACGGGGTCGTCTGATATTCCATATTTTCCATCACAACTTTTATATTGTTGCATGCTTGTTCGAATATGCTTTCACAGATGCCCGTGAAATGCATAAAAGCAAAGTGTCGCAGAAGTTCTAGAGCAAGATGTGAATGCTTCTCTCCTATCTTTTCGATCATTCGAAGGGATATTTCCCAAGTTGTGTAAACTGAACGATTATCGTCGATACTTGAGTCCGGCCGTCCAGATTCCAGCAGCTCCTTCTTCTGTTTCGAATACAGCTCACAGAATCCATTAAGACTGACCGTTCGTTGCCGGATCACTGCACCAGCTTGGATGATCGCAATTGCTAAATAGCCCAAGGTTTCCACTACCTTTTCTGCCGTGACTGTCCTCGCGCTCTTCATCTCTTGGTTGTCTTCCATCTTTTCTAGTGCGGATGTTTTGAGAAGTAACGCAACCGCATCCTCGGGTTCCATTTGGTCCACATGATATGAGCCAACCGTGGCATGTTTCTCAAAGTCGGGATTTCGCGTGGTGATTAGCATGGTTCCTTTGGTTCCACGGGGAAAGAATTTCGAGATGTCTATCTCTGGGTCGTCCGCATTGTCGATTATGAGGAGCCAATGCTCCTTTTGGGACAGGAATTCCTTGACACTTTCCATGTGGGGTGAGATCTTGCAGGCACGGGCAATAGAGAAGAAGCTCTCATCAACAGTCAATGTGCTGCTTGCATCGATCCAGAAGACGCCCCAGAATCTATCCCTATAGTCCTGCGCGAACTTCAAACAAATTTGCGTCTTTCCTGAACCACCCAAGCCATATAGCACGAATCTCGATTGCTCTCGCTCGCCCCCATATATCTCAGGAAGTAAGCTATCATTTAGACGCCGACGGATATCATTGCGTCCCGTGAAGTGCGAGTTCACCATATGTGGCAAGGTATAATACTCATTTTTTACTTGGGCAGTCGTACGATCTTGGCGAATCCTCTGGATTCTCCGCATAGCGGTTTGGTAGGTGTCGTTTTTGGAGGATGAGAACCAACAAATTGCTCTGTGGTTGGCGGGGACGGGGATCGGGGTTTCCCAGTGGCATATTTTCGATGGTGAGCTTAAGATTGCCGATTCTTTCGTGACGACCTATATTTTGGTTCTAAGTTAGTTCTCCGTCATACTCTTCTATGATTTTATTTCTGAAAGGGTCGGCTGCTTATGAACTTACTGGCTTTCTGAACCCCGTCATTGCTTTTGTCTCATAGAAACTCACTACGTCGTAAGGACGCTCATCCATCAGCTGCTTATACTTCTCCATCAGTTCATTGAGCTGGAGACTATCCTGGCTAAGAGTTAGAAGGAGTTGCGAGGCGGGCTTGAGGGCCAATGCGGTGGGTATGCGTGCGAGTCTTGCCCCATGGGAGGCGAGAGCGCTGCCACGGTGAGGAGTTCCAAAGAAAAGGGTGCCGATTGTGGATTTGCAAAGTGGGATATAGTCGGGAGAGTTGGATGAGATGATGAGTGCCTGTTTAATGACAATACCTCCTAGAGAATGGCCGATGAAGATTATGGGGCGGTTTATTTCCTTGACTCTTTCCCTCCTCTCCCTCAAACACCTAAGCAAGTCCCTCGCATGATCCTCTACTCCTGCTACGGAATTTTCGAATGCGGGCGTTGCATCATATCCAAATGTCATTATCCTAGCTCGCGGTATGTCGTGGGGGAGGAGGTCTCGTAGCCATAGCTTCTGGGATTTGGGATCGGTCCAAGTGGCCATGGGATTGCCGCCCAGGCCATGGATTGCGATTATGCTGTTTATAAAATATAAGTATGATAGTTTTATTTATTGGAGACAAGGAAAGTAAGATAAGGGCTGTCTAGGTTTTTAGGCCGGCTTTCCCCCGTATCCTTGAGTTACTTGCTCGAGATAGGATATCGGCAGGCCTCCTATTCTCCAACCATTCCGAAAGGGTATTCAAAAAGGGGGACCGACTCTAGACTAAGACTTGCATTCAAGTCAATATCCTGCTCCTTCTCCTCCGTGGGATAAAGAAGTGTAATGCCCATTCCTGCCCCTCACTTGTTCCTGTGTACGTTCACAGACAAGCACAGAAGCAAGCACAATCAAGCCAAAAACGAATAATTCATGTCCAATGGGTAAAATATGCATTCAAGAAATACATCTGATGATAATGAAAACGGCGACGATTGAAATATAGAAATGCTTGAGCAAAATAAAAAACAGTCAGGACAGGAAGAAAAGCAAGCAGACAACCCATCTTCCTTAAAACCTAACTGCCCCTGTAACAGCAAAGACAACAGCCATCATATCCCCTGGAGGTTACATGAAAGCAACCGCAAGAGTCATCGGTCCAGCCCTTATGTGCCACATCTGAGGCCCAGTGGTAGGCCACGATTTGACCCCGAGGCAATGGTTCACGTTGGCGCAGCAGCACGGCTGTGTAGCAGAGTATGCAGTACGGAGTCTTCACTGCTTTACACGCCTACGCGAGTGGTTACGGTCCCTGGGATAGTACTGGTTGGGTCTGGGAGTGGTACAAGCAAACCCGCCAAGGGGCATGTCGCGGGGCCGGCGCTTAACTTTCCTCCATCCTGTTTGCTGTTTGGCGTAATCCCGTGGCTCTTGCGCAATTTACCGCTGAGCTGGCTGTGCTATTGAGACATACTCCAGGGCGATTTTTTTTGTCTAGTGGGTCGCTGGCTTATTCGGCTTGCATGATACGAAGACTTGTGAAATACAAGTATGTGTTGTCAAAAAGCTGAAACTTCATGTTTGGCGCGAAACGAACTGGGTCGCAACCAAAGAATTGATCAACACATGTATGTACCCAAAAACATAAAGTTTGGGTATCCACTCCAAGTAGTGTGTTGCTATATTTAAATGTTGTTGTTGTGATAATATAGGCTATTTAATTCTACAGAATTTCTCACCTACGCGCGTAGCATGTTAAGTGAGTGGCGCCAAAACACATGTTAAACACATGTATACAAATTACACCACAACCACAGCCAAGAATATTATAAACTAAATGTCTATTACGCAGAGATGGGGGAGATACGGGGAGACATATAGTCACGTATTATACCCAGAGATAGATCACGTAGGACATCTACGGGGAGAAAACAGCTACGCGCATTCAGCATGTGGGTGTAAATCAAACAGATGGATAATTCGAGATTGAGAACCTGATAATCGAAGTGCATATTCCAGTACATATATATCCCTTCCCACCCTGACTGTGATAAATTCAAGACTCGGCTGGCGGGACAGTTCGTGTACCGTTGTTGCTGGCCTAGACAGAGCGATCGGAGAGCCGAGCCGATTCGGTGCATATCCCATGGCCACCACCGGACCGGATAAAGTAATAGGTCGTTCTGCGGCAAACAAAAGGCCCGGGGTAGGGCCTCCGCAAAATCCCGAGCCGGCATGAATGATTCGATCTTGGTAATAGATGGTGGAATCGGTGATGCATTGCATGATGGTGTTTTCAGATGTAATTTTGCGGAGAGATGGGGAAAATGCTTAGAGGCGGGGAAGTTTATAATGAATGAGTGTCACCTGCCATTCAAGCTCCCAATAAGAAACTTCCGATTGGAATATTAGAGACATATCCGAAGAATTCGGACGAGGTTGGCCTCCATGCTCGGGGTATCCGGACAGGACAGCTAGCCAGCTCCCGAAAAGCTTCGTGTGACGGGATCGCAGGACACCGTGGCAACTTGCCTATTGAGGGAAGATTCGTAAGATGTAGAAGAAGGTGGAGTCACCTGGGTAGGAGGGGTATACAGCATGACGATATGTAGCTTGACGTCTACCCAGCCAAGAGACTTATAGCAAAATAGGCCAGAGAGTGAAACATAGAACGTGCACTTGTGAATATAGAGTAATGAGGAAGGAGAAGGCTAAGCTCAACTAGAGATACATACCACGTAGGCCTCCAGCGCTCTGCGTCAGAGGGCCTAAGAGCCTTCTGTCGTCGTAATTCAAGTGCAACGAAAACCACTCAACAAGAGCGCAAAGGAAAGCGTTCTGCTTTAACACCTGATATCAAGTATATTCTCGGACACGGCTCTGGAAAGCGAGAGAACTTGAAGGTCGGCAACTCCAGGGCGGGGAGAGCGCCACGATAGGTCTCGTGCAGGCTCTACTAGGTAGGTACGTAGTAGGCGCCTAGATTGAATTTGCATGGTTGCTGCTTCTCCAGCCCAAGATCCCCAACGGTTGTGGCAGAGCCAATGGTGAGCCTCGGTCTCCCTCCAACTTGTTGGAGAGCCACGCAGTGGGAGAGATATCCCGAGATTTGCCCTGATTGCCCTGATTGCCCTGATTACGGAGTACATACAGTATCACAGATACCACTCCCAGCCACTCGGAGCCGGTGGTGTAACCCCGATCAGAGGGCAGGTCAACAGATTTTGCATGGGCAACTGGGCACGGCAAAGAGCACGGAGTCCTCCGTTCGGGCTAAGGGACGATGTAGTTAGTTGGCGACACAAAGTACTGCGCAGTACGTACTCGTGTCAAGATGCAACGCGCATAGCACAACACCCGTGATCTCTGGGACTCGAGGATAAACCGTACCTCCACTAGGCCAAAGCAATAATAGTGTCTCGTTGTCTAGTTTATTGCAAATCGCAAGCTGCTTGTTTGATCGCAACTAGCACCAAATTGTACGCGAGCGTTGCGTGGCCGGGCACGTCCACAAACGGCTTAGTGCGGTGGATTTAGACGACTGGTCTTGCCTGGTACTTTTACTCCACTGATACGGGGCTCTCCACGAAGTACGCAGCATCGTATCCCCATGAGACTGTCGCTACAGGCTCATATTGCCTCTCTACGGCTCTAGGCATACGTCCATCGGATACAGAACGAAGCGTGCGGCCAGATCTCCATCCGCATACGAATCCGTCCCGCCGAGTGAGGCGTTGACGAGAGCTCGAGAATTGCTCCGCCGAATCGCAATCGCCTCCTTCCCCAATATCCCTCAACCCCAAAATCAATCCAATGAATCTCGGACCGGGAACAGCATAACAACACGCTGAATTATTGGGGCCAGGTCTATTGGGACTTCGACTACCTCACAATTGGTGTGAGGTGGAGCTGAGCTGAGAGTTGCGCGTGCCTCTGGGGTTCTGGGGTTCTAATACGCTGCGGGACGGTCATTATCCGACTTTGAGCGACTACAGCACCTTCGTTGTGCCCCAAACCATCGAGCTATAGAAAGGGGCGATGCAGTCATCTGCAGAGGCTGTATATTCTGCCAGCTCCCCGCCGTTCATTTTCGATTCGGACATGTCAGGGCAGTTGGAATCGGATCCCGACTTCGAATTCTTCGACTCTTCCAATGTACCCCTTGAAGCTGCGAATAGCCCTGGCATATTCTTCGCTGAAGATTTGACGACGGATAGTTCGCAATTTTTGGATGCCTGCTCACCAGCGCCTTCTGTGTATAAAACCCCCAATCAAGGCCAGGCAACGTTAATCGACACGACGCTGCAACATACTTTCTCTGCCCCCTCAACCGCCTCTCCTGCTGGCTCTTCCCCGGACTCTGGATCAGACTCCTCTGAATACAAGCGCAAATCGAGTTCTGAATCATCCCGGTCGGCGTTGACACTAGGCGACGCGGTAATGGCAGATGATGAATCCATGGGGATTTGGAAGGCGGAGGAAGCCCGGGTCGGGAAAGACGGGCGGGGGTTTGGCGCATTCGATGGAACAATTAATCCTGCGTCGATGAATACCAATTTTGAGTTCAACGACAAGACAATGGAGAATGATTTCGACTTCGAGAGTGCGGCAAGTAGCCCGAGTCCATTTGGAACCGGCCCGATTGATATGGAGTCGTTGGAGATGCCTACTATCAAGTATGAGCCCCACAGCAAGCGTTCGCCCATGCCGAAGGCCAAGCTAAATAGGAATCACAACAAGGCAAATTCGGTAGGTTTGGATATAAAATACTATTCATCGCTTGACGCTAACTTCTCGCAGCAACATTCTGTAACCCAGTCCATGAAAGGTCTCACTACAGCTGGGTCCAGGGAAGTCTCTCCACTGTCTGCCATGATCACCAGCCAAGGGTCTTCTCCCTCCGCATTTTTCAACAATTCCCCGTCTCCGTCCGCGGGTATCGAGTTTGTGAACGGGACAATGCTTGGTGGTCACCCCTCCAATCCAGCATGGCCCACGCGTTTCGAAAACTTCCCGAACCACGGATTGCCTCACTCACAGCAAGAAGCAAATCACCATAATATGCCGAGGATGGCTCCGTCCCAAGGTGTTCCACCGATGGGACCTCCATATAGGCCAATACTTACCATTCATCCGACGCCTCTAAAATCTAGAGTGGAGACCCAAATACCGATTAAAATGACCCTTTTTCCAGTACCCGCAGGTATCACTAAACTCCACCTCCCAACCCATACTATTTCGAAACCAAAGCTTCTAGCTAAACCACCCCCTGAAAGGTCTCCTGAGACTTTGGAATTATATACCACTTTGGTCTGTACTAGCGCCATGCAGAACCCAGAGTATCGGCGGCGTGCATTTGAGCGAGCTGCTGCACCCCTTCGTCAAGAAGAAGAGCCACAAGATATTAAACCAGAGGACGAGAAGGAGGAAGATAAGCCAGTAAACGGAGGCAACGTTGAGATCTGCCCCGGGTGTATAACGCGTGAGCGAAAACGAGCCGCCCGGAAGAAGGTTAAAAAGGTGGAGGAGGAGGAGTTGTGGCATAAGCACGAGGCCAAACGCGTCATTGTCTTCAATACCCATGAGATTAAGGATTGGCAGGCACCTACAGCCCAGCCGCTTTCGGACACAACTGGCGATCGAGCAGAACCGTTTGTCCCTGAGGGGGCTATGCAAGTAGATGCCCCTATGCGGATTGCTTGCTATTGCAGACACCAGAACGAAAAGCTCGGGTTCCAGGTTATATTCACGATCAAGGATTACCAAGACAACTTGATCGCTCAGGAGATAACATCGTCTATTATGATCACTGACGACCACAAGACCCACAATATGGCACCCTTAACGGCACAGACGTCGAATTCATCGGACGGCCAGATGTTTTCAGGGGCCGGATCGTTCCCTATCGACAACCAATTCGATCCTAGCACTGGTCCTGTTGGGGATGCGGGGCCTTTCAACCTCTCCCAATCCAATTCAGATTTGCAAGCTCTGCGTGGTAACATCAACCTACAATTCCCCGCTTCGATCAACTTGAATCCACCATCGCATCCCTCGCAGGCCACCTCTACTACCATAACACCTCGCAACCTCTCCCGCCAATCATCCCCATCTGCCTCATCAGGGCCTATATCAAAAAAGAGGAAGGCCAGCAGCTCTGGCAATCTCCCACCAGGATTGGCTATGACAAAGTTAGAGACAGGGCCTGTAAGCCCGGGACAGGCAGGGTCATCATCTATGAATGCCGCGACTTCTACGCTTCCGTCACCATTTACACCTAACATTGCCTCATTTTCTCCGCCCGACCAGTCTTTTGGCCAACCCCCAGCAAATATGCCTTACATCGCCCATCCGTTCACCACTGGACCCCCAACCCCAAACAGCAATGATCATGTCTTCTTTTCCAATAATAACCGATCTCAGTCTATGGAAAATGTGGCCATGGCGCAACCGATGTATTCTGCGCCTGTTTCTGCCCATCCCAGTCGAGCTCCAAGTCCAAACGGTATGAGAAATGGCGTACCGGCCTATCAGCATCAGCAACAACAGGCTCAGATTGCTCAAGCTGTCGCTAATGGGTTGTATGGCATGCCTCTAAGCCTTAACCCACACCGTCCCCCAACTATCCATAAACTGATTCCCAATGAGGGCCCGAAGAGCGGCGGGATCGAGGTAACATGTTTAGGGAGCGGATTTTGCCAGGGGCTCGAAGTCATGTTCGGAGATTCCAAAGCTACGACGACTACTTACTGGGGCGAAACTTCGCTTGTATGTCTCTTGCCGCCTTCGGCATTTGCCGGGACTGTACCGGTGACATTCAAGCATCAGCATCAACAGCAGATGCAACCATATCCTGCGCCACTGGTCCCGAAGCAGCAAGCTTCATTCAAGTATGTGGATGACGATGAGCAACAAATCATCAGAACCGCGTTGGCGGTGCTCGGCCACAAGATGACCGGCAAGATGGAAGATGTTCGCGACCTTGCTCGGCGTATCGTTGGGGACGGGTCGTCTTCATGGGGAGCACCTGCACATCCATCATCTGGAGGATCTGGAAGCCAGCAGGGCTCCGGGTTCAATGCTGCCTCGTTTGGCGTTGATGTGGAAGCAACACTTTTGAGATGCCTGGACCTCATCGATCTTGACGACAGTCCAAACATGCCGCGGCTAAATCTCAGAAGAGCGTCTGGGCAGACTATGCTCCACCTCGGCTGCTCACTTGGGCTTACTCGTTTTGTTGCTGGGTTACTGGCTCGAGGTGCCAACCCGGAGCCGCGAGATAAAGGTGGCTTCACACCAATGCATTTTGCCGCCCTTCACAATCATCCCCAGATTGTAAGGCGACTAATGCTTAGTGGAGCCGATCCCAAGGCACGAAGTTTGCAAGGTTACACCTCTGCTGACATGGCAACTTCAGCGGAAGTTATCCGTATGACTCGGCGTGTAGAACATCACTCGAGGACACGCAGTGGTACTTCGCTAAGAAGCAGAACCAACAGTGCTACATCCTTGAGGTCTCTCTGGGAGCCAAGCTCAGTACCAGCGTCTGTCGATCACGATTCTAGTGATGACAGTGATGCTGGCGAGAACGAATATGAAGATGAGGATGCCGATGCCGCAAATGATGGCGGATTCTACATGAGGCTGAGGCGCCCGAGCACCCAGAAAGCCAAGGCAGAGGAGAAAGATCCTGTTTTGGAGCTTCCGGCTATTGGACCTGCCGCAGGTCTTGCGTCACCAACTGCTGCGATGGCGGCTTTCCGAGACCAATTTACTGCTCATATCCAACATCTACACCAGACGATGCATCTCAATCTCCCCAACCTGCCCCAGATGCCCAACCTTCCCGACTACCAAGCCTACTTAAACCCGTTACATCCTGCTCCTATGGTCCGCCGTATCAGCAACCTAGTAGGGAACAACCGGCAAGAAGGCTCCAAAGAGCAGGATTACAAATGGTGGGATCTATTCTCCGGCATGGTGCCAGCTGCACCTCCAGCCTATGAAGATATCTTCCCGCAAGATGGTGAGGCTACTAAGAGAGAATCTGCAACACGAGCAGCTGCAGATGCAGTCGCCGACAACAAGTGTGCGGAGATATTTGACCAAACTGAGAGTCAAGCTGAGAGCTCCACATCAGCCGCGAAGAAGTCGGTGGTGTTGGATACAGTGAGGATCGGCAATCAGCATACCATTACAAGAGAACAGCAGGACTTGCTACGGCTGGCGCATGCTGAGAAGGTTAAGAGACTTAGCCGGGATCGGAATCTTTTCTTCATTTGGGTATGTCATCCACTCCTATCACAAATGATATTTAGTACTAACAATGCATCCCAGATTCCCCTCCTCGTCGTCATCATCCTCGCCATGCTTTTCAACCGCGCGCCCCAAATATGGACGCGTGCTGCGACTTTTTACCAATCCGTACGGACTTGGAATACAAACCAAGACCGTATCGTCGAAGTTCAATAACCTATATATTATACATTTCTACCAGCACTACGTTTTGATTCGGAAGAAGCCGTCTTATGACTTTTTGTCAAGAGGGATTGGAACGGGATCCAGAAGCCTTTTTTTGATGTTGTGTTGTTTTATTTACTTGGGATAGGATTGGGGCGGGATAGCCAGTACAAATACGTACTACATAAGGAAGGAAAGAATATATATCGCTCGCTACCATTGTATGAAAGCTGCTGAGCGATCACAGAAAATGCTGCCTATACGTAAATATCTAGGTAGCTAGTTTTAATGGGACCATGACCTGTCATTCTATAAAATTTTGCGTTTGCGGACTCCTTGTGAAATGATAGATCCGCGTGATATGTAGACAGCTTGTGAGGCTTTGTGATTTGGGGAATGGATGGATGGGATGATAGCTTTGGTGGGTGGGGAAGCACTTTTATCATATACTTCGAGCTTAGGTACTCATCACCAACCCCCTATTATCACCGTAATCACATCACACTTCACAAGCACGCATTTTCCATAAAAAGAAATTTCAATTAACTCCTACATACAAGCCATACCACGCCACTAAACTCTCCCCTCCTCTCCCAAACAAAATCAAAATCAAAATCAATCTGCTCGCTCGTTCTGCTAGTTTCAATTAACGTAACCCCTTCTCTCAATGCACAAATATGCCTCGTCCTGTCTCGGGATGAAAAATGCCAATCTAGGTAGGTGTGTGTGTATGATGCTGTGATGCTAATGCCGGAGATGCTGGTTGGGTACGCTTGGAATGAAATGAAATGGAATTACTGATTTCGGGGCGTGGGTTTATCGTGAGCGTTTCGGTTCATTAGTCGTTTGGGGTGGGGTTTTTTTCGAATGTGTGGATATGTATGTGTTGGTGGTGGTCGAGGGGGAAAGGCTGGTGGTGATGTGAAGAAAACGAAGAAGGAAATTCGTGGATGGCGTTACTCGTAACATGATGCGTATCTGTCTATCCGTCGAGGGATGGATGAATGGGTAGAGGCTTATAAATCTTCGAAAGACACAAGCTGGGAAGTCGAATCGGAGGGCATTATCAAAAGACATCAGCCGGCCACTCAAACGACGCCTTCGCCATCTCACTCTCACTCTCAACCCCAGGCTTCTCCTTCCTCAACTTCCTCTTACCCTCACCCACCACACTCGAGCCCTGCGTACTAACAACCTCTCCACTAGCCAACCTCACAGCCTTAGGTAATTTCGGCATAGGCGGTACATCATTCCCCATAGCGGGATTAGCAATATACGCCACGTTCTTAGCGGGGGAGGCGAGCTGTTCGCTGTTCTTGCGGGCTTTGGAGGAGGTAGATGATTTGGCGTAGTCGAGGCCTGTGAAGGTTGAGGATGGGGGAGGGGATGTAGATTGTCGAGAGGTGCGGGCGGTAGGTTTGACTAGGCGTGAGGAAGATGATGCTCTGGCTGTTGGGATGGAGCTTGTGGTGTTTGTGATGCTGCTTCTTCTTGCAGCGACGGTTGAAATGGATGGCTTAGCTCTGGGCATAGGAGGAGCGGCTTCTTGAGTAACCTTCTGAAGTTTTCTTGGTCGAGCAGTGGCACTCTTCTTCTTGAGCGCTGGCTTCTTGATCTCAGATTCACCGTCCGAATCCGCATCCGTGGGTTTATATCTCCCGCCATCATCAGCCAAGCCTTCAAACACGCTCTTTCTCTTCTTTGGCGTAAGATTCCTCGTCTTCTTCGCAGTTGCTACTGGCTTTGGTGTGATTTCATGCTCCTCTTCCAAGGATGATAAATCGCTAGACTCAGGTTCTTCGACTTTGACAACAAGCTCCTCAGATGGCGCGGCTAGCACGATGGCGTCTTCGGGGATCTCATCATCCTCCACGCTCTGCATCACTTCCTCCTTGGGCGGGCAAGGTAAAGGCTTCACATTCCAATCCGCCATGCCTGTTATGGGCAATTGGCTGGGCTCTCTGTGCTCGGAATCAGCTCTCTTCCCCGGCATAACTCCCACATCCTTCTTCGGTTGATCAACAGTCACCGCTCTCCCAATATCATAAAACGCCTCACCCTCACTGGCATCCGCCTCCGAGCTAACATATCCACTCAAAAGCCTCTCAGACGGAAGAGTTGACAACGCTCCCGGCACAAACCGCGGTCTTCCAATTCTAGCAGGCGGCATCGGTTGCGAAGGTACAGGTTCAGCCAGCGACTCCGTAAGCTGTCTCCTCGCAGCCTCCAGCTTGCCCTCGAGATCACTAACACGCTTTACCAATTTCTGCTGCTTCTGAAGATCCTTCCTGGACGGGATGCGTCTCGCCTGGCGGAACTCAGTCTCATGCAAGTTCGTAACGCTATCATTGGTAAACGCCTTCTTGATATTAGAGAATGAAGCACGCTTGAGACTAAACGACTGCTTGCTCGGCGAAGAGTTAGTCGATCGTGGTGCGGAGCCGCAGAAAGATGCAGCAGGGCTCTCGCCGCGGTGCTGGGTGCTGGGGAAGCTGGGGGGCTCGAGGAAAACGGTGCCTTTTCGCTTCTCCTCGCGAGATATATCCACGGCTGGATAGGCACTCTGGTCGTAGAAATCAACTCCAGAATCATGCTTCGCAGGCGAGTTTTTCTGACTCTCCATCTCCCGCTGCTGCTCCTGTCCCGGCTCCTGGAGTTGCGGGCGATTAGCACGGGGAGTCGCAGCCTTGAAATGCCCGGCCTGTTTAAGCTCCTGATAAATCCTCTCAGCCGCCTCCTGCCTCTCCCGCAGGATACGCTGCTGTGCAATCTCCTCCTCATCGACAACGACGGCTGGCTGAGGCTTCGACCAGATCTTCCAATTGCTAGGATTGAAAGACGAGGCGATGGATTTTCCAAACCGGAAGATTCCAGAGTGGCGAGAGATTTCGGAGCGGTCGGCCGTGGATTCTACCAGGGAGGCGTTTGCGTGATGTGTGTATTTCCGCGTCTTGCTCCAACGGTTTTCGTTCTGTCGGTGCTCGTCAAGTCCATCTATGAATTGCTGTTCGGTACCTATATACGGCATGGGTGGTTTCATGCTCGCGCGGTCGTTCATGCTGCCCTCGACGAACTTGGACGGGCGGGCTTGGGAACTCGATCGGCGGCGGAAATTGGGGGAGTTGGGTGTATTCCTGCTTCGACTTCGCAGCGGCTGACGTGCTTGAGCAGTGCTGGCCGGACTGGTGTTCGACAATGGCCAGTCACTTGGTCGGCGGCGCTTCTCCGAATGAACCTCCTCATCCTCATATGTATCGCCCCCGTAGTTCTCGCCATGGTCTTCTGAATCGACAGGTAGCCTCGAAGCCCGGTTGCTGAACAGCCGCTTGGTACCAGCAGCTTTGGGGGTAGAGTCGACGGTTCTGCGCTGCTGCTGTGGTTCGACAGATCGGTCTCGAGTCCGGGACGTATCTCGCGATCGATTCCTCGAGGTATCTCGAGGATGCTAGCATTCCACATAAGTCAGCCCAGCCCCTAAGTCCATCGATCTACAACAAACATTCCAAAGCTAAATCAATCCCGGGGATGGAATGTAAAAACTATAAACTTACCGCGGTTCTGGTAGCCATTCTTCTCAAAAGCTTATAATCGACCAAGCATTCGCATCATCAATCTTTGTTGTTGTTGTTGTTATTGTTTGTAGCAGTTGTTAAAGTTCAGCTTGTCAACGCGTACCTTTCCTTGGTACCTCGTTCGCTGGCAGTAAACAAACTACCCCCTAGCCAACCAGCAAAGCGACCACTCAAATCCCACCTCTCAGAGTGAATCCCTTGCCAAAATCTCACCTCCTTCAAATTAAATTTCAAAATAATTTCCCCCTTTACCGTACAGCTGCAGTGCCAGTGCAGTGTAGGAGTGCATGCAGCAATTGTCTAACGTTTTAGTTTGTGGATTCGATTTGGTGTCTGAGACACACGGACCGTTTAATGTTTTGTTTATGTCCGTCCGATCGTCCCAACCAACCGACCGACGTGTTTATGCTGCAGGATCGCGGCTAGATCCCGCCGGCGCTAACCGTGTCGGGTGCTAGAGGGGAAAAGGAGGAATCTGGGGTCCACACATACACGAACTGTAAAGGGCGCGCTATTTTTAGGCGGAGTGTGGAGAGAGGGAGGAGAGGATGTGGATGATGATGATGGGGTTTTTATGTATCGAGAGTAGGATAGGATGGAGAAATGCTTGATTTATAGGTAGGAAGTACCTAAAAAGACTGTGACCTAATTAGGTACCTACCCAAGTAAGTTTAACTGTTCTACAACAGGAAAATCTAGTCCTCGAACCAGCCGATCTTTTTGTCTTACAAAGTCACACATAAAACGTCACCAAGTAGCATCAAAAACCGGAAATTAATCAGCAGCGTTTTCATATTCTTCCATTTCCGTATCAGGGTTTCCTACTCAAAAATGCAGACCAAGGCTAAGCACGCAGGCCATTACCAGGGTATCCGGCCAATTCATTCATTCGACTAGTAATCTCCCTCTTCCTCCTCCTCCTCCTCCTCCCTAAATTACAGATAGCCTCCGTCCTCCCTTCCCCTTCCACGTCAAGTAGTAAGATCGATTCGCAACTGTCCCGGGAGAAAACTCATGGAAAAAAAACTGAATAACATATAAGATGTTGTAGTTTGATGTTGCACTTTAAATATTGAAGCAGCGCTTTCCACCAAGAATCTAAACATAGGAAAAATGAAGTTTGACGTGTGTGTGCGCGTCGGGCGTAAATATGCGGATGGCCCTCGAGCAGCCTCTGGAGCATGGTTTTCGTGGTCGAGAAATGCAAGGAAATGATGAGCTGATTGTGATGATGCGTCGAGCCGAAGGAAAACAAATTAAAGAAAAGCGATAACCCTTTCATAAAGGCCTGCGATATACCTAGTGCCAGCAGATAATGCCACACCAGTCATCCCTTAAACTCCAATAGTATAACACACCCATTTTCTCAGATGCCAACGCCGGGGCGTTCAAATCCAGTGGAAACAAAGAACTCCTATCGTATCAGCGTCGCGTCCACTACGTCGCAGGAAGGTCCCGCGTCCGAGCAGAGCCATCGGCTCGCTTGTATGACATCTTCATCTCCTCGATTGCCAGTTCATCCTCGTCTTTAAACGCGCCGGAGTTATGATGCGCGCTACTTGGGCGCATCCCATTATAGAGCGGTTGTTGTGAGTTGGATGCAAACACGGCATCAAACGGACGCTTTGTATGGCGAGTGAGCTCAGCAGATGGAGCTGGCCCAGTATATTGATTGTAGGGCAATGGACGCTCTTCAGGCCGATCAAATCCAAGGCTTGGCAGAGGAGGAGCAATAGTCCGAACGGATGACAGGGGACCGGTAGGAGAGTTCAGCGTGTCGAGTTTTGGTCCGATCTGCATCCTGATGGGAGGCAGGCTGACCCGTGGGCTCGGCAAGGGCGGGCTTTGAGGACGAGAATATCCATGAGACGTGGGTCGATTATAACTCGGCTCAGCTGGTGGATATGCGCTGGCCTGGAGAGCATTGGGAAGAGCATAAGTAGCCCCCGATGCCCTCCTATACGTTTCAGGCTCGAAGGTCGGTCGCTGGTCACGTGGGGGATTGGAGGGATACGCCGGCTGGGAGTATTGTCCATCATAGGAATAATTAGTAGACGGTGGTGGAGGTGGTCCAGACCGGTACTGGGAGGGAGGAGCTGGTGGATAGCCAGGAGGAGCTGGTTGATATGACTGTGGCGCCGGCGCAGCAGGAGGTGGAGGTGGTTGCGCGAATTGGGGTTGGGGAGCCTGGTATTGTGATCCCTGATTTTCACCAAAGCCCAAGAAACTCTTGTTTAGAGGCGCGTTTGGTGTTGTTGGTGAAGGCGTGTTGCTGTGCGGGTGGTATGGTTGCTGTTGATACTCCCCGGACACGCGGCGTTGGAGATACCTCTCATCATTAGCACCAGTGATGATCGAGCGTTCCCCATACGGCTCATGAGCTGGCTCCGCAGGGCGGCCGATCCGAGCATAACCCTCCTCGTTCATATTCTCGTCGTACTCGGACGTGGCCTTGTCTCGTCTCCTCATGCGGACATCGCGGCGGATGCGCACTCGGCAACCTTGCTCGGCCACGGTTCTGCTGAGCGGTGTGCTTTCAGCCAGTCCGGGGAATTTCTTTGCGCTGAACACGGTGAACGGGGCCGACTTGACCTCGAGCCGCCAGTCAAACGATGAGTTGGGCGAGCCCGGGACTCCAGCCAACTTTGGCTTGCTTGGGTCGGTCGATGGCTCGGCGTCGGCATCCTTGCCGTCCTTGGTCTCCTCGTACAGGTTGAAGCTCAGATAGTACTTGCCCTCATGGCGGACGGAGAGATCCGGGAAGATGAAGTATCCAGCTTCGGTTGGGCGGTCAAGATAGGCCATTCCTGAGACGGGCATTCCGGTGAGGACGGGAATCTGTGGTGGAGATGGTTGAACGCGACCATGAGCCATGGGACGGGCGGTCTCCAAGGTCGCGAACAGAAAGAAATTGGCATTGTAAGAGAAGGTGATGTCCTCCTCTTTGGCGCCTTCCCCTTCGAAGATACGCAATTCGACCACGGGCGGGGGATCAACTGGTCGTCGATCGGCAGACGCTTTCGAGGAGTTAGCAACTTGGGGGGATCTCTCAGATGATGGGATGAATTCTGGTCTCTTACACTTGGCGCCTGAACCGCATGCCCTAGCACGCTCCGGCTGCTGGATGACGGTCAAACAATAGGTGAGCATCCTCCCTTCCTTCGTGACCCGAGTGATGGTCGCATCGCTATGGCGGTGCGATGCTGCGGCCGCCATTTTTTTGGTATGTCGCGGGTGCGGGATGCAGCTACAACGGCGAAAAAGAACCACGTCCTTTTTCCTTTTTAATACTCGACCTGAGGATGCGGTACCGAGTCGGTGCCTGTCGAGGGATGATCAGCGGTGTTCCAAGACCAGACTTTCGCGACGCGGAAGGGCAGGCAAGTTGAGGGAGACCCGGCAGCCGGTATATTGGGATCTGCTGGTGTCTCAGGGCTGCGGGAGAATGGTCAATGCTCACCTCTATTCAGAGATCGGTATCTTGGGAAAAAGAGCTGTTTCTCCCGTCGACGATGGGCCACGCAGCTATAATATCTCGACGTGGATTTCCCCCCAGAGCGGTGTTGTCGTGGTTGTTGTGGTCGTGGTAGAGCCCGGTGCTGGCGATGGGGAACGGGGCGGCTATATGGAGAGCGAGCCTCGAGGACCGTCTATCGGGTTCGCTTCGCCAGGCACAGACACGGTCGAGCAACGCGGGACGGAAATAGCAGAGATTAACGACAGCGAAGCGGTGCCTTTCCAGTTTCCAAATCTCCAGATCTCCAGCGGTCAGGTCAGCTTGTCGAGTTCGGCCTGGGCGTCGAGTCGTTGGGGATTTCGACGACAGAACAGGTTGTCGGGTCTCTTGGGAGAGTTGAAGGGGTTGAAGAGAGAACGAGCGAGAGACGGAGGAAGCGAGAGAATGGAGAGAGCAGAGCGAGAGAGGGGGGGCGGCGGCGAGGATCTGAGGGGGGAGGGATCAGGGGAGAGATACAGTAGTGAGGTTAGGAGGAGACTAGTGACTATGGACTACGGACTAAGGCCCTCCAAGGGCAGGGAACAACGGGTGATGGGGAGGGAGGGAACGAGAGGAAAGGGAAGGGAAGAGGGAGGAGGGAGGAGGCTGGAGCAGTGGTTGGGCGAGTGCTGTACGGTACGGAGCAGTAGTGTGCTGCTGGAGGGAGCCCGCAGTTTGGGGTTTTTCCTTGGGAGGGAACTTTAGGTTTACGGTTTACGGCTTACTCGCTGTGTTGGGATAGGCTGTGATCGATCATAGGCTACCAGTGGCTGCCCACAGGCCCCCTATCACAGGCCCTTTGCACAGGCTACTCCCTCAGCACCAGCAACCAGCAACCAGCAATCCAGCAACCAGCAATCCAGCAACTAAAAACCCACCCGCTGCTCCAGGCCCCGGGCCCCCGGAGAGGGCGCGGCGTGGCGTGGCGTCGGTGCTTCCTTGGCCGCGACGCTGCGAGTGGACAGCGCGGGACTGGGTATCGGTCGTCGTTCCCCATCGTAAACCCTTCTTGGGAACCTGCAGGCTGCGGTGTGTTTTGGTTTTGGGTGCAGCCAGCGCCGCACCAGGAATGGGGATGGGGGCATTTGGGAGTGGGATATCAGAGGATTCGAGGGGGAGTGGGATTGGCATTGGGATTTTCCCAGTTTTTGCTGCAGCCGATCATGTGACGGTGGAGGAGGCAGTGAGTGACAAGTGGCCGTGACACAAGTATTTGGTACTCGAGAAACAGTGCTCACCTGTGTACTTCGTACCAAGGTAGGATATGCTACACAACTGTCTCTCGCTGCGGAGAGTAAATACATGGGACAGGCCACCTATGAAACATGGACGGCAAGAAGATCGCACTAATACAATACAGTACTCCATACTCCGTGCTACGTGCTAGCCCTAACTACTGTACTTGCTTGCTGCTGATAACACTCCTAAACAGTAAGTGAACCCTAAGCCATCATTTAATGTCCACTAATAAGTACTACTATTCTTATTCCTACGGAGTATTACTACTGCATTCGCCTTTCACGTTTCTCCCTTTCCAGCCCGGTGGCTGCGCGGTGCACCGGGCGCTCCATGCGCTCCAGAGGGGCGGGCCCTTAGTGGGAAAAAAGTCCCGCCTTTCGTTTAGCCCGCTCCATGGCCGGGCAGGGGCCATGGGGCAGGGACAGGGGGCAGTGTTCGTTTAGTGCGTAGCTACGAGGGTACAGTGCTAGAGTGCAAGAGTGCTGGAGTGCTGTGCCACGGGACATGTCCAGCAGCCCAGGACTGGATAAGACTCCATGATTCAGAATCCTGCGCTGCCTTGAACGGAACTGACTCAACTGTGGGCTTGGGCTGGGCGGCTAAAGCGCATTATTGTAGGCAGACTTGCGGAGCATGCAGAGTACAGCACGGTGTGGTTCCCATACATATGGAGGATAGTACTTCGTACAGTTCGGAGGATGTAGGTACATAATAATAATAATAACAATAAGGTGGTATATACGAAGTAGTTGGGTTTCCCCTTACTTGGATAATCTGAGTGCCGGTATTGCGTTGCTGCTACTCTGTGCTGCTACTTGCTGGTGCTACTGTTAAAAATATATAATATGTGTTGTGCAGTGCATACAGTATGGCTACTATGGCTACTACCCAAGGTACCTTACTCGTACCTTACCTACCTGACCATCGGTACTACCACGCTGCTGCTACTATACATACAGTACAGTACAGTACCATCCTATCCTACCTTACCTATCCTATCACACAGTCCGTACTGTACTTCGCGTAGTTTCTGTGAAATAATATAATGCTAATCTTGAATCCTACGAGCCATCTCCCTGCTATCGCGATCACACAATCTCGGTGGGGGGCGATGTTCGGGTATCGGGAATCGGGAATAGGCCCGAACCGCCCACCCCTCCCCCAGCAAAAAATCGGGACCCACGAGGTTTGTCCTATGCGAACTGTATGTGTACTGTATGTACAGTATATGCACATGTACGTACTTAAACTATGCGATCCAGCGCGTGGGACGAGCTTACGAGGTTCAGCACACATACATAAGTACTACGTACATAACCCAGAGTCTATAAGACTTTGATACGACCTCTCATTATTTCCTTTTGAGGCAGTGTTGCTGCGCTGTGCTGTGCAAGGTTGGTGGTGGTGGTGGTGGTGCTCGCCATGACCTATCGTGGAGATGCGATGCTATCCCAGTGCCGGTTTTCTTTTGTTTTTTGAAACGGTTTGCTAATGAAAGGTACAGTACGAAGTATACGTCCGTAGCATTATTATTAGTAATGTTGCAGGTACCTATTTGCCTACGAGCTGCGAGTCTGTTAACAAACCAATTCCCCACTGCCGTAATTTCAAGCCCGCGAGGTTGGAGGCTGGAGCTTGCGGCTCCTTCATGATCCTGTCTGCGTCATCTTCATCCATTTCCCTGTTTCGTTCCCCTTAATATCCACACGCTGGTGGTAAGCAGCGTTCTCTTGTTCCTTGATTCGTTTCATTCCCGCTGTCATCAAGTCTGAGGCTGCATTATTTCCCCCGATCCCAAGCAGCTCCCTAGTACCGAGCAACATGCCAACCTCTCTACCCGTATCTGCAAGACTCAGATGACATCTCGGAAACAAAAATTGATCATGCCAACGAGTGCTAGCTACGTGTTTTGTTGGAAAGTAACACGGTATATTCCGCAAGCAGCAAGAGCAACATCTTCTCCTCCAGTCGACAAACAAAGCGATGGATCTCCATCTCTGCAGAATGAAGTTGGAGATGCGGAATGATTGGTGATGGGACCACGGAATTATATTTGGAATTCGAAGGAGGAGGCTTGATCTGATGCAACGATACGAAGGGGAGTTGGGAAAGTTGAAATCGTGGGGAGATGGGGTTTTGTGGACGCCACGAGAACGCCCGTCGTTATTTTCACCGCTATTTATACGAAGTATAATTGGGTTTTGAGCGGCGATGGTGTATCATGCCTGAAGGGTGGGAGATCAAATGAGATACTCGGCTTGTCTTGGCCGGTGTGAGGGGAAGAGTGTGAGAGATGGAGGCTTGGTAGGATTATTATATGGCGTAGAGCGTAAAGAGGTTGCTTTTGATAGGTATCCCACTAAGTGTATAGAGTACATATTCCAGAATGGAGAACTAAAACCAAAGACCCACAGCCGCTACCAGAGATATATCAAACTTCCCCATATTCCATACCCCACCATCTATCATTCCAGCCATCCAGCCAAAGATTAATCGCCAAGTTCATTCAAATTCGGCACTACGGTGTGTTCCCTAAGCTGCCCCTCGCATCGCATCGCGCATCTCCTGCGCGACAGCTGCAGACCATCTACATGTAAAATCCTTGCGCACACGATCTGCTACGTACCGAGTACTCCTTTTGCACAATATATGCGTCTATACAGCGGGGCGTCTGTAAAAAGCATGGTTCCCACGCACATCAACAATGGGGGGATTTGGGCCCACGGGATGGGAGATGGAATATCATGCGGGTGCTGTGGGCGGTCTATGGCCTTTGGTCTCTTGTGGTACACACACATGCATATATGCCTACAGACGGTACCTACCTACGTCCCCCAAGTATATACCTACATACGATACCGAGGTTGTACAGGATACTCGGCCGAATAATGGGAGGCGTGCCCATTTAGATTGATTGACGGCCTGGGTGGTATGTAGGTAGATGCTGTGCAACAGGAAGGGCAATAAGGCCGTATTCTGATAATGGTTGGCCCCTTTCTATTTCTGTACAGCACCACCGACACCTATCCTATTTACATGTCACAACTAATCTTTACGTATCATTTAGGTAGCAGCAATTGCTCTCGTTGCCAACTCATCATACAAACGCCCTGATCCGGCGATACATATTTCACCGCCGTGAATACGAAGGCATCAAGTATGGGGATTCGCCAGAATCCGAACTTCGGGTCGAGTCTCACTCCCAGCAAACCATAAGCTGAAACATTATTGCATTCCAACAAAGGCGCCGCGTCGCTGGATGGTGGAACAGGCCGTGAGAGGTGCGGCTGCATTGTCCGTTTTCTCACGAACCTAAAATATATTGGATCATTGGGTGGGACTTCTGGCAACATTCCTTCCAAGCTTCCAATGCCTGCCGGCGGATCATAACGCAACGAATGATATAGCCCGGGGGAGGGACGATTGTCTCGGGGGGACTGGCACTTTGGCCGGCTTGCCACTCTTCCACTGTGCCATGCTGGGAACCACCAATGGCGGATGATGAAGGGCCTGCTTCCGCAGGAGGCTTAGGGTGTGTGAAGTGCCCTGCAATAATCACTGGATGCCGAAATTCAATCAATCAAATCCACCCAGAATCCGCAGAATCCCAGAATCCCAGGACACATCCTGAGCATCCCAGCACATCCCTTACAGGTTCGTGGACCATGCTGATACGAGAACGGAACAAGCAAGCGAAAGGCGAACCGGGAGCTCCATCCGGGGTTGGGCAAATCACATCCTGCAGTACACGCCACGCTGGAATAATGTACTTCGAAGATGCGTTCTTCTATCGTTCTGGTTCGTGAGATGGGATGCAGAGATTCGCAATCGAATGGGGGTTTTCTGCACGGCGCTTCTTGAGGCGCCCAGTCGACTCGTGCGAACGTCAACGATACTCGAACTGGGCACCAAGACGGCTTGTTTCTCTGTGGAGGGAAGAAGTCATGTAAATGTGCCCATTCCCCCCATATTGCGCCCCCAAATACTACATAGACTCCTTTCTCTCCCTTGCAGAATAGAGTGACGCGCAAGAAACGGCAGAACCCCAGGGCCGGTTTATTACAAAGGAGTCAGTGTTAGTCCCTCGATATCGCCCTCACCAGCCGGATGTGACCACCAAAGCATTCTCGCCGGACAGAGTTAGCTACATGCTATTCTGAGCAAGATGAAGTATCGTGTTCCGCTGCTAAAGGTCACAAGAGACAAATGATCCGGCAGTTCTCACTATCATCTGCACAGTCATCCGTTGATAGGCGCAGGGTCCAAATGTCAGACGACCCTCCTGTGGCCATCCACCTACATTTTCGACGTATCTGATTTCTTTCGCACCAGTGGCGATGTTGATCTTCGGTGCCACCTCCATTGGCTCTCGTCAGCTTTTTGATACTTATGGGATAATATCTACGGATCTTCAAGAAAATCTGCCGGTATCGCTATCACTTCCGCAAAGTCCTTTATTGACGGATGCCTAAGGTACCTTATTTTTCCAAATGTTGGATATCACATGCGCACCTGCTTGATGGTGGATGTCTCACATGTCGCTCACCCCGTATGGCGCATCGTTTCAATTCACGGCCCGAGCTAGCTTTTGCTATGACTTCCATTTTCATTCTCAAGTGTTTGGGATTGTTTATTTTAATAGTAATAGCTATTAGAGATTTCACTTCGGAAGCTTTCCATCATCTCCCCGTCGCGCCTTGGGTGGTTGGCGACCAAAGCTACTATTCTTCCTATCTAGCCGAGGGGGACTAGCAATAATCTTGCTAGGAGAATACTGCGATGGTTTTGCAGTCAAGCACTTCTCTTTTTATCACTTTCTTTTATCTGTTATTGAAAGGCGTCTTCTCGGTCTTCAAGCTCCCCCTCTCCAAGTACCTACCTTACCACTAAACAAAGCGTCTCTTGAAAAAGAAGAGCCACATTATAGAATTTTACAGCCAACTTACATAAGATCGAGAGAAGTATCATCTTTCCTAGTATCCACAGCCACACAAAAGCCAAACGTAAATATCATGAGGGCACGGGCCTAAATATTACAACACTTTTAATCAGGGAGCCGTATCAACACCAAGATCTCCTAATCTTATCATTATCTCTTTGCCATAGTTATACCAACTCATATAATCTCTCCTACCCATCTCAAAGCGTCAAAGCGACCACTGAGATACCTTAGAGGATCTACCGAATTAGGGATCTTCCTTGGAGGTAAAGAATACGTCGATAACCTCCAATTCCATAGCCACTCCGACTCCGACTAGGCTAGCTGCCTGAATCATTAATACATACTTAATTCATTACTTGTAGATGGGTCAGTTGCTAGCTATTTAATCTACACGGAGCCTTGAACTGGTTATCGTCTCGTTGCTGCTGTCGTGGTAGTTGCTACTGCTACTGTATTTCTTTGTTGCTGTTATTATTTTCTACCATCGTCATTATCTTCCTATACCGCGACATGCACTTAGAAACCCCCAAATCTCCCCTATCCAACTCGTCAACTCCCAACCCCAACTCCGAAATCCCCAAAAGCTCGCCCTCGCCCTGCAAAGGCAGCGGAGAAACCGAGATGTATCGGGGTGAAAGCGCCGTAGATACCTCTGAATACGGACGAGGTGGTCGAGTAAGACTACTGCTCGGCATCAATAACTAGACTTCGCGGTATTTTCTTGCACGGGATTGCTTCCATTGCGCCGTTGGTGTCCTCGTACGGATGTGGTTCCTCGATATCTTTGTTTTCCTTTTCGGAAATAGTATTTGTAATGGTTGGTCTCTTTGTCGAGTCTGCTATTAAATGTGTCTGTCTGTTTTTCTTCCCTTCGAGCGCGTATATTCATTGCATTAGTGTATTTCTTGCCGATATCCCAAGACCTGTTACGAGTCCAGATGAATGGATCCTGCTTCTATCAATATCGAGGAACGGTCTAGTTATTAGCCTCTGGGTATGTGGGCATGGGCCTGCAAGCTTGCAGCGGGTATTAAGATGCAGCATTTTGGTGATATAGATGCACTGAAGAGACGGATGTCAACCTTGGGAAGTATAAATATGGACCCCTCAGGGTCCATACCTCTCTATTCTACTACTATCTTCATTTATCGCTGTATGAGGATCAGCTTCAGAAACGAAGAAGAACGTGTCCTGTGGATCACTTCGCTCCTGGCATTCCTTTCATCTTTGAATTATTCTGCATATATGTATTGGTATGTAGTGAATATTGGCTAACCTTGACGAGTCAACCCCTTTAATGTGGACATAATGCTTTTAGCATAGTTTCAAGATCAATCAATCCATTAATTACTTTCAAAAGCTTGGAAATTACACGAGTACTCGGGCAACAACGTCCCTTAATCTAGCTTTGGTTATGCCACAAGGTCAAGAGATGAGGAACCGTTTTTGATAGGGTGTTGAATGGAATTTTATTCTGGCTGCATTAACGTCCCGGAAATAATGAATAGCCTTCATCTAGGAATCCATAAGTCCGGTCATAGACTTGGTGTCTCTACTACCACGATTTACGCCCTTGGTCTTGTCAACACCTACCAAAGGGGTATTCGGAATTATATCTGTATTAAAGCAGGAACTAGCCATCTACTCAACTGTGGACATTATGTATCCAAAGGCAAGGGAGAAGGCTTGGGGTTCCAAAACATGGTCTCGAGGCTTAGCTCGGATCTATTCACCAAGTTTGCTCTCGCTGCTTGCCATCTGCGTAAAAGCCAACTTAATCACTTAACGCTTGCCCTGGAGCGAGATAGAGCAATAAGGCTACTATATATTCAATATACCAGAGAAGCAGCAACAGTGCTAGCAATTGCACCGTCACAATCATAACCACCCCCATCCACCACCACAACTACCAACAGCAATAGCAATAGCAATGACGCGCTGTACCCAAACCCTTAGAATTTCCAACCTCTGGTATATAGCTTATAACCGCTTTACTATGACCTGGGATGATCATATATAATTAAAAACGTAAGTGAATTCTACAATGACAGCTTTCGGCCCCTTGACAATAATCCTCTAAATGACAACAAAATGGCATCGGCGTTTGACAAGGCTTATGCTATATAGCTAAGAGGAGTGCTCCCTACAAAGCCCAGTCTATTGCCGAGATCAAGAATACACCACGGTCACAAACTCCTGTATTGTAGGGGCGCCGCGAAACTCTGCCTCAATCGAGCAATATGCGTGGCAGGAGACTAATAGAAAGCGGCTACTCCTCAACCTAAAAGCTTAGTGCTAGTGGACGGATATTACGCTTTCCGATATAGCAGCGTCATCAGATAATAGGATATTCTTGTTCATAGGACAATTATCATTATAGAAGCATCCGCAGACGGAAATATTTCCATGCTAGACTTGAGCACAGTATCCTTGTTTAACGCCCATTATTCCTCTTACCTTCTAGATATGGAAACATCTAAATCTAGCATAACCCGTCATCATACCCAACTTTGTAGCACCACCAGCCCGGCAAAACCACCATCCCTTGTCTCTCCTTCCCTTTCATGCTCATTTCCCCGCATTCCTCAAACTCATAGTCGTCATATGCATGAGCATTTCTAAACTCTATAATCCCTCCGAGACATTGGTTGCTCCAGTGTTTCTCGAATCCCAGGAATTCCCTCCCGCCGCTCCCGTGGACTAGAACAAGGCCAGGCATGGGAGGGCGGAAGTACCACCCAAACATGTCCCTACCCGACGGAGAGTAGCCGTACGCCACCGCTAGGAGACTTTTGGTGTTCAAGACATCTCACCTGGGTTTCTTTTGAACGGGGGCATGTGGGCGCCATTCCCGCACGCCCACGTGGTGGTGGTCTTTATCCGTCAGCTCCGAAGGAAGGGTGACACTGTCGGGGCTGCCGAAGAGACAAAGAAAATCACATTCTCAGCGAAGATATTCGGGAACGGATAGGTGCGGATTGGCTTTGGGCGTTTTTCGAAGCAGGCTAGAAGGTTCGCTTGTTGAATAACGGAGATCTCCTCCGTACTGGCACGCCTTCTGATATGGGCGTTTTGTAAATGGCCTGATTTGAAGCTCGAAATCAAGCATTCAACTCCCTCGCAACCTCCAAATTCCCATCTTCCCTTTGAGAACCACAACACCACTGCCAAGCCAAAAGCGTCCAATTCAATTCCTTCCGCCAGAACAAGCCATGGCGTAGCTCGCCATCAGCACAAAGACCACCCGTAGCCTGCATCCGCTGCTCAAATACAACCTTTGCGAATCTGGAATGTACAATTGCCATAGAGCACATGACGCAAGGTTCGTGCGTGCAGTAAATCTCTAGACCATGACATAGATATCCATCGGTATTTGCCGGCTCCTGAACGGCAGTTTGTTCAATTGGCAGTATAGGCAGCTCGCGGAAAATATCCTCCCCAGCTGGGGTTTCTGGAACTGCACCTTGTTCGCTGTTTTCTTGGTCCGCTCGACGTAGTTGCCCCGCAACCATTGCAATAGCCCTCATTGTAGCATGAGCCGTGACGTTTCCCTGACCCCCTCCGTCTTCCTCCCTCAGCCAATCTAACCACCTAGCATCCCCGGCAATAGCAATCGGCCTCGCAGCCCCATTCACTCTCTCGACAATGACAACACCAACAGCTTCTCCAGCACCCACTGACTTTGCAGCTCGTGCCGTTTCCCTAGCTAATTCCATCCACTTATCCATATCCCCACGAATCTCCTCCTCAGCTCTGGAGACTATGCTGGGGTGCGGGCCAAATGGGTTACTCTTTTTGTATATCGTCGGCCAGTATTTAGCTGTCCAGCCCGTAGCTTGTTCCTGTGATGTAGGCGCGAGAAGCGGGACTTCAATCGTAGCTATCGGGACCTCGTCGAGTAGTAGCACCGCTAGTGACTCGACTAGAAACTTCTGCGATACTACGGAGGTTGGAGCTAGTACGAGGAGTATCTCGTCTTCCGGGGAGGAGGAATCTGAAGGCCGGGCTATCGAAGCGTAGGAATCCCGCACATGTGTGGGCACGGCGGCGAGTTTGGCGAATCTGCGGAGGTGCTGGAGGTCGAACCCGCCATCTTTTGGAAGGAGGTTTCGAATTAGACTGTAGATATATATATCAGGATGATGTTTTGCCCGTTGGGGTCGGATTACTTACTTCAAGGTAGAGCTAGCCTTTTTTATCGGGACTGCTGTGATGAAGACACTGATCACTTTGTCCACTGTGTCCGTCTCTAACGTAGTCTTCAGTGGGATCAGATATGACCCGCCATGCTTAAGAGTAGCGGGTGATTCATTTTGCTCAGGACAGTCTTGGCTGCCCACTGCTTCTGTAGTCATTTCATATCGGTCAGGCTCGGACTCAGCCTTGCTTGATTGCTAGTGGTGCCACGCAGCTACCCACCAAAGAGCAAAAAGGTTCTCGCTTTCGGTTCCGACTATTGGTGGCTGGCGATTCCCTCCGTTGCTGCTAGGAAGGGTACTTGTGCAATAGCTTGTAATCCAGGAACAAGACTTCTCTGTCTCGTCGTGGTGGGAAAATATATTTGTGCCTAGGTTCGAATTATGCCGCTCCTGACCGCCTTCCCCCACAGAGGGGTTCAGGGGCTGTTATTATAATCGCTATATCCCACCTACGTATTATATGAGGATTATTGTCTCTAGATGCTTAGTTCCTTACAACCCGTTGTATTAATTTAAGTTTAGCAGCATGCTATAGATTTTATGGCCTGTCCTTTCTGTACTACCCTTACCTTACCAACCCACTATCCCCACTTTGCCAAGGTAGATCGCAAACTAAAATATATTGCAAAATGAAAAAATAAGAAATAAAAAAACATACAACAGCAGGTATTCGCTGGTGGTCACCCGCCCAACTACTAATCTGCCGATCTGAGGCTTGTGTATGGCAGAGCGGACGGGATGCCCATTTCTCCTCAGTCTATGGTCGTATGTGACAGCTATATGTCTAAAGGAGTATATATGCTACGGAGGGATATGCAGAATTGTGTTGTGTTTTGGACGCATACTTGGAAGGGTGCATGTAGGTGATAGGTGATGGGTGATTCTTGGGGTAATAGTAAAAAGTAAAAGTAAAAACATGTTGGGCGTGGTTAATAAATATAGATAGCAAATATACTTGGCTTATGGGAGCACTGGGTCCCAAATCCCCAAATGCATACCTGGGTACATGTACATACGCACACTCTACATCATCACACATTAAAATTAGCACCAAAGATATAATATACTATTTTAATAATTATATAGGATGGTGAATCGCTAAAGTCATTAGGAAGCTGTACGGCTTCCATACCTCTGGCTTTACAGCTTAAAATGCAATAGGGAAAACACCCAAGGTCATAACCTCCGAGAATCGTCGTTGTCAGCCTCGATGTCCGTTGATGTGGTGTTGATCAAGAGTGGATTTTCCTCGGCGAGACTAGTAAGGATTTGCTTCTCATATAGGCCAATATAAAGGATGGATTAGTTAGTTATAAGTCGAGACTTATGACGGTAATACGCCTGTCTTCGTTTGTCGGATCATATCTGCGAGTTTTATTTTGGTTCAAGAGAAGCACCACCAGGGGCTTTTTTCTACCAGCGACTGCGAAGCACCGTACAGCCTTAAACTTAGACAAGCCTAAATAAATCTCCATCGCCAGTTGGCTGATGTCAAACTTGACTATTCTGACGCTCGAGATAAGTGGCATCCTCTCCGTACCCGCGCAGCTTCTCCGACAAAACCGCATCAACCGTCTCGCGCTCGAATCCGAAGCGGCCCCAGAACGATGTGGTACCGTAGACGGAGACCAAGCAAGTCGTTCGATAGCGCTGGGCGACAGTAAGGAGCTTGCCGATACACGCTGCCGCGAGGCTTTGTCCGCGGAGCCTGGGCAGGATGGCGAGGTCGTGGATGTAATACTGATCTGCGTCAGGGGCGATCTCTCCGAGTAGACTATCAAGGGCGGGCGGCTGGCGGTGGCGGATGGGATGCGAAATAGCATATCCGCAGATCTCGTTCTTGTCACCCTCCTTGAGGACGAGGCAGCCGTCCGGGAAGAGCTTCACGCGCTCTGCAAAGACGTGTTCGCCCTCTGGTAGATCGGGATGGATCTCGTCGGCGACACGTAGAAGGCCCTTGATGTCGCCAACGGACATTTTACGCCAGGCAGCCATGGCTTTTGCACTGTTTTGCTTTCCTCGCGGGTAGGTGGTAGATAGAATGGTAGGAGCTGTGGTAATAGGGCGCGAATTGTAAGAGGAAGGAAGAAGCAATACCTAGGTAGGACGATCGCTTTTAGTTTTGCCCGTTGGCCACCTAGCCGGCAGGTCCGCCAACTAACCGCCTGTCCAATTAACACTACTTTTTTATACAGTAACCCTACTCGGCGAGTTCGACGGATAGTGCTGTCGAAGTGCACGTAAATAGATAGAACCGCAGGTAAGTAATAGGTGACGGGTGATTCTTGGGGAGGCATAGTAAAAAGTAGAAGTAAAAATATGTTGGGCATGGCTGTTAATATCCTTGGTTTATAGGATGATTGAGTCCCAAATCTCCAAATGAATATGTAATAGATACATACACTTCACGTCATCACATCAAAACAAACACCAAAGATTGTATCAACTTTTCATTTTGAGTTTCTAGTTACAAGGTGATCGGCTGCTTTAAAATAAAGTGATCCGCCCACGAAAAAAAGCAGCAACCAGAGTACCCCCAGATAGGTGAAAAGCAACGAGGGAAATAATAATATGATCATAATAAGGGGGGTGCCTCTCTTCATGTCTATGCTGGGCTTCAAGAAAGCTCTCCTGCTGCAAGCAGCAGCGAGAGAAAAATTCGTTAAATGACGCTAATGTATGCCCACCACGAGAGAAAAAAACTCTAAGATGTGAACCTTCCATTTTTCCGCCAGATAAAGAATAGGGATGGATACAAAAGTAGCATCGATTCTTGAGCCAAGTTCATAAATGAGTACCGAGTCTGGTAATCCTGAGCTTGTAAGGAGCAGAAGGAAAAGCAGATCGCCACTGATAGAAAAGAATGTGCAGATATTTTGTGAACACAATATGTCTGCTCATAGGCTATCGAAGTGAATAAACCCATTTGACATATGTCGAAGAGAACGCAAGCCGGAAAAGGAAAAATTTGATTGAATTGCAAAGGGTGAAATGAGGTCTATGCCTTGGGCCGAGTTCAGTACAGGTACAGGTTGAGCTGCGCAGTCCGCTCATATTGTACCCTGCGCCGAGAGAATTGTCGTGTCGAATCGTGCCGAGATCTTTTGGTATCATGTTTTTTTTTATGGTACAAGAGGCCGCTGAAATAATGCTGAAACCGTCTTCGTGGCGCATGCGACTGTTATTGACGATAGAATGCAAGGGGAAGGCCTGTACTGCTGCAGCCCCTATGAATGCTAGTGTAACACAAAGGGCCGTAAATATCGTATGTGAAAAAGTTTTCGAAATTGTGAGAGCTGCCGGCAAATACCGGTGACAGATCTCAGCCATGAGATTTCAAATATGAATATTGGGAATCCCTTGGCTTTGAAATTTATTGTCGTTCCTCGTACCGTTACAAGCGTAAAGATCATATCGTCATGACGAAGGAAGAGGGAAGTCGTGTGTGTTCTAAACCCAGCCAGCGGCGCCATTGGAGCCACCGTTTTGACCAGCACCATTTGCGCCAGTAACGTTGGGACCAGATCCATTTTGGCTAGAACCTCTACCATAGGTGGGAGGGAAGTATGGCTGGGCGGCTTGGGGACTGGCAAGTTGATCGCTGCCGGGGAAGCTGCCGCTAGGAGACTGGACAGACCGAGGCGATACAATAGCAAGCCCGTTCGCAGAAGCGCTGGTAGGAGTATAACCATTTGTATAGTTACCCGCAGGGCTGGTAAAGCTACTTGCTGAAGCCGAAGCATTGGAAAGGCCTCGCTGGTGACGAACAGGAGTGGCGGTATTAACCTCAACCTCGCTGGGAGTTGCCTGTCCACTTGATGGACCACTGCGGCCTTCGCTTCCTTGGATCTTGGCCTGGATGCGCCGACCATACGGGGTGGTGCGGATAGCAGGGAGATAAGGGCGGATAGCCTCGATTAGACGGGTCTTCATGGTTGGACTAGCATAATCAAGAGCGGTTTGGATGACATAGTTGGCAAAGGAGTCGCGAAGGAGGCGGTCGAGTTCGGTGGGCTGGAGCATCTCCTCAATCAACATATCCTTTGAGGGCTCCTGGGCACAGCGAAGACATTTTTCAATGACGTTGGAGCTGAACTTCTGCTTGGAAAGCTGTCCAACCTTGCCCTGGAACATGGCGACAAGCGGCTCTGTGAAGACCGGCTCGTTTAGATCGAGGATGTACTGAACAACATAGTTGCCGAATGGATCCTGAACCAGGGTATAAGCGTTGTTGGAGATTTGTCTGATCAGCCAGGCCTTCTGATCGCCCGAGGCATGGTCAATGCATCGCTGAAGGACACAGCAACCATGACGATGGGTGCCAACCTCAACACAGTGACGTCCAACTGCTTCAAAAATGAAATGGGCATCGGCTGGGGAGAGCTTGTTCAGGCATTTCTGGATGACGTGGTTGCCATTCAGGTCCTGGATGAGCTCAACAACTCTGTGTCGAAGAGCACCAATGATTGTATGGATTTGACCAGGGGTGGAGATGAATTCAATCATTTTCTGCAAGGCTCTAGTACCATGCTGATTGAGAGCGATGCGGACAAGGTCGTGGGAAGCATTCTCGATTAGGACAGTGCGCTCCTCATCATTGCAGTACTCCAGCAGCTTTTGACAGAGGTAATTACCGAAGGGGTCGGTCATCAATTCAATGACGTGCTGGTTTGTCTCCAACCAAATCATGTGCACCTGGTCGGGGTTGCGGTCCTCGAGCTTCTTTTGGAGATATCGGCATCCATGCTGGTCCTTGCAAAGGGTATAGATCTCTCCACCAAGTTGTTCGAGGGCCATGTTTGCAAATCGGTTCATAGCTAAGAGTTGAGTTAGTAAATATAAGCAGAAGGATCGTGAAGAGAAAGAGCCTTACCTTCACCATCATTCTGTCGGCGCTGCTGGATAACCCGTGCTTGGCTATCACGAGGAGCAGGTTGAGGATAAACACCACCAAAATTTGCATAAGGATTATGGGGAGAGTATATTGGCTGGCTCAGCTGCATGTTCTGCATTCCAATGGACATCATCTGCATATTGTAATTGTTGTAGTATCCAGGAACAGGGTAGGGCTGTTGTCCAGTTGGGGAGGTCATTCCATTTGGGGTCTGTGCTTGAGACGCGCCTTGAGCCAGAGAAGGACCGAAAGGTGGAGCGTTGGCTTGTAAAGCAGACTGGATAGACTGATAGCCTCCGTTCTGGGCATCCCGCAGTGTGTTGGTCTCGTTCGAGGGCATTTCGCGACTGAGCCTATTCATGGCATTTGGAGGGATACGGCCCAAGCTAGCGTTGTGGTTGTGCAGATGCTGCTGAGCATGGGAGTTGGGGGTCGTGTTAACACTCGAGATACCATTGTTTGCCGATCTCATAGTAGGAACGTCGTTGGCGGAGTACGAAGACTGGAGCTTGGGTGGAGTAGCTTGAGTTGCCTTTGGGGGAGAAGAGACCTGAGAAGTAGACTCCTGAGAACCATCGAAGTACTTGAGGTCAAGTGAGTGTCGATAGGATGGACGGACGCTAATCGGAGACTCGGGCACATTCGATTGCGAGGATGAACCGTTTGCCTGGCTGGTGGACATAGGAAGGCTCTGTTGGGATTGAGTCGATCTGTGCCGGGCAAACGAGCCCCAGCCGTTAGAGTTGCCTTCCGGGCCAGGGGATTGCGACAAAGCCAAATCGAGAGCAGCCGAGGATGCGGAAAGCTGCATATTGGCGGTTAGTGGATATACCATCGCAGAAATAGACGTTTGCTTACCAAACCGGGGTACTCCTCGCGACGAACAAGAATGGGAAACTTGTCGTCGGTCGCATTCATCTGCAGGTAGCTCGTCACATTTGGAGAAGTTGGAACCTCGTCTTCTCCGAAGAGGAAACGGGTGGTATTGCTCGGGTCAAGAGACAGCATGTCGTGCATACCGTTGCGGGATTTGGTGACCGGCATTGAGTATCTGTTAAGACTGCTTGGGTATTAGTAGCTGATAATAAATTGTTGCGGAATGAATGATGCAGCAAGATAGAAGATAAAGATGAGACAGATCGAAATTGCTTGGTATTTGGAAGCCTCGTGCAATAGACCAATCTTACTTGTAATACGGAGGGTGATGGCCACGGGAAGACATGCTTACGGCCAAGCGTAATTGGGACCGAAAGTGAAACGGGTATAATTGTTGCTTGATCTTGAAAACCGAGGCTTGGTAGATCGATCTCGCTTGAAACGTCAAAGGCGACTAGCACCCAAGGAATTGATTGTAGTAGCAAGCGGAGCAATAGAGGTTGGAAGGTGAAAGAGGTTGAAGGTCAAAGAGGTTGAAGGTGAAAGAGGTTGAGGTTGTGTTTTGCAAAGAAGAATATGTGTGGGAGAAAGTGTTGTGGGTTTGAGGAAATAGAGATATGGGAGGTTGAGGTGGAAGGTCTGCGAATGGAAAAGCCGCGCGGGGATAAAGCGGGGACGAAAACAAACTCGCTCATCGAGTTTGATCAGACGGTGTGAATCATCAGACGGTGAATCTTCAGACGGCGGATCTTCAGACGATGTCATAGATGCTGGCATCCTAGTGCCTTAGATATCCTATTTCCAAATATTCTCTTTTGGTAATAGCGTCATGAAGTTCTCCCGAGGACGAAGGGTTCCTTGCCAAATTAATTTTACCAAAGCAGGCAGCTTTGTAAACAGAGATATCACTGGATATCAAGTGGTACTCTTATGTTCAGAAACGTGACATTTTCAGGGGGTGAATGTTCGGACGAACCCGCAACCGAGCCAACTAGCTCAGAAAGACGGACGAAATGCTATCCTAAGCTATGAAACCGGGTATTCATTGTTTGGAGCCGGCAAAAGTCAATAATAGCAAAAGGAAACTGGGTACGTACGCGTTTGTAGAGCGATGGCTGGTCGGATCCTGTCTCACAGCCTCCTCCTTCTCGTCTTCGTCGCTGTTGCGTCTAGATCCAGGAACAGATCTGGAGGGCAGCTTGTCGTCCATGGCTCGAGATTGTAGGGACATGGATTGTGGTGAAGTAAGCTGAGAGCCTGATCTGCCTGGTCGGTTGTACAGGCCAGGAGGAGAGGTAAGGCTGGAAGTTGAGTAACGGTTTGGGCGGGAGAAAACGGAGGGAAAGCCTGAGGTCGATTCGCGGTATTCCGGGGGTGTAGTTGGTTCAGATTGGTGCCCCCCGGGTGAGACCTTTGTTCGGCCAAGATCTTCCTGCATCTGAGCAAGCTCTTGCTCCTCGCGGCGTTGCTGCAAATCAAGCAATTGCATCTCAGCCTCAAAACGCCTCTTCTGCTCCCGCAATCTCTCGTATTCGAGTTTCTTCTTCTCTAACTAGTTGAATTGTAAGCTTAAGTCTCACTTTGTTGGGGTTCGAAAGCTCTGGTAGAGGCGGTATTGGTATATTGAAGTTGAACAAGCAAAGTGTTTTTTGAAAGGGAAGGGGGGGG